CATCTGTGACACCCAGCACAGGGATCTTGTGCCCTGTATATGAGGTCAGACGACATCCAGCTTTCCGCAGACTCAGTCCAGGAAGCACACTGTCTGGCATCAACGTCACTGGGCATCCTGTGTCAACCAGGAATTCCACATCCTTGCCATTTACGGACATGCTCACCTTGATCGCCTTTGACTTCTCCCTGCTTGCTTGATACACACAATAGTTGTCTTCCTCGTCATCTTCTACTTTGTCACCTTCATTACAGTTCACCCTCACTCTCTCTTCAGCACTCGGGTTCCTGCACGCAGCTTGGAGATGACCCGGCTTTGAACAGTTGTTACATCTGACATGTTTCGGCACTCTGCAGTCTTTTATCAGATGGTTACCTTTGCCACATCTGAAGCATTTCCTTTCATCTTCCCTTTGACTGCTTTGCATCATCTTACCTCTTGCATTTTTCATCTGGTTTTGCTGCCCTCTCACAGCTTCATCCTTCTTTGGCTTTCTTTCTGCCTGCTTCCAGTTGACCTTGTTCACCTTTTCATCTTTCCTTGATGCTCCTTCCTCTGACACTTCCATCTTCCGAGCTTGCTCTCGAACAGTGGCATCTGTCGACCATATAGAGATGGCTTTGGTTAGAGTCAGCTTTTCTTCCTTAAGCATGCTCTCCTTTACTCTGGATGAGGGACATGTTGCAACCAGCTTATCTCTCACCAGGTTATCCACTTCATTGACATCAAAGTCACACTTCCGAGCTTGAGTTTTCAGCTTTGCTACGTATCCTTCCACTCTTCCGCCTTCGTACACCATTGTGTTGAAGTGATGTCGCTCAACTACTGCGTTTACTTTTGGCTTGAAGTGCTTCTCCAGCTGATCTTTCAACTTTTCATATGCATTTGTCCCTTCCCCCTCTGGCAAAGTATCGATAATACCTTGAACATCAGGTCCGAGAAGGTGCAGAACAATATTGACTTTCTGAGAAGCAGTTTTCACATCAATTGCACCCATGTAAATTTCCACTGATTTGATCCATGTCATGAAGTTTTCACCTTCCTTGATACTTGGTGGTGGAGGCAGACTAACAGCCATAATTCAGAAAATATCCAAATCGACAAATACTGGCGCACTTCCAACTCGAGATATGCCCTTAACCTTGAAATGCGACAAACTTTGGCGCGACACGTGCTGCGCCTTACAGATGCGTCTTCGGGACTTTAAATCGCGTATTTTACCTTCGTCGCCATTTTGTTGTGTATCGAGTGGTCAGTACTTTCCTTATTCTGCTACTTCCGATTGTACTTCCTGCTTTTGGCTGACTCCAAAGACTCCTTTTTACTCAGAACGTTTCTTCCATACTACACACGGCCAAGGACAACAACTTCCAAGGTTCTCCATATGAGGCACACTCTCTAAATCCAGGCAGAGTAAATGACGTCACAAGAGACATCATCCTAATACACAACATGCCCTATATCGAAAACCAGTCCCACAAGAATGTCAGGACATCTGATAACGACGTACAGAAGTAACAGGATTGGGGGACACATAGTTCAAACCAAAACAGACCTGATTACTGATTAGTGATTACTACAGAGACGCGACCGCGCGTCCCGTCCTGGTAAACGCCCACTCGATCGGACAGTTTTTAACATGAGGGAACTTGGAACTTGAATGTAATCGCGGTACTAGGTATAACGCTCGAACGAATTACGCTTTCGAAAGAAAAGGATAAGGCAAAGATTTAAAACAATAACCGTCTTCGAGAGAGAACCACTGATTGAACACTATACGACACATGGCATAAGGCACGCCTCAGGTATCCGACTTAGAGGGTTAAAATTTTAATCCACTCTTCGTCGGCTGGTTAAATCAATAAATTTGAATGTTGCATCTTTTTGACAAGAGAATCGTCGAACAGCGTCAAAATCGCCATTGGCTGTCAAGTGTCAAACTTCCCTGAAATGAACTCTAGCTCTCAAAACCGGTCAAAGAGGCGAGTGCTGACCGCTAACGTGTTGGTCCAGCCCGACCCGGTCCGGCCTGGCGTGCTGTAACCGGACCGGAGCGGCGCGGCGGTCAGAGCCGCGCTCTTAACCCTCGCCGGACCTATTGGTTTTCTACATACGCGCCGGCCGAGGGGGGGGGGGCGGGTACGACCCCCCCTCGCCGTTTCGCCCCTGGTGGAGCTAGCGCGTCGCGGAAAAAACGAGCGTGTGCGCCGTTACGAGACGCAGAGATTGGTACCCGATTTTAAGGTCCTAGGTCAACCGGTGACCTCTGAGGTCAGGTCAAGTGCCCCAAGGTACGGTTCAGTTTTTGGTGAATAACTTCGCAAAAAACGGCCGCAGAGCGCCGATTTTGGCAACATCGTGTTCGTCTCGCTCAGGCGCGTCAAATGATATACTTTTTGTCCGGATCAGGTCAACTTGGGGTGTTGACCTCAGGTCAAGGTCAGGTCAGCACCCCCAGGTCACGAAGTTGGTCGAAAGAGGTCATGTCGCATATCATTCGATTCGGCAGGTCTTCCTGAGTCCATTGGTGGCTTTCCCGACTCGCTAGCTCAATTTGATCAAGAGTTATTAACGAAAAACTAATATGACCTTGATGACGTCATAAATGACGTCACGCAAGGTCAACATTGCAAAAGTGACGCATCTAACCTTGCAAGGAGTGCATAAAATCACGATTCTGTGTGCTTGAGATAGTTGGAGATCGTTCCCGGCGCCAGAATAGCAGTTTTCATTTTTCCCCATTGACTTATAATGGTGAGGTCACGAAAATGACCTGACGTCATATGACCTTTAGGAAAAATCCGAGATATACAACTTGTGGGACTCATAATGGATACTAGATCCTGCAAGTTTCATTTCCCTGTGACATCTCCTCTGGCAGTGAGGGCGTTGCGAAGTTGCGACATCTGAAGACCGTGCAGAGGTTCACTTATGACGTCATAGGTCAGTGACCTGACCTGACCCAAAAATGCGGTTGGTGTCAAAAGATGCGGCTTGGATCAAAGGTCAGGTATGCCAAGTTTCAGCTCTCTATCACCAGCGTGTTCGGAGCTATTGCGAAAAAAACCCTATGGGGGGGGCGGCACCCGCCCCCCCCCCTCGGCCGGCGAGGGGGGGGGCTCTTAATCCAAGAGGACCTATTCACTATTCAGGCACCACTTCCGCGCGGCTTTCGCACCAGTCATTCCCTCTCAATATTCATAACAAGGCATTGACACCGCCGTGCCAGACAAAGCCTATCAAGTCAGCTGCAGGCTCCGGTTCGGTCCATAAACAGACGGTTCGTAATGAGAATCCCGCCATGTGCCGCTGCAACCCGCCGAAGCAGCATAATAGTCACTTATATACACATGGACCACTTACATCACTCATGGCCAAAATTATGCCGACTGACGTGCATTCATTGTAAGGCGACGACCGTTAGCATCAGAGGAGATATCACTCATATTAGGTACAAGTCAATTCATGTTAACTACTTAAAAAAACTTATTCTTTTTAACCCCTACACCAGATCAAAACCCTGCGCGGCTTAATGAATCATTCAATATCGCCCCAATTCCTGGGCTGTCATGAGCCAGCTTTCTCCTGTCTCGTCCCGATACGAACTATCTTTGGGTGCCAGGGGTCATCGCGCATGCATGCAGCCGACTTAACATAACATAACATGGTACACAAAGGACCAAGTCGGCACCTCCCGTTAGAGGACACGTCTGCACTCTGCAGCCCGGCAGCGGGGCGCACTTTCGCCCCCTGCTGGCGGGCGGGTCAGAGCCGTCGACGGGCAGCTTGCAGCGAAAGCCAGCGACGTGCCGAGGCATCGCTCATCCGGGCACCGGCTCTTTGTCGATAGCAAAATAGGACTAAATGGGCCGCCGTGAGAAGCAGAGAATCGATGCGATCCAGCTTTCAGCATGAAACGCACGTGCTGCTTACGCAGGATTCCTTTCTCCTTTCCTTCCTCTTTCCCGAATCTTCCTCCATTCCTCTCTCTCTCTCTCTCTCTCTCTCTCTCTCTCTCTCTCTCTCTCTCTCTCTCTCTCTCTCTCTCTCTCTCTCTCTCTCTCTCTCTCTCTCTCTCTCTCTCTCTCTCTCTCCTCTCTCTCTCTCTCTCTCTCTCTCTCTCTCTCTCTCTCTCTCTCTCTCTCTCTCTCCTCTTTCTGCCTAGTATGCAGTTAACATTGTGCAGCCAGTTCTTTCCTTTGTAGCAGTCTCAAATAACGCAAAGACAATACTGCACGACTCCTTGCAAACGTGCCTATGCTCTGAAGGCTAAAAACTTAAGATATGGCGCCGCCTTCGTCATCAGTACCTACCTACGTTCAACTAATTACAAACTCTAAGGAAGTCGAAATATATACAATGCGATCAAGATCGTTCACTTACATACAAAACTATTTTGTTTTCTGACGTGTTGAGCCCGGTTACAACTCACGGGTAACGGGTTCCTGGCACCAGTGTGTAGCCGCAACGGGCCTTTGCCGGCTGAAGGTATACAGGTATGTATACTCCTACGGCAGATAGAGTAGTGTTTAGTGACTAGTGGGCGATATTACATTTTTCGACAATCATAGAAATTTGATAAATGGGTAAGATGTAGATCAGTTCGATAGACATCTATTGATGGTATTGCATGGTTCCTCTCATGGTTAGCAATTCATGTCGTTTATGAAGCACTATTACGTCACCTTTTCAAGGGCTGGGGGTAGTTGAGTTTCCAACATAATTCAATTATCTGTCTGCATCTACAGCGTAAAATGAATAGAATATAACTACAGCAGGCAATTATGATAACGATGACGCAAAGCAATTGTAACCCATTCGTCAGAGACCGCTCTACTGATTGTAACACAATTCCACTAAATGTCTAGATGCTAGACAATGTAATCAGGCTACGCTCTCTTGTGCAGTCAGCGCTGACTCACTCAAGTCGTTGCTCCCATTATTTGAGTCAGGTCTGACCTGGGCGGCGGCTCCGAGCTGCCCTGAGAGGCTCGGGCGGCGGCTCCGGGCGGCTCCGGGTAGCTCCGTGCGGCGGCTCCGGGTAGCTCCGGGCGGCGGCTCCGGGCTGCCCCGTGCGGCGGCTCCGGGCAGCTCCGGGCTGCCCGGGGCGGCGGCAGAGCCCAGGAGAGACCGGCCGGCGCGCCGACCGTCAGTCCGTCGCCGCCTGTCGCCGCGCGCTCGCCCCCATGAAGATCTCCGGTGTTGCGGTGCTCGCTCTGTGTGTGACGGCGGCCAGCTGCCTCCCACAGGTAAGGCAGCGACCTGCAGTCGAGTCTGGGGACGCGCTTACAGATTTGCTTTTGTCCATTCAGTGTTCGCTGTTACAGAGGAAGCGTCGGCGAAACTAACGCACGACCACATCGCGTTTGCTCTCCGGCGTTTGCTTCTCAGGATGAAAACAACCTCTCACCGACCACCGTACAAACAGCACTGGCGTCTCCAAAGTGACATGTTTATACGGAACAAACGGAATCTGGCTTCCATTTGCATACCTGATTCATTTGTCGACGGGAATCAGTTGGATATTTCCGCATTAAGGGGACCCTCCCACCTTCAAAAACGTTAATGAATTAGCATAAAAGTGACGTATCTCGGTTCAAAAAGAGCAAAAACGAATATCTACCAAATTTCGCCTAAAAATATTCACCGGTTTTCAAGATATTGCTCTTTAACTTTTGTTTACTTTTTGCGACCTTCGTTGTTCGTGTGACGTCATTTGGAAGCAATAATTTGGTATCTTAAAAGTGCGGTAGTTGCGGCAGATGTCGCACGCCAATAGCATATACCGCCGCTGCTTCACAAAGATGTTAGTATAAGGTTTTAAATCGCTAATCTGCGCTGACGTCACAAATTCAGAGGGGGCATTCAAATGCAATAAATAGCCCCTCTGAATCCAAAGTGCTGCAACTTTGAACTTAAATATCTCCGAATAAAGACCTTTCTCGATGTTGTAAGTGCCCAAACCGGTAAGTGCGAGCCAGGGACCCCAATTGGCAATTTGGCTATCTCAACTCAAAACTATTGCAAGGTGGGATGGTCACTTTAACTTGGACCGTAATTGACCTAATCGATTAAGATCACTGACATTTGAACGGATATACAAAGATATTATAGCAAAAATAGCACATGCCTATGCAGATTGAAGATTGTATACAAGATCTCTACTACATATAACCTGGTAACAAATTCAGGTTCTGGACGGATGCATCAGCCTCTGTCTCTACCCAACTCCCTTCTAAAGACCATGAAGCGGCAAACGAGCCCCGACTACATGTGTCGTTTCAAACTTATTATATCGACGTTAGAATCGACGACCTTCCGAGGTTAGAAGATACGTGAGCGGAAGGCACCAAAGGTCACCATTTCCCAATATCAATGTTCCCTATAGCGGTGATGCTTTATCAGTTAACCACGAACGAAAGCAGGAGTCATTATTCGCTCGAAGAACAGCCTAGTAGCGAAGTAGTTAACCAGCTGTCCATACATCGCTCATATGCTCCCCCATGTTACTACAAGAGCCAATCGTGATGGATTTTGGTAATCCGAATTCACTGAGCTAGTTCGAGTGATGTGCCCTAAATACCAATACTTAACTTAGTTTGCTCCCCGTTATCACTCAGTCAAAATCGAAATGCTTCAGCGAAAATAATTTTCCTCCCGTGTTTTTAGGTCGATTCACAAATTGATCTGCTTGTGTAGCATCTCGCGGCGCCGGTCGGGTGTATTCTAACTCTGGTCGCGGGGTTGCACTGACGCACTCAATAATGCTACTAATCTTGAAAACCTACAACTCCCAGCAGGTAGCTGGCAAAGGCAGAGTACAGGACACAGGTGACAACCTTCAAGACAGGTGCGTTCAAAGAAGGAAAGGAAAGCGTCCAGTTGGAAATCTCCGATGCCGCGGGTCCGCGCCGAATACTGATGATCCTGGGGAGCGGTACCTCATTCCTGAACAATGGATACTCGGTATCTGAGGACATCACCTTACGCAACTATCCACCCGCGCAGTGTGGGAGGCGGCGCATGCCATTCTGCGCATCAGATACGGATCGGCTGCCTATACGCCCGCCCCAGCCGAATGCCAACGAGGCTCCCGGGCGTGCTCCAGCCGGCCACCGTCAAAGGACTGAATTATCCAGCGAGAGTCTCGACGACTCTCTCCAAACGCCAGATACAAAGCCCTTTGTAGGCTACTTAGAAAAAAAAACGGAAGGCGACTGATCGTTTTGATGTGCATAGTCTAAGCGAAGCAACGAGAAGAATGTCTTATGTAAGAGAATGCATACAAAATACTGAAACTTCTTTCACTCTCCCTTGCACGTACCCGCATCACAGTCAGTTGGCTTTGACGCAGCTTCAGCGCCAGGATTGTAAAGTGAGAAGGTGACAGAAAGTGGAACGGAAACTTCCAATAACGTTCAATGCATTAATGCATTAGGTATACAATAATAGAATTTCGTAATAGCTGAACACTGTTTTCATACCATTACCTAGTTAGATACCTAGTGACATTTGCTAAGCCTTTGAGGATTTGGGTGCAGATTAGAAGACGATTAAGAACACAGATTTCGACTTTCAATATTTTTATTCCGGGAGAGAATAAAATCATTGCGCATTTTAATATCTAAAAAACATCTGCTTGTCTTTGACGAACTGATGATTGATACGTTTTCCACACTCAGGTCTCGTCCAAAAAATATCATTTCATAGGTAACAAAGTCCTCAACAAGGCTTCAGCCAGACATTAGGTGCACACCTACACCAATCAAAATATTATTACAGATGTGTATTGTGTTTTAATAAATGACAAATAAAATGGGAAAGCAATTATTAAATTTCTATCCATTACATTAACCCGCGCGGGGCTGGGGGGTAAATTCTACCCCCCTCGCGAATTATTGCGATATCTCAAAAACGGCGGCGCGCAGCGCCGCCAAACTTTAAGTACCTTTTCTTACATCAATTTGACACGTTTTCTGAAAATTTGAGCGAAATCCGTCGGAAAATTTTTGAGAAATTGACGTTTTAGTGACGTCATGTTCGCCATTTTCGCCTCAAAAACGGCGAAATTTCAAACACCGCTAACATCTCCATTTTTAAAGGAATCAAGACGTAACAAAAAAGGTTATACGTAATTCTACTTTATCTATCAAATGGCTATCTCGGTTTTTTGAAAATTTTGGATTTTGGCCCACTTTTTTTTTCAAAAAACTGACTTTTTTGGGAAAATAATTATAAAATCCAAAATTTTGGGTGTATCGAAAAAATCGGAATATATGTCAGAGAAGTGTTCTATGTGCACCTACATACCAATTTTTAGAAGAATCGGTTCAAAAATGTGGGAGTTATTCAAAATTTCATGACGTCACGACACACAAAAATTTTGAAAAAATGATTTTTTTGGAAGTTCTAGACCTTGTACGGAAACAAAAATAGCACCATTCGATTCGCCGTGAAAAACTGCATCAGATAGACACCTTTTTAGGCCTTAACAACCAACTTCAAAATTTGACCTCACTTGACCTGACCTTGACCTGACCTCGACCTGAAATTCATCCAGAGGTGGTCCATATCACTTATTGAGTGTGCCTATTGAATTCTATGAGTAAAATGACCCATAAAACATGTGTCGCACATGCCCTTTTCTATATTTTGTTTTTTGGTGACCTGACCTGACCTGACCTTGACCTTGACCTCTGAATGATATTGTATGCAACGAATATTGTTTTGGTAGCCTAAGGACACGTTTTGGGCAATCAGTCTCAGTCCATGACTCCATTCTTCGGCAACTACGATGCAAGGCCGATACTGTAGAAACTTGCAATTTGTACCCTTGACCTGACCTTGACCTTGACCTCAAATTTTAAATTAAGTACATGTTTTTAGTTGTTCGTGATGAGAGCTTTCGATTGGCGTTTGAATTTTCCAAATCGGACCATTAGTTCGGGAGATAACAGGGGGGTAAAATTTACCCCCCCCCCCAGCCCCGCGCGTTCGGCTGGAGACCCCAGCCCTGCGCGGGTTAATGAATGACAGTAACTAACAAGTAGCAGTACACTCTCCGTTGGGTACTAACATAGCGAAAATGTACTCCAAAGTCGGGTAGGTCCTACAATCCAGCGGCGCCAGCGCGTAATTCCCCACTGGTCTGCGTATAGAGCGCGTGTCACGCCGTTCAGTGGGGAATTACGCCAGCGCGTAATTCCCCACTGGTCTGCGTATAGAGCGCGTGTTGCGCCGTTCTGGACCAAAGCTCAGCGCCTCTGTCTCCGACGGCGTTTCGCCAAGTGACAACTGCGCTCAGCGCTCTCACCCCGGCTGACGAGCACCTGGCGATAGCGGGGCTGAAAAGTGCGTGTCACACCGTCCCACCGGGCTCCTCTCGGCTCAGAGTGGAGGGGAGAGGACTGTGTGGTTCTCCCGGCAGCGGGAGTGAGACTTTCCGCCGTTCAATCTACACACAGCAGACCCGCCCAGGACGGCCGAGACGGCTCCTCCAGCGCTCAGCGTCTGTCTTTCTTCTACATACATTGACTTTCAAAATACAAGCGAGGAGATCGATTTTGACAGCACACCAATGTAGCACTAATGAAACTCTAAACGACACCAACCACGCCAAAATGGAAAAGCTATACCTTCTTGCCACTGACCATTGTTGTAAAGTGAAGGGCCAGCGGTGGTTTCACGTTTGTATTCACCCGTCCTCTATCTCCACGACACACATATCCTCATCTTGGATCGCGTTTCTCCTGGCAGGCAGTCAACCTACCAGACATGAGGCAGCCGGTGGTAGAGGTAATAGCCTCTGTCTAATCAGCAGCTCGATCTGATAGAGGTGATACGGATGGCGTAATGGAAAACCGGGTCTAACGAACGGACGTTCAATCTGCTTTCGTTTCGATCAAAGTACACACTCAATAAAACGGCATGAGCTCCCAGCCTTCACTATTGGAATGGAGATACAGCAGATAAGCACTAGGCAGGTATGGAATTCCGAGGCCAGGCACGTTGGCGGACGCGGAATTCGGGGAACGAACAGGACAGGAACGAACAGGTGAGATATGACGGAAAGGGCCGAAAGGAATCGCAGCTGTTTCGCAACACTAACTCTGGCACAAATGACTATCTGATTGGAGCTAAAAGCTCACGCAAGAGGCTGAGCTCAGTAATGATTCAGTTACAAAGAAATGTGAATTCTTTGGCACGGTTCGCTCTCCCTTTGTTGTTGCCATACCACGGATGGCTTTTTGATCTGTTATGACAACTCATGGAAGGGTTTTGACGACAGTCAGTGAGTGACCGATGCCAGAAGTGCAGTGTGGTAACACCGCGGTCCCGCCTCCCTCCCCACACCTGACAGCTGCCGCCCCCCGTTCCCCAGGATGGCGGCGTGCCGACGCCGGCGGCCGAGGCCAGCCCGCCCGGCGGCGGCGGCCCGGCGCCCTCGGTGACGGCCATCCTCGACCAGCTCGGCTCCTGGTTCTCGGGCGTCTCCGGCAAACTGTACACGGCCGTCAGTGACAACCTGCGCAACCGGGTCAACCTGGACCGCGTCACCGACCAGGTGTCCACGCTGATCCCGCGGTTCGACTACGCGCCCTTCACGGTCATCTCCAACAACTCGGTCAGTCGGTGGGGCGTGCCGTGGGAAATGGGGAAGGGGCGGTGTCGTGTCAGGGCTCAGGGCTCAGGGGTTGGGAGTCTGGGACGGAGGACGTGCATGCTGTTTGATTTACGGGACCATCCGCTATTGATTTCGCCATCTCCACAGCAAACTCTATATACAGCTCTGGGAATAGAAGTAGACCAAGCGTTCGACAAATGGTTGGCGTGAATCGTCGTTCGATACACGTACATTGCCATTCGACGCGCGTGCATTGCCATTCGAAACGCGTGCATAGCCAAATTCGACGCGCGTGCATGTCCGCACGGTCGTGTCATGCCGGAACCGGTCAGTGGCACGTTACGCTCGGTCGCTGCTCTCCAGCCGCGTCACGGCGCATGTGTGGTGTGTGCGGACAGGAGGCGGGGTACGAGGTGCGCCACTACCCTGTGTGTGTGGTGTGTGCGGTACGAGGTGCGCCACTACCCTCCATATATTATGTGTGCGGACAGGAGGCGGGGTACGAGGTGCGCCACTACCCGGCCCAGCTGTGGGCCTGCACTGAGGAGCCCGTCACCGTGGAGCCCATGGAGGAGGAGGCCGTCCAGTGGAACCGCACCAAACTCATGTTCGACAGACTCTTCAAGTACTTTGCCGGGGAAAACAGCCGAGGTAAGCGAGCCAAAGAACGTCGGCACACAAAAGCGCTAATCTACCTATTTATACCTAAGGTTGATACTGGCAATTCATTACACACATTGTACCTATTCTATGGTAGTGACTGATTGCATTATCAAACCACGGCACAAACACGGTCAACCATATAAGATTCAGAGAACGAATCATATGATCGTATAATCATATTATACCTACATACATTACCGACAATTTCCATTACATATCTTTTAACATCTAATAAGAACAATAATGGGGTTGTTTATGAACAAAGACATGCACATGATGGACAAAAAGTTATATAATAGGTATCCAGCATTAACACAAAACCAAATACCAAGTGGAGCTCTGACGGCGTGCACTACTTCCATTTCACTTTTATTTCATAGCCATATTGGATGCTGATGTATGATATCTGGACTCGACAAATTCCCATTTTCACCGCCCGCGGATAGGGACAACAACACACCACCCGATCCTGTAGCTCCTACGTGGGTTTTCCGAGTATCGCGGAGAGCGGTCGGATCGCACCGCGGCCCGACGACAGAGACGAGCCAGGGAAAGTGACGACAATCGGCGCGTTTCATCATCTCCGACACACAATGTCACGGCAGGCGGTGGAAAGCACAGTATTCTAGCACAGTAGTCCACTGTAGTCTATCTTACGGTGGGGAAGGAGCGCCTGTGGACTATGGAGCGCGGAAGGGACAATCTGTGGGCTGTCGTCTGTTCTTTGAGGAAGAAACGTTCCGCGCAACAAGCGTTCAATGAACAATGTCGTGTTCTTTGAGCGAGGAAGAAGCGGAGTATGATCTGTTCTTTGAGCTCGGAGAGTGTTCAAGCGGAATATGGCCTCTTTTAGCGGGAAGGATCTGTATCATCGGACGATTTCATACAGACCCACAGCAAAGCGATGACAAGGCGCATTACAATGAGCGAGGGAAATATCTATAAAGTGCTATAATGTGCATCATGACAGCGATGGAAAGGTGCAATAGGCGTCATGCACGAGGAAATAACGTACAGTTTCTTAGCTTATGGCATGTACCATGGCAAGGCTGATCAATGGAAAGTCAAGGAATGGAGAAAGCACGATCAGGGTTTCTGTGCTGTCCGTCTACTTGACCCTGCGTTAGGTGCTTCCATAGCACACTGCGGCATGACTCGCTGGTTTGTGATAAAAAGGGCATATTGCCTATCTGCAGTAGGGCGCAGTATTGTCTCCAGACTGACCCACCCCTGCTCTATGTACCCCGCTGCGCAGACGAGAAGATCCAGATGACGCTGCCGCAAACGACGCGGTTCGACGCCTACTCGGAGAGCCCGACGTACCGCCTGTGCTGGTACCTGCCGCACGCGCTGCAGAACAGCCCGCCGCCCACGCCCGACGACTCGTACGTCGAGGTGGCCCTGCTGCCGGCCAGGACTGTCATCGCGCGGTGAGTCCGCGACACCCGAGTCGACACACGTCCCACACACAATTACACGATGTTCCTTCAGGCCCTCAAGGCACGAGTGTGCAATCCATCGAGGTTTGTGCAAACTGTTTCCCGGAAGGGAGGAGAAACCGCGGCTATCCGGCGGCTCGTGGCACGTCGTCCGGCTATTCATTAGCCGGGGCGCCCGAAGTAGATCGAGAGCGGGGCGCCTCGGCTCTGAGCTGGTCGTGTTCCACCGTTACCCGCCGGCGGCGGTTCCGAGAGAGGCGGACCGGGCCGCCGACCGGCTCATATGCATACGGCTAATTCAGACAGTCTGAGAGCCAAACGGCGACGGTCCAACGTGACAGAAAACAGCGTGGTCCGACCGCCACACCTGACAGGATCGGACACCAGGAGCGCCGGCTAAATGATGTGCTCACACGAACGAGCACTAATTTGCTGGAAAATGTTCCCGTGCTATGTGCTACACAGCTTTTAGCACATAGTGTGAGCTCCAGCGTGATGCACTAGAAGTAGAAATTGACTATTTAGTGGCACGCTTTCAGCCCCGATGTGGAGTTGCACAATCGCTTTATGGGGGAGTGATTAATATAACAGCAGCCTGCGGAAATCCCGCAGAAAATCACCGAGTCATGTGTTCCTATTGTGTCATCCCTCGGCGTGTGAGGACTGGGAACTTTGATGACTGCGACGTTCCCTGGCAGCATCCGCCTACTAGCCTAAGACCCTTCGAGTTTTCACGTCCTATACACACGCCGTTGTAATCAGTGCGCACTGCCCAGTATTCGCGCTGGTATTTTCCCAAGCCCGGTGTATGCACCCCGTCTGGTCCAGTGACGCCCGCGGCGGTGCGTTACAGACGGTTCGGCGGCTACGTGGTCTACCGGCGCGGCTGGGACCGCGCCGCGTTCGCCCTGGAGAAGATCACCCGCGAGCACGGCCTGCAAAACATCGACTTCACCAAGTACTACAGGTGGGTGGCAGAGAGGCGCGCCCGACTCAGAACAGGCTGGGCCGTGTGTACAAGCCTGGAATTAATATGATCTTCGAAGTTCAAAGATATCTGTCCAAAAATCGACAAAGTCACACTGCACTGATGACCTATCGGTTAAAACAAACGTCAAAGGTGATTTTTGCCACGTCAAAATGCTTTCTTTTTTAACATTTAAATCATTTTTAATTGTTTCCTTCCTTTCTGCTCCATTCTTCGGTATTAGTAACGAGCTACGCCTTAATCTATCACACCTAATGCTAATGACAAATCCATAACTTATCAAGGAAACGATCTACCCTCAATCTATCCGACGATACTCGAACTGCACATCAGACAAACAGAAATGTCAAAGCGTGTTCCAGTTGTCAGCTGTCAGAGCTGCTCCGCCCCCCCCCCTCTCTCTCTCTCTCTCTCTCTCTCTCTCTCTCTCTCTCTCTCTCTCTCTCTCTCTCTCTCTCTCTCTCTCTCTCTCTCTCTCTCTCTCTCTCTCTCTCTCCCATGGACCTCCGTCCGGCGCCGTCCCCGTACCGTTAAGGTCTAGCTACACCAGGGGCGGATCCAGAAAATCTCCAAGGGAGGGGCCATTAGAAACCAGGAGGCCCCCATAATCCCACCTGTTGGAGGCCCCATCTTCCCACTTGTTGGCCCCCCCCCCCAAAAAAAAAAACTGCGTCTATTGAGCTTATCTAGCTGTTCAGGCAACATCTCAACATGAATAGCCACTTTATTTTCAGGAGGCCCCCTTTTCAGCTTTTTAACTTTTTATTTTATTTTTGAAAAAAATCGGCCAAGGGGGGGGGGCCATGGCCCCATGGCCCCCCCCTTGTATCCGCGCCTGAGCTACACTATGCGGGATCCTACGTCCGTGATCTGCGTGTTTGCGGGTTTTGCAGAAAATCGGTACGCAGGTCAAGTTCAGCTGATAGGAAATACACAGGGTCGGCTACACTGGGGTCACGCAGATTCAGTCAAGGAAATCCCGGACGTTCAGTACAGGAAATGCCGGATAGTCAGGACAGTCAGGATGTTCCGTACCGATATAAAGTTCAGAGCTACGAACTTTTTTGCAGAATCTGCGTGATTCCGTGATATGACACAGTTGTTGGCGCACTTGGTGGCACACCGTATGAATCCAAGTGACGTAATTAATAATTATTTCTTTAATTTTCATGTGTTTTTGATGTTTTATTAACAAAATAGACTAATCATTAATAAAATAGTATAGAAGATAGCAAACTTACGCGTTTGTTGCGAAACCATTTATTAGTTGTCATTATTATGTCAGAATACAATAATAGGTACACGGAAATTCTGGAAAAACGCAGAAACCGATGTCAAGGGAGTCTCGCAATCTCGGATCTGCAGATCACGCACGTAATTTCCTGGACGGTCACGCATAGTGTAGCTTAGGCTTTACACGCTGTTACGGGCTGGACTGCAGGTCCGACCGACTGGCCCAGCAGGGGGCGCTTTTCCCCGCTCCTCCCTCGTCCCAGCAGAGGCACTCCTCTCCGGCCGGCTTTTTGTACTTAGAGAGCCACCAGGCCCATTACCTGGCTTCACACAAAAACCGATTGACTGTCATTATTCGGAAGAGAAACATCAGTTCCGCGCACGCATCCTAGTCGTGCAGATAAACGTGTCAAAGTCTGGGCTTGGGCGACTTCTCGTTATAAAACAAGAGACGCGGATATTGGCAGTGATGCAGGGATCACTAATCAGCGTTTTACGAGCTCTCCCTGTGCTTTCGGGCAACTTATTGTGGTAGATACCAAGTTTCGAACATAATTGTCTTCTGTTCTTTCAGTTCTAAACAGATACTGATGGCATTTTCGGCGCGACATAAGCAAGCAGTAAGGCGAAGCACAAAGTAAAACACAGCTGATTGACGAATAAATTCCTCCCGGCATTTTGCCTACTTAACGATCAAACGTCAAGCAACCCTCTCCCTTATAGTTCTACTCTCGAGTCATTTGCAAGAACTTTATTGAATAATTTTATTGAGCACAAATGCAATATAGTAGCCGTGTCAAGTTTCTAAGCCTGACCGAAATCACATATAAAGACGAGTGATTCGAGAGCTAGACGAGCAATATCCGCATCGACATAAACAAGGATTATGATCGACATTATCGTAACCAGGCGCCCATAGGGTCACGGCTATGAAAACGATGGTAGAATCACATTTACGTTGGACGTAAAACCGGGCCGGGGGTAATATTTTGCATACGCTGGACAGTTGGGCCATCCCAGATATTTGCGGCCAGGCGCCAACTTTATGTCAGAGTTGTAATGGTTCCACCGTCTGCCCCGTCCCTCACCCCGCGCGCCTGAAGGGACTGGCGATGTTTGTATGCGGGGAGAAAACGCCATTATGACTGACCCTCGCTGCGGAGAAAGTGCGCCTGTCGGCACGACGGCTCTGGCACGGCCGGGTCAGATCGCTGATACTGAGTGCACGCCAACGGGCGGGGCCGCCTCCTCGCGTCCGCCCTGTTCAATAGGCCGGGAATGCCCGCCCAGGTCCAGGTCGGCCGTAGAAAGCTGGCAGAAGTGAATAGTAGAGCTCGCAGAGCGTTCGAGCCGAATGACGGCGAACGTTTCTCAGTCAGCGATTTGCTTAGATGTGCCTGACCACGGACGCGTGATGTGACCCAGGTCATGGGCTGGCCGCAAAAATGACTTCAATTTACACTCAGCTACTATATATTCCAATTCAAACTCAATGCATGCTGAGAAATGCTTTCGCAGACATACGGCACGAGTTACGCTCAGGTGGCAGCAGAGAGAACTTCCGATGTCGATCACTAGGCTGTGCAATAGTCGTACACCATGTGCGTACAATCCGAGGGTCGCTCTCACACAAACAACTATACCAAATTTAGCATTTGTTACTACAGGAACCGAATACTTCGCTAGGCGAGCTCCTCATTAGCTGCAATCAACCCTCGTGTAAACCTTCACGCCCGCCTCCCGAGTCCCATCCTGTACCCTATTGGGGCAGGTCACCGCTGAGCGCCCGCTCCTCACCTTACCCCTGCGCTCCCTATTCCACCTGGAGCTCCCACGCCCGCACTGACCGTTCGTCCGTTCGCAGTGTCAACTACGACCCTCTGCTCAAGTTCTGGAACCGTAAGAACGAGGTCTGGTTCGAGCTGCAGGCCAACTAGACGCCGTCGACTGCCGCAACTGCCGATAACACCGAAACGCGACGCTGAAAAACTACCGTCAGCGTCAGTGCCCGATCGGCGTCTGCTTCGTGATTATTTTGGCGACAGAGGCAACTATGCAGTCAGCTCTCAGTTTGAGGTCTTATCATAACGACCGAACAAGAGTTTCATCTTCATTCTTGATCTGCCAAAGTAGGACGCATTACGGCAAGAGCCGTAATGGCAAGAGGCAAGAGCCGTCCCTTGAAGTCAAGGGAACTGCGTCCAAAGACACGCACCACCCGCCGTGCCCTCGCAGAGGGCCCGGCGCATGCTAGCTATTCGTTGAGCGAGTGTAGAGCGTGATAGGCCCTGTATCCGGCCGCAGTTGTTGCCTGTTTTTATAGGTGTGCTAGAGACTGTAATTGCATTGTTATTACGTTTGTTGTTTGTATTGTTATTACGTTTGTTGTTTGTATTGTTATTACGTTTGTTGTTTGTATTGTTATTTGTTATTGTTATATTATACTACGTCACTATCGTCAAGTAGAAGTCTATAAATATACTCATAAGTCTGATTTGTAGTATTCCGTGATCCAGTATGGTTTATTCACAGAACCACGTCGTTATCCGTTGGGGGCAGACAGTTCACCTCTGTACCATGCACAATAACCTTGCACTGCACGGCGCTGACGGACACAAAAACGGTATTATTTGATGTAGTCGACGGCGTTTGTCACGTTATCATAGGTGGGCACCGTTCCCCAAAATTGTAACTTCGTTACTCGTTCCTCCGTTCCCTCAAAACGTGACTTCCGTTACTCGTTCCTCCGTTCCTCTGTATATAATGTAACGGAAGTTCTTTTAGTCCGTTACTCCGTTACAGCAAAATAAAAAACGTTAAAATGTTGGGTATTTCAAACATTTTTGAGACCATTCTGACACAAACTAAACCCCGAGAAAGCGGAATGCCCACCAAATCTACCAAGACAGTGGGCACTGATTGGACACTAAACCTTGAAACGTCTGGTGGTACTGATGCGCATCACTTGTTCCCTGCCAGATGCCGGTTGCACTTCACGAACACTAGACGTTCCAGGTTGGCATCTGAGAGCATAGGCGGCGGAACGGGGGGGGGGGGGGGGGCACCGGCGCACCGTGCCCCCTTTGATTTTGGCATTTTAACATTAGCCCTATGTGCGTTGCATGGAAAGAATGGGACAAAAAGTCGGCAGTGCCCCCCCCCCCTCTCCCTTAATTGAAGATGTTCCGCTGCCACTTTCTGAGAGGGTAGCCCTTTTTGCACGTAGCACATCTTTTCCCATTGAGAACATGCGCTCTACTGAGGCGCTTGAAGGGACGCCCGTGTTGAACTTTGCGAACACATACTGCAACGCCGGCTCATTGCGGAAGGCCAGTACACTGTACACTGAGGCCATCTTCCGTCTTCAAGTCAGGGCTGCTCAATAATCCACTATTCCGCTGCTGCATTAATGTCTGTGGGTTAGCTGAAAGATCAACCCGCTCGGACAACGAAAAGTAACGGAGGAACGAAGGAACGGACTAAACTGTTAACTTGTAACGGAGGAACGAAAAACCAATGTAACGGAAGTTACTTGGTCCGTTACCCTTTTTAAAATGTAACGAGTCCGTTCCTCCGTTCCTAAAAATTGTAACGGCGTTCCGGAACGGAGGAACGGAGGAACGGATCGTGCCCACCTATGCACGTTATCAAACGATTAAAACCATCGATGTGCCACAAAGATGCAAAGATAACTCGTACCCAACACGTGGATACTATTTCACATTTCAGTACAAAACACGCACAAAACACCCCACATAAGTCAGCTCTCAAATCACAGTTAAGGTCATTGGATGCACGGCGCACGCAGTGTGCACTTCATTCTGCCATCTGTCGTCATGTTTTGCGTTTCTTCTTTTCATCTGGCGGCGAGATGGCGCCACTGAGCTGCAGCACGTTTCGTGTGGCGTTATTGATATGCCGGAATCGGTCGGGTCCCAGCTGTATGCCGCCATACCATCGAGTGACCACAACCACCCAGTTCTGAACGCCGACAATCTGAAAACGCAGCCAAATAGCGCGCTGACTCCGCAGTCCTGGCGGCTGAACATTTAAAATTAAATGGAAACCAGCCTTACACTTAACGCCAGCTGTCTGAGCCGGCCCGGAATATAAATGTCTTCGAAATATTTGACGTGATGCTTTTGAAGTGAACAAATTGAGACTGGACTGAGCTAACCAAGGTGAAGCACAACATACGCGGAAATGAGTGAAACTTGTGATCAGACGGTGCGTTAAAGTTAATGAATGAGTATTCGACGGTAGCCCATATAAATCCGAGAAACTTGTATGCTATCACAAATTAATTGGATAATGGCTAAGCAACCCCCGCAAAGGTGTCAAACTACGAGAAGGAGACCAGTGACCAGTTTCTCCCCTCGGGCCGGCGGCAGGACTGCCATCAGGACAGGACTGCGGCGATACGGGAAGTGGGGAGAACAGTCCCAGGAAGTAGACAGAGAAAAGACACGGCCGGGTATCGCCCCGGGTATCGCCCCATCTGCGTGGCTGGCGGCGGCCGGTGGGCCAGTGTCGCCCGGTCGGCTGTACTCGCTCCCTCCTGTCTCACTGTGAGCTATCACTGACCCTGGGTGAAGTCCGGCGCGGACAGAACGACCGCTATATTCGCAGCCGGTGCGGTCTGAGGTGCCGAGGTGCCGAGGCGACTGGCAGAGCGGCCCGGGAGATTGCTGTCACAGCAGCGTTCACCGGTGTCCGCAGCGATCAGGACAGGAGAGGAGGGGGGGGGGAGGTCCGCCGGCTCTACCGGTCGACCTCTGGTACAGGTGAAAAGGCCCCCACGGTCCAGCCGGCGAGGGATAGCACGTCAGGTTACGGCCCAGGGTGCCGTTGGGCTTAATTACTACGTGGTAATATTATACGTGACTGGGTGGAAGCAGGGCGTGGTAACACCCGACAAGAAAACCGAACTGGAGTGGAATGTCCGCGGCAGATGGCGCCATCGCTCGGCTAACGAGAGAAGTTCTGGTGTAGAAGCTCCCGTCCCGACGGCGATCCGTCAGTAGAGTTGAGAATGGACAACAGCACGAAGTACGGACGGACGGTCTGATAAGTCGGTGGGACCATAGGTGAAACCCATCGGTGGGGGGGGGGAAGAATAGCAGAAGTGCGCGAAAAATTCACTCCAGCCGGATCTGAACGGTGTTTAGTTAACACGCTATTCATGTGTGAGCAAACGGGAGACCTCTCGTAATACAAAACTGGATCCCATAAGTCGTGAGCCCGAGCACCGCGACCCGTCCGTCGTTTCCATCCTCAGGATGCTGAAATGCTTCTCCCCCACGCCGCAGCCCTCGCTCCAGGCTGGACAGGCACCTCTATCTCATGCGGGCTGCTCCCTTGGAGCGGCACCGCTGCTCCCGAGGCATCGCACCCGTAGCCGGGCGCAGAGAGTGCCTGGGGGGCTGGTCGGCCTGTCCATTCGAACGGGCTCAGCCCCGGTGACTCTCTAGGGTGCCTGCCCAGACCGAAGTCTCTCTCCACCTAATTCCTATCATTCTCCCGGCTGCACTGCAATGGTCTCAATGCACCGATAGTGCCTAACCCAACAAAAGAGCACCGCATACAGCGACCATGGTGTTTGCATTTACATACTGCATCTCAGTTTGAAATTAAATTTACATCATGACTCATAATCATTTAAGATATTAAAAGGGTTTAGAAAATCATCCGGCACCCGGATACAGCACCGCCGGCCACAGCCGAGGAGGGGCGGCGGGACACCAGGACCGTCTACCGACCGAGCGGACGGGGATTACTGGACCGTTGGCCGGCCACTTGGACTGTCAGCCGGTCGAGCGGGGGAAGGGACGGGGACAGGGACATCTGGATCGTCCGTCCGTCCGTCGACCGGGACGTGTTGACTGACCTCCAGCAGGTGCAGCATCCGTCCGCCGGCGTGCGTCTCGCCGTCGTCGTCGCAGTCCTGCAGGAATGCGCCGCTGGCCGCGCCCTGTATGCGGTACGCCCACATGTTGTGTGTGGCCGAGGCAATCTTCCTGCACTCCTTGAGACTGGCTATCACCTGACTGGGGAGGGAGAGCATCAATGTAAGGGGAGGCAAACAATGTGTATGATCAGAACATTCCAATCGACAGAAATAAAGTAGCTTGTCACATTATAGCGGACGTTAAGCCACAGTACCGTACTTTAAACCGTATCCTATCCAATAGCACAAATCCGCAATGTTTGCTTGTCTAAATCCACTTCACTGTGCCCTTATACTCACTGGACCTGTTGGACGGTGACGACGGGCGCACAGTGCGCCTGGAACACGCTCTTCCGGTCCACAATACACTCGCCATGGATGATCTCCGGGCACGGTGACAGGTCCGCCTCGATGGTGGGCGGGGGAGACACAGCCGCCGAGGAGACACTCTCCTCTGCAGAACAGGGAACAATGGGGACTAAGTACATACAAACACATAACAGGGGAGAGCGAGAGCACGACAGAAACTGGGCTGTCGATAAATATGCGACCGGCAAATAACCGGACAACGAATTCGTAATTATGTCAGATAAGACCTCATGAAGGATGCAAGAGATAAAATGAAATATTATTATTAGTCATCGTAACATTTTACCCAACATATCGAATTGACGGCTCATAAAATATCACATATCGAAACACATACCAATATCAGGCGCCGTTTCTTGGAGCTCCTCCAGAAACTCTCGAACACGCTCGATCCACAGGTACAATATGCTAGAACCAATGTTATCACTGAAAACAGAAGTGTGCATATTATTACCTTGCTGTGTTTCAGAACCGGAGCAAAAGACCCCGGGAGACCGATATAAGCTGATAGTTTACACTTGATTGCTTAAGTTGTTTGCTTTTAACCTTTATTTATGATATTTTCGCTACACATTACATGTAAAGAAACAGTAATCAGTGACATTAAAGATTGAACAATAAGCATCCTTTGCCACAAACATGTGGTGAGCCACAGACGTTGTACGCACCAGTAAATGCCATCGAGGTGGGCGGCCAGCGTGTTCCTGAGGTCGCCGCGCAGCCACGGCGCCAGTAGCTCGTACTGCGGCGGCGACTCGGATGGGTAGCCAGGGGTCAGTGTCATCTGCAGAAAGGTCAGGGGGTCGGGGGAAAATGAGAGGTCAAGGGTCAGGGGAGAGTCCGGGAGGTCAGAGGGTGGGGAAATGAGAGACAAAATGAGGAAAATGTGCCACTGGGGGAGCCTGTGTCAAGTGTCAACTTCATTACTTTGAGTAAAATGAGAAAATATTGTGATCGTCTCTGCATGCTGTTTACAAGTCGTGGCTGCTGAAAAGACAATTGGGTACCATGTGATCATTTACCTACCTCAAGAGTAATGCTTTTGCCTCCATGCACAATGGAGACAGAATATATTCTGGAAGACTCACTGACCACTTTCCACTCTTGCTCATAAATGGAGGAGAGTGCTTGCACCTCATCAGCCTGAAATGTAGGTAGTAGTACATAGTATCAAATGTTACATTACAGTGATAAGGATCATTCTTCACAATGAAGCATGAGTCTTACAAGTTACTACTAAGTAGCTTTAATTGACATTACGGTATGTCACATTGCATAGGTATCTCCTTCACTTCAGTTTTTATAGACAGACTGGTTGAGCCACAGGCAAAGCCCAATGATGAGATCTTGGCACTTAGGCCTGAATATTTACCATCTGATCAGGAAATTATTAGCCTAAATAAGAAATGAGATGCTTCCATCACATGACTAAAGCTCTCTCTGAATAAAAAATATATAACCTGTTCTTGTAACCATAAATTAAATTCAGTCTGGGACACTTCAGGGAAATAAATAATAATCAACTTGATGAGCTGCTGAAGAAGTTGACCTATGACATCAGAGTATTGCATTGGATTCATGTTGTGAATAACAGTTGGATGCATTATAATTAACAAAAATGATTATGAATGCTCCAAGACAGAGTGAGCTACCTAGGAAAGAGCAGTAGGGCATCTCATTAAAGGTAGACTGCCACCTTTTTTCCACAAAACGGTTTTCACTAGAGCTGAGCCACCTATGTCCCAGACTGAAGTCGGTTTTCCGAAATTCGAACCCGTTTGCGAGAAATCGGAGACCAAAGTTCAGTTTGATGCCATTTTTTTAGTCCAAGAAAACCGACATCCCTACTGTTTATCGATAACTTTGAAACATGAATTTTCTTATCTTTTGGTAAATATATGCCAAAACTTTGATTGTTTCGAGATCAGAGAAGAATATTGGAGTGTCAAAATAAAAGTTAAACTTATATATTCAGTAGTTCATTTTTTCCAAAAAAGTGTGGGAAATGGGGTTTAACATGGGCCAGACCCATTCCAAATGAGCCATGATTTTTTTTAATGTTTTACGAACTTAAATGCAAAATAAATTAAACATGGCCAATTTCTCATGAAATCATATATTAGTAAATTATAAAATACCTTACTTTTTCAAATAAAATGTAATAATCTTATGACCTTGAAGTCTAGTGATGTGTAAACATTGTCGCTAGACATTAACCGATTGATAATTGTATGAAAATCGACAATTTTTTTCGCGATTCACGTGATGATACTTTGTCAGGTGAATTCTAAAATTTTGTTTTGTCCAGGGAATAAATCATAGGCCGATCTGAGAAAACTTTTTGAAGGTGGCAGTCTTCCTTTAAAGAAAAATGTTCACAAAAATTGGCTAGCAGTGGGAGCATCTATGCAATAAAAGAAGTCAGGGATATAGGCAGGGTTACTTTTAAAGGGGGGGAAGAGGGGAATTTCCCCCCTTCGAAAATTCCGCTCCCCCTTTCAAATCGTGTCTGAACGGCTAGGGAGGGAAGGGGGAATTTCCCCCTTTCAAATTTATTTTGGAGCCCATTTTCAATCAATTCGCTATTCAGATTCTATAGTCATCGTTAATCAGATTCTCGTCATCAATCAACGTTGCTGGCGTTAAGATAATTATTAATTTTCAATTTTCGGTTCCATCCAACCATTTTACGTTCAGTGCAGCAGGAACTCCAGATTTGACCCGATACCGATCGGATAGTCGGTGGGACCGTCTCTTGTCTTGTCTCTTCCGTCTTTTCGCAATCACTGACATATCGGTACAGGCGTCGGCGTAGGAACCGGCGGGGGACGGGATTACCTCTCCGAACCAAGGGTGGATACAGGGGGAGGGGGGCAATGGGCCATGGCCCCTCCTTTGACGCAAAAAGAAGGTGACCCCCCTTTTGGACCCCCTTTTATATTCTGTGTTCTTTCTCAGAAACGACCCATTTATTCACGATTATTTTCACTTTTTCATCGACGCCAAGGCCAGACATCTAAAATTTTTGTCCCAATATGACAATGGCCGTGTTTAACCATCCTCCAAACCTGAATCATTGAAGGAAAAACAACGTTATTTTTGTCCCATAGGCATCAAAGCTTTGAGTAATAAATGACTTTTCTCTTTATGCAGCATTCACGTTCATCTGCTTTGCATGCAGAGCAGGGCGCAAAAAAAAGTACCTCATCACAGCCGGCTTTCCCAATGGAACTTTCACTGCTCACTAATACTAATAGTAATAATTCAAGTTTTGTGCTTCATTAGTTTTTGTTCGGATATCACTGCCCACCTTGTAGTTGTAGAGGTTGCAGTTCTGTAGCGCCGTCGTTTCTCTACATACACGACCACACAAAGAACTTTGGAATTGCTCGTTAACTGTAGCTTTTGTGAGCGTTTAAGAATTTCATGTTTTTTGCTCATTTTTGCTCGAACAGTTTGACATCAATTACTCCTGACCTAAGGTGACCTAAGACTTGAAATTTTGTGCGAAGGTTTCAAATTGATGCCCGGTAAGGTACTAAAAATTTGGCGGCGCTGCGCGCCGCCGTTTTTCGCTTTTCAAGAAAACCCACATGGGGGCCAAAATGACCTCCAATCAGGGCGCGGATTAACCTCTCTCTTTAGAAAGGCGTTACTTAATGTTTGGCCGGGGTATACCTACTAGTTATTGATACCACTGATAGGTTGATACTACTGATTGGCATTTGCAAGGGCGCAGTCAAGTTGGGACCTCCCCCGCCCCTTACAGCCAAGGTAGGTGCGTATATTTTTTAGCAAAATTATTTTTTGGCAACCTTCCAAAATAAAGTGGCTGAAACCCGAGGAAAGAATAGGATTTGGGGGTAGGTAAGGTTCTGCGGGCTCCATCCTAACGAAAAACCTAATGGTATTGCCGCCCACCCCCCTTTCAGATGCCCCTGGATCCGCCTTTGCCCCGAACTTTATTCCCCCTCTCAACTTTTCCTGTAAAAGTAACCCTGGATATAGGTATGTAAATACTGGCAAAATAGCAAAAGTTGAACATCAAGCCCTTTTCGATTATCCATTTTATGGTAGCAGAAGCCTGCATGATGAAAGTTTAGAGCCATCTGACTTCAAAATACTGTTTGTACTTTGTAGTGCCTAACATGAGGATTTATGAGCCGGTCTCAAAATGGGTGGAATCTGAAAACAGGGTGCCGGAGGGCATAGTTAGTTAAGTGACTCCCCATCTCTAGTCAAGTGACTTCCCCTCTTGCTGCCTTATACAGGCTAATTGTCACAAGATTTGTGCAAATGAATTTAAAGAGCCTTGATCAAATCACCCCAGGTGCCCTGTTTTCAAATTCCAGCTCAAAATACTGTTCACATTTTTCATGCTACAAACTTCAAAACAAACTTCACTTTGAAGCCAGCCAGCAACGTCTTTTTCTATGACACTCAAATGCACAATTACCTATTTATACTTATTCATTGAGAAGAATTAAAAGTTGATTTGAAGTGCAAATTTCAGTGGCAAATTGTTATTGAACACAGTCTAGCTTGACAGTTTTCTGGAAAATCAGCATACCTGAAGAGATATGTTATCCATCAGCCCTTGCTTTTCAGACAGTAAAAGGATCTTTGCCAGCTCTAGATATCTGCAACAAAATTGTTTGTTTTGTTTATTTATACAAAAGCGCATTCCACTTATACAGCAATCCACACGTGAGAAGCCAAGCATGCAAATATTTTTTTTTTTTTTTTTTTTTTTTTTTTAGTGGCCCTAACTTACGTTACCGGCCTCGCGAGGAGGGCGGCGACCTAACTACGCCGCGCAAAACAAACCGGCCGTCCTAACTAAGACCGGTGGCCACTTTTACAGCAAGACAACATGGGAAAACCCATATCCATGTACTATGCCATGAATATGGGAAAAAAACCCATGAATTTACGTTAAGACACATAAATGACAGTGAAACTTACCGGTAAATTGATGTTTGTGAAGGGAGGGAAGGAGGAAGTTTGTGAATGGTAAGGTTACGAGAGTTTGATGACAGGAATGGTTTGAAGAGTGGGGGATATGTCGCTGGGAGGGATGGGGTTTGTGAATGTTTAAGCGTCACGATGAAAGGAATGGTTTGGAGGATGGGGAATCTGTCGCTGCTGCAGTTGGCGGCCGACGGTTGTCTGTGGTCGTTCAACCCGGCCGCCGCCGCTGTTCAGCGGCCGGGGTCCGCTGGTGTAGCTCGCTGGGCCGCTGAGCCTCTAAGCCTGCTCCAGCGGCAGGAGAAAACCCGTCTGCCACCGAAGCTCTGTGTTTCGGCACCAGCGAAAAACCCGACCCATCCCGTATCACAAGTCAGCCTGGTGGTAGCGAAACGGGCGCCTGCTAACAGTCAAGGCCGTTAAAGTAGCTCTGAGTAGGGTGATGTTAGGACGAAATCAAGTACCAGGTTTGTCAATGTTGTGTCGTCCCCGAGAAGCGTCGGGAGGTCGTTTTTAAGGTGTTGTACCGCAAGATAGTTAGTGATGTGTCTTCGTTCGTGATGCAATGCCGTGCATGCGATCAAAATGTGCTCTACGGAGATGCGTGTGTCGCAGGTGTGGCAAATCGGAGGGCCCGTCCTATCAAAAAGGTGGCCATGGGTGAGGCGAGTATGACCACACCTCAATCTGGCCAGGGTCACCTCGCGTATCCTGTCTGGTTGGTTACATGTGACCCATGTTCTAAGTTCTCGTTTGATCGCATACATATGTGCAGCATGATGTTGGTCCCATTTGCGTTGAAGGTACTCGGCGAATTTGATTTTTATCATATGAATAGCGTCCCCTTGGGCCATAGGTTCCACAACTGGATCAGGTCGCATTGCAGCCTCCTTTGCGAGGACATCCGCACGTTCATTTCCTGCAATACCGTAATGACCTGGAACCCAAAGAAGGGTCACATGCTGGCCCTCATTGAGATCTGATGTGATCCTGAGAATATTGTAGATACCGTGGTGGGTAACATTATCGGTCCTTTCCAGTGCTTGAAGAGCGGATTTCGAATCAGTACAGATGGTTGCCCGATCAATCTTTTCTGCCTTGATGTGCTCCATAACTTTTTCGATTGCGTGAACTTCGGCACTAAAGACTGTCGTAAATTCTTGAAGCCGGGTCCCAAACCTAAGCCCAGGGCCGACGGCTGCTGAACCTATCTGATTTTCGTGACATGAGCCATCTGTGAAGAAAAAAGCAGAGTCGCAGTTGAGCTCTACATACTCCTGGAAGAGCATTTGAGCTTCCACCGGAGGTATACTGGTCTTCTTATAATCAAAAAGAAATTCAATGGATAGGTCTTTGAGGAGCCAAAATGGAATCATAGGAGGATTTAGAGTAACTTCAGTGCGCCTAATGTTTAGCAGTTGATGAGCTTGCTCAAGGCACCCGGGTAGAAAGCACGATCTACGCAGTGGGCGTCGGGTTCTTGGTTTCCTCGCCTCCATTGCTGGTACCGCAATGTGATTTCGAACACTTTTTGCTCTGTAGTAATAGCGGAGGAAAAGAAAGACGCGTCGGTCATCAAGTGCTGGAATGCCGGTATCTGCACGAAGCGCAAGAACTGGCGATGTGCGAAAAGCCCCAGTTAGAAGTCTCAAGCACGTTGATTGAACGGCTTCTAGACGTTTGCATAAACTGGGCGACAGTGTGCTAAACAGATAACAATTGTACTCAATCGTAGATCTGATTAGCCCAATATACAACATTTGCAATGTTTTCCTGTCCGCACCCCAAGAAAACCCACATATGCATCTTAGGACATTGATTCGTTTAATACAACGTGCTCTTAGGTGCTCAACGTGTTGACGGAAGGTTAGATTAGTATCCAAAATGATCCCTAGAAATTTGTGTGACGTGGAAAAAGGTATTTTAATCCCATCGATGTGTGGGGATCTTTCAAGCGATGGACGGGGTCCACGTTTGAAGACCATCATGACTGATTTTGGTGCTGACAAAAAGAATCCCCATTTTGTGCACCATTTAACGCAGTGATCAACCACTGTTTGCAATATAGAATAAGCCTGTTTGTAGTTTTTGTGGGATACCCATATTGCTATATCATCAGCAAAAAGCGAATAGCGGACAGAAAATGTTAGAACACGTGGCAGGAGTAGGAGCATATCGTTCAGGGCAATCAAGAACAGCGTAGGTGACAGCACGCTGCCTTGAGGGACGCCATGTTCCATTACAAAGTCGTCAGAAAGTGTCGCTTGGCAACGAACTTTGAAAGTTCGGGGTTTTAGGAAATTTTGAAGAAACGCAGCCAAATGGCCTCTGATTCCGATTGAGTGCAGCTTATAAATTATCGTCGAACTGTGTACCTTGTTGAAGGCTGACATTAGATCTAGGAAAATAGCAACAGTCGGTCGCCTATGTTCCCAGTTTACCTGGATGTCCGAGATAAGGCGAATGATATTGTCTGCCGTACTACGATTTTTCTGAAAACCGCTTTGACATATATCAATGCAATGGTTGCTCTCAAGGTAAAATCGCAGGCGCCTGTTTACCATTCTTTCGAAAATCTTGGAGACACAATTGGTTAGTGAGATTGGGCGATACGAATTTGCGTCGTGCTGGTCTTTGCCGGGTTTGAGGATAGGTATGATTATACTTTTAAGCCATTCATCCGGGAAGTTGTCCTCAGTCCATAGTTTGTTGAATGCTATCAGTAGTGTGGAAAGGTTAAGTTCGTTCAATTTTGTGAAAAAAGAATATGGAATGGAGTCTGGTCCTACCGAAGTTTTAGTGCTTGCCATTGCTAGGGATAGTTTAAGTTCTCTTAGGGTAAAAGGAGCATTGTATGGTTCAGAGTTTGCAGAAGAAAAATCAAGATTTACTGTTCTATTAACGAGAGCTCGATGCACGCTCAAGGAGTAAATATCTGTAGACGATGTGTTGGCAAAGTGTTGGGCAAATATATTTGTGACGGTAACTGGGTCAGTTACGAATATATTGTTTGAAAGCAATTGCGGAAAGGCACCTAAATTAGTTCGTCGTGAGGCGAAAGCACGAACATGACTCCAGAGTTCGCTGAGCGGGGTAAAACGATTACATTTAGCGGCATAGTTTTGCCATGCCGCCTTCTTTTCTTTGTATATAGTTTCCGCACATTCTTTACGGGCAGCGGTATACAGTTGGGCATGTCTGGGACATATGCATCTCTGGAAGTTTCTGAAGGCTCTTTTTCTTATTGCTTTGGCTCTTTGGCATTTCCAGTTCCACCAGACAAGATTTTTAGATTCATTTGCAGTTCCAATCTTAATAGTTTTTTCTTTTAGCGTTTCACTGGCCGATTTCTTCATAGCCCCCATAAAATTGGAAATGGTCTGAGACAGGCCGTAGGGAGCATGTCTGTTGACCTTTGCGTTAAAGCCCGACCAATCCGCGTTATTTGTTTGCCATACCTTCAGTGTCGGTGCTGGTGACAGCGTGGTTGCACTGGTAAGCATGATGTGAATTGGATAATGGTCTGAAAACAGCGGATCCGATGTTACGGTCCATCTAAAGAGCGGTGCGATCCTCGGGGAAGAAATTGACAAGTCAATTGCAGAGGTTGTGTGGTAGCTACTACTGACAAACGTTGGGTTGCCGTCGTTCATAGCTACAAGGGACTGGCGGTTTAGTGCAGCTTCAATTATCCTGCCTCTCGGCGATAAGTGTCGGCTGCCCCATAGTGGACTATGACCATTGAAATCGCCGAGCAGAAGGCAATTTTCTGGCATTTGCTCTAGAAGGTCATTCAGATTTTGCTGGTTTACAACAGTTGCATTTGGCGGCAAATACACTGAAACAACCAACAACTCGCGGTTTAGTAGTGAAACAGTAGCTGCTACAACATTTAGCGGGGAAGCTATGTTTGTTTTCCGTTGTGACACTGAGTTTGCTACATAAAGAGCTACGCCACCCTGTCTATTTGCTAGATTTATGTCCTGTCTGTACAAAGTATATCCAGCCACATTGTAATTGTAATGATCTGTGCTTTTAAAATGAGTTTCCTGAATCGCCGCTAGAAGAGGAGCTTCCTTTTGTATATACTGTTTAAATTCAGACAAATGGGATAGAAGTCCTCCTACATTCCATTGAAGCAAAAAATCCATTGCAGCAGCTATCTAGTTTGTTTGGCGCGCTATTCTGGGATGAAGGATCGTCTGGTCACGACCTGGGTACGAAGGCCCACATTTTTCCTCTCCTTTGTTGAGCGTGCTCGGAGGCGAGTTTTGGGGCCTTCTGCATGGAGGGTGAGCTGAGTGTCGGAATCGCTGTCATCAATGACTGATGGCGATCGCAGGACGGAAGACACGGCGACCATTTTGGGGGTCTCCTCGTCCTCGCTCGTCGTATTGGCATCATAGCATGTGTCGTCGTCGGAATCTGTAGCCCTTGTCCGGTGGAGTGGTGTAACTACGGAGACGCCAGTTGGGTTGCTGGGGGACATTTCACAGGTGCCTGGTGTTTGGGCCTGGTGTCGTGTCCCACCACTTTTGTGCGGGCCTGTTTCTCGCTGATCAACCACGGTGGGAGAGTCAGGGTGGACTGTCTTGGGTGTCGGTGTCGACCGGGCGCAGCCTACATCGATAGACCGAGCGAGTTCCGGCGTCGCGGCCGTGCGCTTCCGAGCATGGGTGCTTGGGTGGTCTGGCGGGCTCGTGTCTTTGCGGGCTGGTGGCGTCAGCTTTGCGTGACGTGCGACATGGGGCAGATCCCGAGGGGGTGGGAGCTCTGGCCAGTCCTGTGGGCGGTTTGCAGCCTGGGATATCTGAGCCTGTGTTTGTCCCACATGGCGCGGGACTCCCTCGTGGTGGGAGGTGCTGGGCTGGGTCATGGGGGGTGACCCACCGTGGGTGCCAGCCACGTGTCCAGATCTGCGTTGTGTGGCCTCGCGGAGCTCCTGCACCTTTGCAACCCACACGGGACAGTTCTTGTCAGTCACTGGGTGCGGTCCATTGCATGCAGCACAGTGGGGAGGGGCGACACACCCTGTAGACGGATGCTCCTCTGAGCAACGTTTGCATATTTCAGCACGAGACCTACATGTGCCTTGTCCGTGTCCATAACGCTGGCACTTGCCACAGCGCCGAGGCAGCTGGTGAGATGGCCTGACTTCATAGCGCATGTACACTGCATAAAGGTGTTCAGGCAGCTGTGTGGCCGAAAACCTCACCTTGAGCAGTGGGTTCGGTCTGGAATTTTTTGAAGGGAGGCGTGTGACACTTGTGACACCCTGGTCACGGCTTTCCTCAAGTATGGTTTGAGGAGACTCCATTGAGAGCTCAGGGGCATAGACCATCCCCTCCACCTGGTTTAGGCGGTCTGCTGGAATCACAGAGATGTCCTCCCCCCTGAATGACCTCCAGGCTAGCAGAGCCTCGGTCTGGTACATGTCCCTCGTTTTGACAAGCAGAGAGCCGCTTCGAAGTGCAGAAACCTTAGCAGCTGCATAATGGATCACGTCCAGGAGCTCATCTCGAATTTTGTAAGGGCTGAAGTTCCGAAAGCTTTGGTTTTTTTCCTTAAATCTCACGAGGAGGTAAGCAGGTCCAGTGGGAAGGAACTGACCTTCGTCAGTAGCGGTAACCGCCTTGGAGAACATGGCTGGCATAGCTGGAGAGAACGACACCAAAAAGCGAGATAATCTTGTGAGGAAATTACAAGTCTTGCCAAAGAGTAGTCAACAAAAAATGAAGACGTGAAGAGGAGGGAAAGCAGACTCACCGTGGAATCTTGCTTTAATAGTGGGAAGCCGCTCGGGCAGAGTGAGACGAATGAGACGAAAAGCTGTCGAGACTAAATCCACCAGAATTCAATTTCACGCAAAGACAAGGCTATTTTTGATAAAAAAAGAAATGCTGAACAGGACGGGAACAGAATATCCCGTAAAAAACACCCTAGCACTTAAGGGAAACTGCAAAAAGTCTACTAATCTATAAAACCACGCGAACCACGCCGTCAACCGATTAGCATGCAAATATAAAACATGGCATGATCCAAGGCCATGATCTGTTTAATTTGCTATATGCGTAGCAGCTAGTGTACAATAGAAATGGGATTTAAATAAAAAATTGAGTAAGTCGCTTATCTATTGCTTGTATTTTTATCTCCAGCATGAATCTGAATGATATTTCATCTTTTAAAATGAAAGAAATTCTGGATTAGATACGCAGGCGCTTTATGAAATCAAGCACACATGACGCTGACGCTGCTAGAGAACACTAGAGACTATAGAAATTTATGCGCCATGAACGCCGTATCAGTATATCTTTATTTTTACTCTTACGTCATTAATTAAGAGCAATGAAATTTGCTCTTTTGATTCGGAAGAAAAACTTCTCCAAATAACATGCCTGTTTTCATTTTTTATCACAATACCTTGAAATTAAAATACAATAGCTTGTAGGTCTATTTCATTTAAACGACAAAGTTCAGGTTAACTACCTCAACCTATTTGGCATTTGTGACGTAATATATCTTACAAGAATGATAAGTCAATGTAAAACGCAACTATCGAAATTATCGCATGTAAACAATGCCAGGGGCGGTGTGGCGTGTGGGGGTGCTTGGGTCGAGCGTCGAGCCTCTGGGATTATAGAGTACCTACTTTGCAGTTGCCAATTGCGGTGCATCAGGTTTATTGGGGGATAGCACCCTTGCAATGTCATCTCCAGCCAAGATGGCCAAGAGCGCGCTGCGGAAGCGTGTCAAGGCAGCGGTAAGTCAGCTCAGCTCTGAGGAGCGCGCCCGGCAGAGTCAGGCAGTGACCCGTCAGCTGCTGGCGCTGCCACAGTACCAGCAAAGCCAACGCGTGTCCGTGTATCTCAGCATGCCGGACGAGATCCAGACGGGTGACATCGTGGCCGACCTGTTACGCGCCGGCAAACAGTGCTTCATCCCGCGTTACGAGTCCGGCTCGTCTCACATGGACATGGTGCGTCTGCACTCGGCTGCCGACCTCGCCGCGCTGCCCACCACCAAGTGGAACATCCAGCAGCCTTCCCTGGACGAGCAGCGCGAGGAGGCGCTCCAGACGGGAGGCCTCGACCTGATCCTGATGCCGGGTCTGGCGTTCAGCCGCGCCGGTCACCGGCTGGGGCGCGGCCGCGGCTACTACGACCGCTACCTGACGCGCTGCCGGGAGGCGCAGCAGCGGCCGCCCGTCACCGTGGCGCTGGCCTTCGCCGAGCAGCTGGTGGACGAGGTGCCCGTGGAGGAGACGGACGTGCCCGTGGACGTGGTCCTGTGTGCCGGCGGCGAGGGCGACCACTGAGCGCCGGGCCGCGTCCGCAGCAGAGGGGTGCTCGGTGCCCAGTAGTCGGGGTAGCTGGGTAGCGATGGCGTATCTGGGCTCTGAAGACCTTCAAACCTTTGCTAGAAGCATGTACTTGAATTTCGATCCTTTACTGGGATGTATTTGTAACAGGCCTGCTCTCGAGTTGAGACCGCGGGCGTGGCTGGGACGACTGCGCTGTGCCTACTGTCCTGTATAACCGGACACCGGTCTTGAACCAGCAAAGGAAACTAACTCGTAGCAAATGCTGGGGATGAATAGTTATTAGTTTGGTAGACTGATTTTGTTTACGGGGCACATTGCTTATGATTCTGCAATAAGTGAGTAGCCAAGTGACTCATTAAACTGCTCAAAGCCGTCAGCTACGTCGACTTCTCTCGAATACGTTATGGTATTACCGACAACCTTGGACAAGTGTCAGTCAGCCTCTACTTCGGTCTTTTTTCGAACTCGATGTTTAGGTGACTAAGCACGGGTGTCCTCGACTCTCGAGTGTTGTGGTGCAATATTTTGAGCGGTGGGCTTTCAGATATGAGGTCAAGGTTGATACTGCCCATCCTGGCCACATTAATTAGTCTCGGGGCACTGTATTTTCTCGAGGGGTCTGTTGCAGTCTCTCCTGAAGGCGTATAGATCTGAGCAAGATATAAGCCAATTTTGTAACCAGGCCATTTTGTGCCGATAATAGATTTTATTTTCGAAAAACGTGTGTGAACGAACGACTTCTATGAGTAGCTGGACTGACTGTGAACCATTTCTAAGTTAACAGAAGGACAGTTTAATTAGACAATTAGTCATGTGATAGCGCTCCTTTGTGTGCCCTGAGATGATGGTGCGTTCTGCGCCGGCCTACTATCCCTCAATCAGTAACCGGCGCACGGCGGACACCCTCTGCTCGGCCCAACATCCGGTACACCTGTGCCGATTGTTTTATTCAATCGCCGATTTCTGTGCGCGCCGAGCGCGCCCTCAAACGACTGCCGTCACGCGACCATTACCGCGGAGACGTCGGTGGCACCACCGGCCCAGCTGGGCGTCGCCGCTCCATTATTGATGGCGTCACGGGTGCGGGCGCCCACAACACGGCCCGATCACCGGGCGCCGGACACAACACGGCGTCGTCAAGCCCGCGCCGCCGGGACCGGGCGCCCGTCGGCCGTCCGTCGGTCGGTAGGTCGGTCAGTGGCGCGCGGCGGGTCACAGCGACCAGGCGGCGGCGGGCGGTGTCATGGAGGGCACCTAGCCCCGGCCCCACTCGCCATCGCCCGGGCGCGGTGTCAAACGGTGATGGGGGTGTCGCGGGGGACGGGTGCCGAGGACCTGCCGCCAGGGGTGGACGTGAAGGTGGTGTTCGAGAGGACCCCGGCCGCCTACCTGCACGGCACGTCAGTCGTCGGACGGGTGATACTGACCTTGGAAAACCAATTCGCCGTCACATGTGAGCACCCGAAATGTGTGGGGCTGCGTAATCTCGCTTGTTTGCTATTTAGTGTTATGAGAGTTCCTCGTTAGTCGTAGATATCTTCCGTCTCACCATCTCTTACCCTTACCCTGTTGCCCTGAACAGTATCATGAAAGTCGTACGGAGGCAAGCAACTTCAGTCGACAGTCACTCCTCTCTTCCATATCCAATCAGGCGAGGTACCCTTGCAATGGTTTTGAGGTCTGCCGAGATCCAGCGATATTATGAGCATGGAAAATCTAGAAAGCAATTTCCTTCCACGCACTGCAGCAGACGCATGTTAAACTGAACCTCAGGGTGGGCCATGGCTCGTGCTCATTCGCCCACCAGTGTTGATTCTCACTTCTCGGCGCCTGCAGTGTGCTCAAACTCAATACCCCGCTATCCGGAACAGTATAACTTCAGGCGCTTACCCATCCTGCCATCTAGCGGCAACGATGAAAGTAGCAATGCTATCCGGAACAGCATAACTTCAGGCGCTTAACACTCCTGCCATCTAGCGGCAATAATATAAGTAGCAATGCCATGCGGAACAGTATAACTTCAGGCGCTTTACACGCCTGTCATCTAGCGGCAGAGATATAAGTGAAGTAATGATATGCGGAACAGTATAACTTCAGGCGCCTATCGCTCCTGCCATCTAGCGGTAACTATATAAGTAGTAAGGATATCCGGAACAGTACATATATTTTCAGGCGTTTACCTGTCCTGCAACCTAGTGGCAAAGATATGATAAGTTTTTATGCTTTCCTGAACAGCATAACTTTGTCATTTATGGCTGTCGAATAATTAGCAACGATTGACAATGCAATTGCGAATCACTACATATCAGCCCTCACCTCCCGTGCTGCAGGCATCCACGTGCGGTGTCGCGGCGAGACAGTGGTCTCTTTTGTGGACGCTGACCACTCTGTGCGGGCCTGGGTGCCGGACTCCATCACCACGCGGAAGGCGGCCAAACAGGCCCGGTCAGTGAGTCGCTGCACCAGCTCAGACCGCCGGCTGACCAGTGGCGGTGCAGTTATTTGTTTGAGTCGTAATGTGCGTTGCTAAGCGATATGGGAAGTTATGTAATTTTATGCAACGCTTTGACGCGATTACTTAAATCATTACTTACATGTATGAGTATGACTTCAATCTCTAGCAAATAGGTAGTTACATAGTCCGGTTTGAATCGAATATTACGTAGTACCGTAAGTACCCGGTTGGACATCGGCGCTCGTTTGAATTTGCACTTTGAAGCCGGACGGTCTTGCAAAGTCCATTATGAAGGCTTCGGTATTAGTGCTGTCGGCTGCGCATAAAGCTGCCATGGCACTGTATTGTTCACCGGCCACCACCCTCACACCCACTCCGTCCCGCGCCGGTTACAGAGTCCACCCCACCGCATCACTGAAGACCGCGGCGCTGGTGGCCGACATACACTCTTTCGGCGCCTCCATCCTCAATGTCGGCCCCGGCGAGAAGTCCAAACGGACAGACACCATCGGCAGTATGCTGCCGGCGGTGATCAGCTCTGCTCCGAAGCGGGCTCCGCCGGCCCCGGCGCGGCCCGAGTCTCTGCTCAGCGTGCCGCCGTCGGGTCAGGTGACCCCGGCCCGACCCAGGTCGCTGCTCAGTGTGGCCGCCTCGGAGAGGACCTCGCTCTACTCGCAGCCAATGTCTCTGGGCACGGAGCGCCAGATGGGGCCGCAGACGGTGCCGGTGCGGGCGACCCAGACGCTGCTGGACCAACAGCGGGTGCTCTTCGGCATCAGAAACTCCGACTGTGAGTGGCGTGCAATGGAGATGCTGGAGTCGATTTCATAACTTGTGCTGTTACAAAATACTATTCTATTTTATCGTCTTATATGATAATTATCAAGATTCCGATAAAAGAATAAGCAAATTGCCGATTTTTCTGTGGCAAGTTACTTTATAAATATTTATCGAATTCAATTGCATGAGCCCCTAATTTTGACGGGCCCATAACAAATGTTTCTGGCGTTCACTGACCTCCCGCTGACTCTCAAAAGCCGCTGCAGCCCCGCTGGCCCCGCTGACCTCACTTACCTCTCTCTGACCTCCCCCTGACCTCCCGCTGCCCCCGTCCCTCAGACGCCGCGCCGCTGCCGGCCGGCCAGCACCAGTACCCGTTCCGGTTCGTGCTGCCGGCCGAGCTGCCGCCGGCCTTCTCCGGGCGGTACGGGTTCGTCCGCTACCTGGTGACGGCCGTGGTGGAGCGTCAGATCCCGCTGCCGTCGCTTAGCCGCGCCGCCGCCTTCTCCGTCATACCCGAGAAGGGCGTCAGCGACGTCAAACACGCAGCGGTGAGCAACCCGTGGGACGATTGACGAGCGGTGGTGGGAATAAAATGTATGTAGTGAAGAAATGCTTCAGATAAGAATATCGTTTTGAAATACGTAGCTAGTTGGAAATTGAACGCTACGACCTGAAACAAGAAATTATTTCATGTGATTAAATGCACATTTATATCAGTCGCTTGTGTACCTACCTACATACTTACGTTGTTACATGTTTCTGCTCTCACTAGTGACGGATCTTTTCAAAGATACTCCGCTGGTACAACCGGCACTTGACCAGATGGGCCCGCTCTTTTCGCCGTCAGACTGCGACTCGCAGCCAGGCCAGCCGGTTCTTGTGCGGGTTTTGCTGTCGGCGAGGTCCCCTCACCATTTCTCTGGAGGTGGGCCGCCGAGCCGCCGCGCCCGGTCAGAGCCTTCCCGTCAGCGGGGAGGCTCTCAACATCAGCGGCCGCGTCATGCCGGCAACGTCACTACGACTTATGCAGGTACTGACGGCTTTAGGTACAGCTGACATTACCTCAAGACTTGTACGGGTTGTATGGGTGGGGTCATATTGTCCAGTTTCATGGAAATGCAAATACCAACTTTAAAGATATGTCGAGCATTAGGTACTTACCAAAAGATCCACACCATTTGAATGTAGAAAGCAAATTGCAGGACATCGGAATGTTGCATAGTCAGCTCACTGATTATCTGGCGTAATTAAATTGTTGCTTTTGCACGTGACTGCTATTTTCTCATCTATTGTGATAATTAGGCCCCACAAATATGTAGTTCACACAGCCCCAAACTCAGTCCACGAAGCTTCCAGCTAGATTAGGTGGCACCAAAGTCCTCATACTCGTCTGTCAAATTACGGCGTAACGGCCTAACGTCCCAACGGCGGTTCCACTACCAGGCTCAGCGCGGACCCAGTGTTTGTTGAGCATCGGTCGTTAGCCGCCGTATAGTTATACGAGTACCTACGGCGACTCCGAGGGGACTCGGCCACTCGACCAAAGTGGCACCGGCCGCCGGCGGCACGAGGAGCGCTGCTTGCCACGGGAGGCTCACGGGTGAACTGGTGCGGTGGTGTTAGACACTGTTACTGATGGGTGAGGTAGCGTGAGCTGCAGTGGCACCACGGCGTGCTGCAGTGGCACCATTCGGTGCCTCGAGTACGGTTCGTCACATGACCATTGACCAATCCTTACTCGTAACAGCAACGACATAATCCTTCCTCTAGATGGCTATGATGCATGAACAGTACCTTGCCATGAAATCGAACATTTAAGCAGCAACACCGCACTTCAAACCATGTTGTGGGCTCTACCACCATGATTTAAATGTTTAATTGTAAGTAACCAGCTCCAAGGAGCGCTCAGCGGGACCGCGTTACCTCACTACTCCGAAAATCAATGCGACTGCCATGCTATGGCACGCAGCACTCGTAACTCAGCGCTGCTACCACGGCAGCATAATGGCAGGTGGTCAGTGTACCGGAGGTAGCGGTCGTAATGGCACCAGAATGCGGTCGGTATACCGAATATACAGGGGTCATCTCCGCCCACTCGGGGTGGTGAGGTCGGCCGGGCGAGCCCGGTGGGAAGCATAAATCACCAGTAGCAATGGCCAATGGACTGTATTTATGACCTCATGTCGCTCATGACCGTGTTGACACCATTACCTGCAGTTGGTAACTATGTAGCCCCTATTGTTGACCCCCCCCCCCATCCGCAGTTGGTGACCCGAACCGTCCCTGATGACCTGTACCTGCTGACCCCTCTCTTCCTCTGCAGCTGGTGACCCGTATACCACCTCTGCGTGCACATCCCTCGTTAGGCCCCCGTTGCCCGCGCCACTATCACCAAGCGTTCGCCTCAGTTGGCTGTCAGCGGCCGAAACCACTCGCGTCGGCTCGTTTGTAGGGTAGGACGGCCCCTAAAAACGCACCGACGGAGTGATAACGACGAGGTATATGGTCGGGATTAAGGATATGCAGGTTTGACGAATCTCGAAGTCGCATCTATTAAATAGGTGAGGGTGGGTGGGAAACTTCTCGCCCACTCTCTGCTCCACTCGCCGTCCGTCGCAGTCGACGACTGCCGTTCGCGCCTCTCGGCTCTCCTGCCAGCGGCGCGCCCGTTCCTACACTCCCCTTCGCACCACCCCTAGTCAGGGTCTGCCCCGCGTCTGTCGGCGGGGTGATTTATCTGTCTCCGACCCCCGTCTCCCTTTGCTCCGGTCACGTTCAGTGGCGCCCGGGCAGGGTCCTAACCTTCCATAGCCGCGTCGCCGCTATGAGTTGATTAGGCCCCCGTTGCCCGCGCCACTATCACCAAGCGTTCGCCTCAGTTGGCACCTGATGTATGTGCGTGCCGAGGCGTCGGCGGCGGACCTGATGCATGTGCATGAGTATGTATGTGCGTGAGTTGCAGAGTAGCCGAGGCGTCGGCAGCGGGCCTGATGTATTTGCAGTGCGGAGTTGCCGGGGCGTCGGACGCATTGCAGTTGCAGAGTAGCCGAGGGGTCGGCGGCGGACCTGATGTGTGTGCATGAGTTGTAGGGTGGCCGGAACCAGGTGTTTTGTGTGTATCGCGTCGCAGGTTGGGGTGCCGCGTTGCACGACCCTTCAAAGCGTGCCTACCAGGCTCCCCGGTTTCCTTTACGATTGCGTGTGCGCTTAATATGCCTCTGAATAGATGCGCGTCAGTCGCCGGGGAAACCATCCTCATGGTGGCGCCGCGTCAGTCGCCGGGCGACCATCCTCGTGGTGTCGCCGCCAAGGAACCGCACTCCGCTGTACGTACCCCCGAGCCGTGCTCGATACGCCTCACCTGCCGTGCCGGCGTTAGTATGCCTGACCATAGAATCCTTGTAGCCGTTGGTACTCCCCACAGCTTCCCTGGCTCCCTTCTCGCTCGCTCTCCGCTCCACTCGCCGGCGGCCATGTCGGCGTTAAGGAGTGCGTGATCGGATAATCCTCGTAGCCGTTGGCACTCCGCACGGATTCCTTAGCTCACTTCTCGCCCACTCTCTGCTCCACTCGCCGTCCGTCGCAGTCGACGACTGCCGTTCGCGCCTCTCGGCTCTCCTGCCAGCGGCGCGCCCGTTCCTACACTCCCCTTCGCACCACCCCTAGTCAGGGTCTGCCCCGCGTCTGTCGGCGGGGTGATTTATCTGTCTCCGACCCCCGTCTCCCTTTGCTCCGGTCACGTTCAGTGGCGCCCGGGCAGGGTCCTAACCTTCCATAGCCGCGTCGCCGCTATGAGTTGATTCCCACCGCAGTTGGTGACCCTTGTGTCCATTTGCTGACCCCCCCCCCTCCCTTTCCAGCTGGTGACGTACCGCACTGGCTCCGGCACGTCCCACCTGCTGGACCGGCGGGTGGTGAGCGGCGCCGAGCGCGGCCCGCTGCCGCCCGGCAGGTCAGAGACGTTCGCCGATCTGCGCCTGCTGGTGCCGCCGCTGCCGCCCTCCTTCAGCTGCCCGCTCATCGACGTCCGATACGCCGTGGAGGTGAATTACATACGATATAAACCGACCCGATGTAAACGGATCTCAGGTAAGCAGACATGAGATAAACCGACCCGATATAAACGGACCTGAGATAAATAGACCCAATATAGGCGGACCTAAGATAAACGGACCTGAGGTAAGCGGACCTGAGATAAACGGACCTGAGATGCACGAAACTGAAATAAACGGACCTGAGATATATAGACGGACTTGATGTGAACAGAACAAAGATACGTACGCTGAGATAAACAGACCCTAGCCGATCTAAACGGACCTAAATGGACCCGAGATAAACGGACCTAAGATAAACGTCCTGGGATTAGCGGACCTGAAATAAACGGACGAGATAAACCGGATCAGCAACTAAGCGAACTTGAGATAAACGGACCTGAAGTATACACGAAACCGAATGTAATTTAATCGCTTCCTAGAGTGGCCAGAACGGGGTCGTGTAGGGACGGTGCAGCGAGTCCATTGTCGACAGGTGACAATAATGCACCCAAACACGGGTTTTCACGTTGGAGAACTCGCCCGTTTCTCGTGCTAGAGGATTTACCCGGCCCGCTCCCCGGCAGGTGACGATGGAGCACCCGGACCCGGTGCTCACGCTGCGCACCGCCGTACCGATAACCATCGGAACACTACCCTACCTGAAGCCCCCTGCCGACGAGACGCAGCCGGTCGTGGAGACGTCCACAGCAGCTCTCCGTCTGGGCGCCGCCTACAAACACCTCCGTGAGTAGTGTTCGCCGTCTATGTATACTGACACCTCCGCAGACCGTAAGTACCTAAAGATTCCGTTATCCCTCCCAGACGACGACTAGTGACATTTGCACATGGTTGTTGTATGTAATTTGATGAAGTTGGTGCTCGATGATTTCGGTGAAGATATCTAATTACACTGAAAACAAATCGACACAGTGAGGGCATGTTCTGTACTGGTAGCACATCAGTCATGTGTTAATCGCACCCAAAACACAATAAAGCTGTGTATTTTCACGCTTGGCGGGACCTTCGACACGTTTGATAACACAGAAAACAGAATAATGACACACTTTCCTCGTGCCAAGCACGCTGGACGAATGTAATGCATCAGTGTATCGAAATCATGTGTTGTCGGATATGGTAGACGTGTACCCTTACACAAATATACCATGCCATCCACCAGTGAGCGACCTCTGAACCTTAACTTCAGATGGGGATAACAGAGGGCGTTTTTCGAGCACCGACTTTTATGCTGGGTTTTTGTAAAAATTTGCCAAAGTGTTTTGAGAAAGGTCAAAATGCACAATACAGCCGAAGGAGTCGATACATGATAAATTGTCTAGAGCAATATGCGCTGATTACATCAAGTGCAAGCTGAAGCATAGCTAATTAACGTCTGCTTGGAGGAAGAAACTCCTCCGTCTATATAGGATATATTTGAAAAATCGGTGGCTGTAAGTTTATCCCGGCTGTCTGGACAACTGTATTGAACAGTAGTCCTCCAATTTAGGGCTTCGTCACTTGATGCTCTGATTGGGCCGTCCACGTGACGCGTTCACCCTTCGGCTCTGAAGTGGCCGACCGGGCGCAACTCCAGCTCGCGTATGGGTCGGCCGCCCGCGTGCTCAGCCCTGACCGCGCCCTGACCGTATGGGTCGGCCGGCCGGGTACTCAGCCCTGACCGCACCCGAGCGCCCGATTCCACTCGGGGCCCGGCTTTGGCAGTCAGCCTGTCCAGCCAAAGCCATAGTCCCTTCAACTGCGCCCCGGCAACAAACTACATAATCACCACGTGTTTCCTTCTTTCACTTGCGATTTGTGTTAAATTTAGTAACATATTTACCTTGTATTCTGCAAATGTATTCACACAAGCCTCATGTGTTGAAGACGCAATGATATTGTGTTATAGGACACAACACGACTGGGTTAACACATTTGTAAATTGACACGTCTACGACGGGTCAAAAAATGCATGATGCAGGGTACACAAGAAAGCCTAGTTAACACGCTCTGCCTGTGCGTTTTTAGTCGTTTTTTGTGTCATTTTGTTTTCAGTGTATTATTTGAGAAAGAAGTAATCGTGAAATTGAAGCACTAACTACCGGTAATTGTTTTGAGCATTAGACAATTGCATAACAGTTGCAAAGCTAGGTATTTGCACGAAACGATGCCTTCCATCTGTGAGACATCTTGTTTATTGTGTAGTTAACCTTTTTTGCATCCTTAAAATTCAAAAGAAACGTATACCCTGGTTCATTTGTAAAAGCACTAATAACGTTGATCTGTCCCGGTTTCAGCTGCGTACACCCTCCGTCCGTGTTTCTGGGGCGCGCGCAGTATCGAGGGCGACACGGACCGCCGGCAAAGCTCGTCGCGCCGCTGTCTGGTGCTGCCCGGCCACGACGCGTGGACGCCGTACTACCCCGTGTTCCGTGAACCGGACACCGAGCTGCAGCGTCCCGCCGAGTGACGGGTGGCAGGCGCCGCGGTGTCAGAGACGGTGGATAGGGTGAATGTGAACCTGAAACGGGTGGATTAAAATGTTATATTTTTGACTGTTTCGCGATTTCACCGTTTGTTGACGTGAGTTGTAATCAGAAAAGTGACTCGTCTGAAGAAGGCTCGAGGGCAAACTCAAGGTCCAACACTCGAACTCGGTATTAGTGCATAATAGGGTTAGCTCCAGAATCCAGAATTTATGCATTTCTTAAACGCATTTAAATGCATTTCTTATGCTACAAAGAAATCGCTGCTTTTATTAAGCACAATAAATTTCGTGCAGTTCACTTCTCATCGTTCCGTCTTTTCCATCCTCAGGATAGTCAAATCCTTTTCTCCTCCAGGCCTCAACCCCTGCTCCGGGCTGGACTGGCAACTTTATCCCATGCGGGAAGCTCCCATAGGGGCACGCCCGTAGCCGGGTGCAGTGAGTACCAGTGCAGGCTGGGTGGCCTGTCGCACTAGATGGGCTCAGCCACGGCGAATCGCCAGGGTGCCCGCCCATACCAATGTCTCCCCCTAATCCCTATCATCCTTCCAGCCCTTGGTCTCCTCCGACCAAAAGGGCCTAATCCAACAAAACCAAAAAAAAAAAAAAAACAATGTTAAATTCTCGATGAGATAAGGCTTGCATTATTTTCAGTCGTCCAATTCTGAAAAAAAACATACATCTTCATCGCTCACTCAACTTCCAACACGTTGGGCCATTGTAAGATAACTAAGTAAATCAACACAATAACGGCTACATGCAGGCAAGGCAGCGATCATCTAGGTACCTATATCAAACTTTTTGTCCCCGTCACGGTACGAAAATACATACACGTAGCTTGATATGACCCAGGTTTAATAAAGCCGTTTTGTTTCCCGGTCCTCGTTTCTAGATTGCCGTATGTTGTCTCGCAATGTAAGGTGCTAAGCCCTGTAGTATAGTGTGCGGCTTGTCGTGACACATTTATGTCTGATATCGAGGTCAAGTCCGGGCTGGTTACAATACATGGACGGAAGGCTCGTGGCCGTTTGCCGGTAAAGGTCTGGAATTGGATGGACATGGTGTAACGCTCTTTTACCATTTTTCATCCGTATCATATTGTATTCCCTTTTATACCGGACCTATTTTTCATCGCTCGGCCCTGAAATAGTTATGGTTTAGACAAGGGCCTATACCATCAAATGGAACCCAACACTATAGCATATAAGTGAGATCCCGGAAGATCCCGGCGCTCGCCTTGCTAACACTGAGAATCGCTCGCTCGCCTCGCTAACAAAATAGCCTTCGCCCTTCGGTAGGAGCGATAGCGCCGTGCGGTCCAGGGGTGGAGATCTGTCAAAATGTCAGGGGGGGGGGTCTAGGCCGGGCAGATGGAGGCGGGCTGGATGCAGTACCATTGACTTACATACCTAGCAGTAATTCGTTTTCAGAGGGGGTCCTGACCCCCCCCCCCCCCCCCCCCGAGATCTCCACATCTGGTGCGATCAGTGGCAGACGGCAACATGGTGGGCGGTAGCGTCTAGCACGTCCTGTCCTGTGTATCGGTGAGTGACGTGAGCTGTTCCCGGCTCTGTGAGCACGTCACACGTTTCACTTTTTTTATTTTGACCAAATTCTTTTTATGTCTTACCGCATATGGGGCGCTGCAGAATATACTGTCCTCTCGCGTAAGTTTCAGAGGAATACCTTCGTATGAAGAAATACAGCTTCCATATGAGAGCTGCCAAATATTCAGCCGATCGCCGATCGCACCCTAAGCAGGTAATTTATTTTGCCTTGATTTCATTTTAAAAACAAGACTTCAGACAAAAATGTTTCAAAGATTCATTATTAGGATTTCCTGTCATTTATTCAGATATTTTCTTGCATTATTTGAAAAAGGAATATCAATATAAATTTTCTAGCAAAATAATGTCGCTAGATTCTCAAGCACAAATATCTCTGAAAGGCATGTAACGAACGCAGATCGCACGTGGTTTTTGTTGTTGCAGAGCCAGGGTATCAGTATATTGAGTGAATTGCAGAGCTGCACAAGAAGGGTGGGTAGGGGAGATTTCAAAAGCATTTCAATTTTTTCTTATTTAGGTATTTGACTCGTGCTTAGTAGGTAAATGTCAAGATTAAGTCCTACCTGCTTAGTATTGCACATATGCTCTTAGGGTGGGTCAAATCCCTCTTTTGCACCCTAGGCTCAAAATTGAATAGAAACCACACCATATTGTCAAACCATGTATTACCCCAGAATTAGACCCTTGAAGGTTGAACTGAATCGGACCCAAATTTTGAGCTCTATCTTGAAATCTTCAGAATGTTTAGGGAAGATCTCGTGGAAAGCTTGCAAATGCTGCTTTGCCACCGGCACCAATAGTTCTCGAGATAACAGGTTTGTCCACCTCCCCCCCCCTGCTGCCATGAGTAGGGAAATATCCCATGCGATGCCAGGATAAGCAGGTTCTGTGCAAGCTGGCTTTGGACTTATAAGTGGCTCTTGCAATTGTAAGACGATTAAAATAAATATTCACTCTAAAGTCTTTACCCTTAGTAAAGGTTATTAAGGACCCTTTCTAGTTTCTAGTAATATAAATGGATGGTATACTATCAGCATTGTCATGCCAGAAATATATCATAAACTCAAACCCCAGCAAAAACCTTTAAAAAACTTTAGGTCTTAGGCTTCAGGCAAAAACTCACTACTCGTGGGTAACATTTCATAAACCCAGGGTTTTCATGTCCCTGCTTTATTGCTTGATAGGGACTCATTTAAGTGCACCTACCCAGCATTTATTTTAGCCATCAGGATGTTTGTTTGCTTCATAATAACTTAATTGAAATGTAGATAATTGTAGTTGGATTCGGTGTCGGGCGTTCGCGGAGGAAGGACGTGTCTCGCCGAGCTCCGTCCCTCCGCCGCTAGCTGTCTTCCGTTTTCGCTTTGCCTCTGTTTCAGTGGACAGTGATCTGAAGTTTGAAGACATTTCATATTTCATATTTCATATCAGATATTTCCTGAAGATTGTCTTGCTCTGGTCTTGCTCGCTAGACTCGTGGTTCTGTGGCCAATCAGAAGCCAAGATGCCAGTTCCAAGGTCACCGCCGCCAAGTCAAAGAAGATCGTTGAGAATATTGTCTTCGTCGACATCTGGTGGTGTTGCTGTTTCAAGTGAAGGCGTGGATGCGTCGTTGACAGTGTCAGGGGATCAGGATTCGAACGTGCTTGGTCCAGTATTTTCCGACAGTGATACTGGAGCTAGTGGTACTGACACCTGGAATTCCAAAAGTGGAAGTTCCTCTCTTCTGGTACCTGAGGTCAAAACAGGTAGGGCCAAGGTGCATAAGCTAAATGGTGAGGCCTACAAGCCATTTGGGTCAAGGTCTCGTGCCTCCAGCGATGCAGGCAGTGACTCTGCTTTTTGTCACGGCGGCCCAGGAAAGGTAGTCTGTGGGGAGCAAGTTAGGAATTCCGAGTATGGTGTTCAGTGTGACAAATGTGATGCATGGTTCCACGCTAGCTGCCAGGGTATTCCAAAGGAGGGATACGAAGCTCTTTCCAAGCATGATCAGATCGCGAGTTGGCTCTGTACCTCGTGCAAAGCAACACTCAAAGAGTCAACCTCTGCTCGTCTGACAGTTCTTGAGACTAAGATGGATGAACTGACTTCCATGGTCAAGGACCTCACAGCACAGGTAGGAAACAAAGATCTAAAGGCAAAAGTAGAACAGCTTGTATCGGCTGTAAACAAACACACAACAATGGTAGGACAATCGCTTAAGCAACAGGAGCAGGCAGTTGACACACAGACAAAGCTCATTGAAAGGTCAATCAGGGACAGCATGCAGCAGAAAGCATCATATGCTGATATGGTTAAAGGCACGTGCACTGACGTTGTCACAAAGGTGTCGGCTAAACTCTCGTCCATCCCTCAGACCCTGTCAGTTCAGGGGGAGTCAAAGGACATGAAAAACATCTCAAAAGTCTTTGACGACTTCCTGGATAAGGAGAAACGGAGAAACAACCTGGTGGTACATAACTTACCAGAGGGTGACAGCCGAGACGTGGCAGGCAGGTCTGAGAGGGACATAAAGCTGTTCCAGCAGATGGTTAAGGACGAATTCAGGATGAATGTATCTGCGACAAAAAGTTTCAGAGCTGGTAAGGCCAGTCAAAACAAGGACAGACTCCTGATAGTTACACTCGACACCCCGGGCGTGAAGCACGACATACTCCGCCTTGCTCCTCAGCTGCGCCAATCCGAGAAATGGGGTAAGATCTATATCACACCGGACCTCACCTGGTCAGAGCGAGAAGCAGCACGCCTTGCCAGACAGGAACTCGCAACTCGGAAAGCAGCCGGTGAAACCAACCTGACTATTCGTAAAGGGAAAGTGGTTAAGACGCGTGTGGCCGGTCCGGCGGTGGCTGATGGTGCCAGTGCCCACACTTCACCACCTGAAGTGCTGGCTGGTCCAGAGGCTGCTGCTGGTGTCGGTGGTCACCGGCCTACATCCACAGAGAAAGCAGGTTCTGCTCCTGCTGCCAGGGTTGGAGAGGGGAGAGCGATAGAGGCACGCGCTGCTGATCCGGCGGTGGCTGATGGTGCCAGTGCCCACACTTCACCACCTGAAGTGCTGGCTGGTCCAGATGCTGCTGCTGGTGTCAGTGGCCACCGGCCTACATCCACAGAGAAAGCAGGTTCTGCTCTTGCTGCTATGGTTGGAGATGGGAGAGAGATAGAGGCACACACTGCTGATCCGGCGGTGGCTGATGGTGCCAGTGCCCACACTTCACCACCTGAAGTGCTGGCTGGTCCAGAGGCTGCTGCTGGTGTCAGTGGCCACCGGCCTACATCCACGCAGGCAGATCCGGCTGTCGCCACTGGTGCCAGTGACCACGCTCCTACGCCTGGAGCGCTGGCTGGTCCAGTTTCGGCTGCTGACGAGCACACATCGGCCTGACTACACACAAATATCACTGACAGGGACAAGCAGCTCAGCTGTTTCTATACCAATGCTGACCAGCTAGTTAACAAGAGAGATGATCTGCTTAGTTACATATCTGATGATTTTCCAGACGTCATCCTGGTGACAGAATGCATACCAAAAGCCCAGCAGTTACCAATCAGCATGGCACTGTTATCTCTCCCTGGTTACAACCTATTTACCAACTTTGATCCTAACGAGAGCCATCTGGGGTCAAAGGGTACTCGCGGTGTCTGTATATATGTGATAGACAGCATCCATGCTACTGAGGTAACATTTACCAGGCCCACATTGACAGAGCATCTGTGGATCAACATCTCTCTGAAGGGTAATGATAGGCTGATCATGGGCTGTGTCTATCGGAGTCCGTCCCAGGACCCTAAGCTGAAGCAGAGCATTGATGAGCTTGCTGGTCTTTTCCAGTCCGTCATTGATTCAAAACCGTCTCACGTGCTGATCTGTGGGGATTTTAATATTCCACAGATCAACTGGGCACTCAACTTTTGTGCAGCACCAGAATCCCATTACGCTCACAAGTTTCTTGGCTCCATTCATGATTGTCTACTATTCCAGCATGTTTTGGCACCCACTAGGTACAGAGAAGGGGAGTCGCCTAGCCTGCTAGACCTCCTATTCACTAACGAGGAGGGGATGCTGTCTAGCCTCGAGTACTTACCAGGTCTGGGTAAGAGTGACCACATAGTAATGAGATTCAATCTCAAGTGCTACAGTACCCGTTCCGAGAATGTACAGGAAAGGTTAAACTTTCACCGAGCCAACTTTGGACAACTCCAGGAGATGATAGCTGAGGCAAACTGGGAATGTCTGGCTTCACTGGACATTGAGGCAGGGTACCAGTATTTTAGGAATTCTCTGACCTCTTTTGTTACTGCCACTGTACCCACTGCTAGAAGTTCCAAATCGAGGAAAAATATCTACATGATGAGCCATGCCCTTAGGTTGAGGAAAGAAAAACACAGTCTTTGGCGCACATACACGTCCACTAAGGATCCATTGGACTTGGCTAGATTTAGAGTCTGCAGAAATAAGCTTCGAGTCCTCACACGCAAACTCCGTAGAGACTTCGAAACTCAATTGGCTACCGATTTGAAAGAGAATCCGAAGGCCTTCTGGAGGTATACTAACTCGAGACTTAAAACAAAGACAGGTATAGGGGATCTTCGAAATGGCTCAGGAGATCTGATGAGTGATGATAAGGCGAAGGCTGACATTCTAAATGCGCAGTTTGGCAGTGTTTTTACACAAGAACGGCTCGCAGACATTCCAACCCTTGCCAGCGCCAGCACTACTCCAGAGGTAACCGATATCCGAATCACACCGGAGGCCATTGAACAAAAGTTACAGGCCCTCAACCCGTCCAGTGCTCCTGGACCAGATAACATACACCCAAAGGTGTTACGGGAGGCACGCCGCGCTCTGAGCCGACCTCTTTCGCTACTTTTCCGGAGATCTCTGGACTTGGGCATGGTTCCTCGGGACTGGACACTGGGGAGGATAGTACCTATATTTAAGAAAGGGAACAGACAGGACCCTGGCAACTATCGGCCGGTCAGCCTTACCTCTGTTGTCTGTAAAATACTGGAATCCCTCATCAGAGACACAATCTATCAGCACTTCTCAGAGAACCACCTGTGGGCAGACTGCCAGCATGGCTTCCGGCCAAAGCGCTCCTGCAGCACCCAGCTGGTCAAAGTGCTTGATGACTGGAGCAGGGCCCTAGAGAATCATAAGCCTGTCGATGTAATGTACCTGGACTTCCAGAAGGCTTTCGACTCCGTTCCTCACCAACGACTCCTCTATAAACTCAGGAGTCACGGGGTGAGCGGCAAGCTGATCACATGGATCGGGGCTTTCCTGAGAGCCAGGAGACAGCAGGTAGTGATTAATGGTCAGTCATCCGACTGGTCGGAGGTGGTCAGCGGGGTACCCCAAGGCTCGGTCCTGGGTCCACTACTGTTCTTGATTTTCATTAATGACATGCCTGAGGTTGTTGGTTCCTCGCTGACGATGTTCGCGGACGACACGAAGCTGTACTCCACGGTAGCCTCTACTCTCGCTGCGTCTAGCCTCCAGTCTGACCTCGAGGCTCTGGTCAACTGGGCGGACGCCTGGCAACTCCCCTTCAATGAGGCGAAGTGTAAGGTCATGCACCTCGGACGAAACAACCCAGCAAAGCAGTATGTGATGAGAGACTCTGAGATGAGCGTCGTGCGGGTGGAGAAGGATCTGGGCGTGCAAGTCGATGACGAGCTGAAGTTCAGACAACATGCTTCAGCAGCCGTAGCCAAGGCCAACCAGATTCTCGCTGTGATTCGTCGCTCATTCGTGCTGATAAACGAGTGCACGCTGCCGCTGCTTTACAAGTCCCTGGTGCGCCCGCACCTCGAGTACGGCAACCTCGTGTGGGGCCCTTTCAACAGGGCGGACCAGAAGCTGGTGGATAGGGTACAGCGCAGAGCTACGCGCATGGTGGCCAACCTTCGCCACCTGCCCTACCAAGAGAGGCTCAGGGCTCTGAAACTTCCATCGCTGTACTACCGACGCAAACGGGGCGACATGATATTCACCTACCAGATGTTCCATGGAGGGGTTGATGTTGAAGTCACGGATCTCTTCTGCCCCGCCACGGGTGCCGTTACACGAGGTCACCCACACAAGCTCCGCAAGCCAGAGGCGGTCAGCAGACTGAGGAGAGCTGCATTCGCAGTCAGGGCCGTGAACGACTGGAACGGCCTACCTGCTCAAGTGGTCAGTGCCCCCACCGTGGACTCGTTCAAGGCGAGACTCGATGCCCACTGGGGCCATCACTGGTATCATATACCAGACACGGATTAACAAATGGCAAAAGGGACAGGAGCTCGGTTAGAACGGGACCTCCAGGCCGAGTTGGCCTTTATTATGCCCGAACACCGTAAGGTAAGGTAAGGTAAGGTAGATCAACTGCTTAGTGCTGACAAGTGTGACAATTAGCTGGCTATGGTTTTGGTTATAAAGTAGTTAAGTAAGTTAGGTAGGTAGATCGAGCATCTTTGTTTATCATGTCTGTGACAAAGACTTAAGCGATTACTATAGAAGTTGGTATTAACTATGAAGTGACCCAAATGAAAGCTGATAAGAACAATGGATTATGGGTGCAGTCTGAAAAGGCTTAAGATTTCCCTATCATCTCCACTTATATGGCCCAAGCTGAGTCAACACTGACATGGATTTTTGTCTTTCGTTTTTTCACTCCCCGCATGGTTGCACATGACTTTTGCAATTTAGTGGTATGCACTCTCCTTTGCTAGATAGTAGTTTAGTTTAGTTTAGTTTATTTGTAGATCATCAACGGGGTATGCCCCCAATCACAGATGAAGTCAATCAAGTATGGCTGATTTTGTAACAAATGATTGGGTTTATGTGAATGTTTGATATTATGTCAGCATTGGTATGTTTTTAAAACATTCCAATGTGTGTTGCCGCTTTTCAGCTTGTGTCGATATTAGTTCTTAGATACTGAATAAAGATACTGAACCAATTATGAAGAACAAGGAAGCATCCAAGAAGTCAAAAGGAAAAGGGAAAAAGAAAAACAACTCTGAACTAGAAGAAATAAAGGCACTTGAGGAACAGTATGAATCAGTAAGTACCTAGTATTATACCTACAACAATGCAATAAATATCATACTTGATATTTATACTACCTATTCTATCATATGGTAACTTGAATGAATTGGATACTATCTACTCGCAACTCTGATGCTGACAATAATCAATCATCACAGATTTACCATGTCTCACCCAGAGACCTTGTGCAGAAATTCTCCCAGATGACCCAGGACATCATGGGATTTCCAACCTCCCTAACTGATGTTACCCAGATCCAGGGACATTCAGGCATGTTTCGTGCAAAGATCTTGGATGATGAAGTTCGTAAACGTGTGCTTGAGGGGTCAAAGTCACTGCGAGGTACTGATTTCAGTAGAGTCTACATATCTAGAGACCTTACCTACGCCCAAAGAGGTGAGCTGTATGCTCGTAGGCAGGCCAGGCGAGCTGAAGCTGGTCAGTCTGATCCGCTGCGTCCTCCGACCGCATCCTCTGCCCAACCTGTGACTGCAACCAGTGAGCAGCCCGAGCCTGTCAACCAGGGCAGCCAGGGAAACTCCCCTCCCTAGACGTTCCTGTCCCCAGAGTTCCAAGACTAACTCGCTCAACTATCCTTAGAATAGCTTCTATTAACATCAATGGCCTTCCATCTAAGCTTAACCTATTGAGGGAATCGGCATTGTCTGGAAAGTGGGACATTATTTGTGTCACTGAAACCCACCTCCTTCCCCAAATCCCTGATTCATTTGTCACCCTTCCTGATTATACTTTGTATCGCCACGACACCCCAGGCTCCAGGGCCAAGCACGGGGTTTGCATCTACATACGTAAGTGCATCATGACTGACTCTCTGGTGAAATCCCTTCCAAATACAATGTCGTTCCACCTCACTGCATTTGATGTGCACTGTCTGCTTGTTTACAGACCACCCTCGAATCCCCCCGAAGTCAATGACTCTATCTTGAGACTCATCTCAGAGTTCTGTTCTGACAGAGAGGTTTTCCTTGTTGGTGACTTTAACCTTCCTTCTATCAACTGGTGTGCTACTTCTCCAAAGGCCAGCGGTGCTACTGACTGTTCATTTCTTGACACATTCTCTTCTTTAGGTCTCACTCAGTGGGTGAAAGAGCCTACCTATCCCCAATCTGGTAACATACTAGATCTTGTCCTGACTTCAGAAACTGATAGGGTAGGGCTGACGGAAGTCATCCCTCCTCTGCCTGGGTGCGACCACTCCCCAGTTGTGTTTGAGTATACCTTTGCTGATACTGAAACCCTCGATTGTAATAAGATTGTGAACAGACCTCACAAACATTGGCATAAAGGAAATTACCATGCCATAGCAAGTAGTCTTGAGCAAGTTAACTGGGATTATGAGTTTTCCTATCTCAGCGCTGATAAATCTTATAAGCGTTTTCTGGGCATTGTGCACAGCCTGGTCGACATATTTGTACCAGATAAAACATCTGATCCCAAACAACGACCTCCCTGGATGAAGAAGCCTCCTTCTAGTCTTATCGATCGAAGGCACACCGCTTGGCAACGTTATAAGAAGACCAGGAGCGAGCATGGCAGGCGTTCCCCTAACTCTGTCTCTGCATATGCCTCATTCCGCTTGATCAACAGCCAGTTTAGAAGTTTCACGGCCTCATGCCAAGCTGCATATGAGGAAAATCTTATGTTGACTTCCAAGGATAACCCAAAGCTCCTCCATTCGTACATCCGGAATAAAAAGGTCGGACCTCCTGCGGTCGGTCCTATTTTGCTCAGCTCTGGTCGCCTTACCGATTCTCCCGAAGAAATGGTTGAGGCGTTTGCCTCCTCATTCTCGTCTGTTTTTACCAAAGACTGTCCGAGGAACCCTTCTCCGCATCAACATTTTGAGGGAATCATTGATAATATCACTTTCCCAGTGGAGCATGTTCTTAAGGTACTGAAATCACTTGATGGTAATTCTGCTATGGGACCTGATGATATCAACCCATTACTGCTGAAGAGTTGTGCCCCGCAACTAGCGTATCCCCTTCATTTGATATTTTCTCGTGCCATCCACGAAGGTCAGCTACCCAGTGACTGGAAGTCATCCATGGTTATCCCTATATTTAAGAAGGGCGCAAGGTACGATCCTCTAAACTACCGCCCGATTAGCCTCACCTCCGTTTGCTGCAAGACCTTTGAGCGACTCCTCTGCCAACACCTAACTGATTACCTTGAATCCCACATGATCCTCTCTCCGCATCAGTTTGGTTTTCGAGCCATGAGATCCACTTCTGACCAGCTTCTACTAGTCTATGACAGCGTTTCTAAGCATGTAGATGAAGGGCGTGTTGTAGACGTAATCTTATTTGATTTTAGTAAAGCTTTCGATGCTGTAGTACACAGTCTCCTCCTCTCCAAGCTTGAGTGCTTAGGTGTCCAGGGCAGTACCTTGCAGGTCATTTTCTCGTTCCTATCTAACCGATCGATGAGCGTTTGTATTGATGGTCACCATAGTCGTGCCAGAGAAGTTCTCAGTGGCGTCCCCCAGGGGACAGTCCTGGGACCCCTCCTTTTTTTAATCTATATTAACAGTATTGGATATAACTTGTCTTGTAACTACAAAATCTTTGCCGACGACCTGAAGTTATACGCATGTGTAGATTATCCCGATAGGTCCCTCCCATCCCTGGCCACTTCCGAAGTAATCCAGCGAGATATTGATCGTCTTCACTCTACTGCTGCTTCTTGGGGCTTGTTTATGAATGTAAAGAAGTGCTCAGTCCTCCGTTTCTCGAGGTCCTTTACTAATGTAGTCCGCCCCACATATACCCTAGATGGCAAACCTATTCCTCATGTCCACTCTGCCTCCGACCTTGGTGTACTGGTTGATTCTGGCTTGAAATTCCACGACCATATCCGTATGGCTACTCATAAAGCTGGCGCTTTGGCCTATAGCTTCCTTAAATCCACTGTCGCAGACGCAGCAGCCGGCGCCGACTCGGTGACGTTTGTGCCTGTGCGTCACGAGCGCTCTATAGTGGACTGTATCTTGTTTCTGTGTGACTGGGCTTGGCTACTGGTCCATGGCATTTAGGTGACTGAAACGCAGACCCTCATAACAGGTACAAGGATGAGTAGGGATAGAGGCCACGATGGCGTGACTCGAGGGGAGGTTAAAGAGTCGCGCTGGCGCAACGGGGGTTCGTAGGACAGAGTCCACGATGGCGTGAACAGAGGTGAGGAATAGAGACCGTGATGGCACGATCGGGCGAGGTTGGGGCTGTGCCGGCCTACCTTTAAAAGAGATAAGGATAGAGGCCACGATGGCGTGACACGGGGAAGGTTAAAGAGTCGCGCTGGCGCAACAGGGGCTAGTAAGGACAGAGTCCACGATGGCGTGGACAGAGGGGAGGAATAGAGACCGTGATGGCACGATCGGGCGAGGTTTGGGCTGTGCCGACCTACCTTTAAGAGAGATAAGGATAGAGGCCACGATGGCGTGACACGAGGGAAGGTTAAAGAGTCGCGCTGGCGCAACAGGGGCTAGTAAGGACAGAGTCCACGATGGCGTGAACAGAGGTGAGGAATAGAGACCGTGATGGCACGATCGGGCGAGGTATAGGGAGGAGGGTAATTCTGCGTTTGAAGTGTAAGTGAAGTGAAGTGTAACTGGAATGTATACTGTGCCGCTATCTTGATTCTCTCGCTCCTCGCTCTCGGTGATCACTTCCTTTGTCACACCACTGCACTGATTTCACAGTCTGTATTGCAAAGAGCAAGATCCGGCAAACCAATTACACTGCTTGAAGGCTGCGACGAGCGGAACGAAACAACCGCCCGGCTCGACGACTGAGGCAGAACAGAGAATAAATTGAGTAAACTGTGCCGCTAACTTGAAGTCTTTTGCTCAATCGCTCCAGGTGACCACTTCCTTGGACACACCACTGCACTTATTCACAGTCTATATTGCGATGAGCAAAGAGCCGGCAGAAAACCACCACACTGCGTGGAGGCTGAGCCGAGCGGAGCGAACAACCGCACGGCGCGAAGACTGAGAGAGAACAGAGAGTAACTTGAGTATACTGTGCCGCTAACTTGAAGTCCTTTGCTCAATCGCTCCAGGTGACCACTTCCTTGGACACACCACTGCACTGATTCACAGTCTATGTTGCGATGAGCAAGAGCCGGCAGAGAACCACCACACTGCGTGGAGGCTGAGCCGAGCGGAGCGAAACAACCGCACGGCGCGAAGACTGAGAGAGAACAGAGAGTAACTTGAGTATACTGTGCCGCTAACTTGAAGTCCTTTGCTCAATCGCTCCAGGTGACCACTTCCTTGGACACACCACTGCACTGATTCACAGTCTATGTTGCGATGAGCAAGAGCCGGCAGAGAACCACCACACTGCGTGGAGGCTGAGCCGAGCGGAGCGAAACAACCGCACGGCGCGAAGACTGAGAGAGAACAGAGAGTAACTTGAGTATACTGTGCCGCTAACTTGAAGTCCTTTGCTCAATCGCTCCAGGTGACCACTTCCTTGGACACACCACTGCACTGATTCACAGTCTATGTTGCGATGAGCAAGAGCCGGCAGAGAACCACCACACTGCGTGGAGGCTGAGCCGAGCGGAGCGAAACAACCGCACGGCGCGAAGACTGAGAGAGAACAGAGAGTAACTTGAGTATACTGTGCCGCTAACTTGAAGTCCTTTGCTCAATCGCTCCAGGTGACCACTTCCTTGGACACACCACTGCACTGATTCACAGTCTATGTTGCGATGAGCAAGAGCCGGCAGAGAACCACCACACTGCGTGGAGGCTGAGCCGAGCGGAGCGAAACAACCGCACGGCGCGAAGACTGAGAGAGAACAGAGAGTAACTTGAGTATACTGTGCCGCTAACTTGAAGTCCTTTGCTCAATCGCTCCAGGTGACCACTTCCTTGGACACACCACTGCACTGATTCACAGTCTATGTTGCGATGAGCAAGAGCCGGCAGAGAACCACCACACTGCGTGGAGGCTGAGCCGAGCGGAGCGAAACAACCGCACGGCGCGAAGACTGAGAGAGAACAGAGAGTAACTTGAGTATACTGTGCCGCTAACTTGAAGTCCTTTGCTCAATCGCTCCAGGTGACCACTTCCTTGGACACACCACTGCACTGATTCACAGTCTATGTTGCGATGAGCAAGAGCCGGCAGAGAACCACCACACTGCGTGGAGGCTGAGCCGAGCGGAGCGAAACAACCGCACGGCGCGAAGACTGAGAGAGAACAGAGAGTAACTTGAGTATACTGTGCCGCTAACTTGAAGTCCTTTGCTCAATCGCTCCAGGTGACCACTTCCTTGGACACACCACTGCACTGATTCACAGTCTATGTTGCGATGAGCAAGAGCCGGCAGAGAACCACCACACTGCGTGGAGGCTGAGCCGAGCGGAGCGAAACAACCGCACGGCGCGAAGACTGAGAGAGAACAGAGAGAGGGAGGTGTTTACAGCAGGTTTAAATACGACTGGCAATGGGGTCACACACAGGGGAGATAGCGAGGGAGCAAAGCAAACGGTATTAGGCAAACTAACTGGACGCGACGAACCGGAGATAAAGAAAGAGATAGGGCGCGACGCAGCGCGCCAGCGGCCGCCGGGACGGACGCAGCGCGCTAAACAAACGTAACCGGGCCCGCCGCGCCGACCACGTTCCCCGTGAACAAAGCTATCGGCGGGCGTCGCCGCGAGAGGGGTCAGGTCCTGCACACACAGGTGCGCGCAAAACACCCCCACTGGGGAGTGGGGTGGGGGGAACGGCGCGGCGGCCCGCTCGGCTGACCCACCGGCCGCCCGCCACCCTGCTCGCGAGACGGGCGACAGGACAGTTTTGGCGGTCACATCCACTGTGTGTCGATCTCCAAAGTTCATGGTGTTCCTGCTCACCACTCACATACGACCAGTGCTTGAATATGCCTCTCCTGTCTGGAACTCTGGTTTTATTCAGGATTTGAGGCTATTAGAAAGAGTGCAGCGCCGATGGACTAAGCGCATTTGTGGCTTGGAGACCATGAGCTATGGTGAACGTCTACGATCCCTACGTCTCTATTCCGTCCAAGGAAGGCTACTGCGTGCAGATCTTCTACAGTACTGGAAAATCTTTAACGGAAAATCGTGTATATCTCCGGCTGATTTATTTCCACAGCCGCCTCAGAATCGTACACGAGGCCATTGCCACAAAATATTTCCCTCTGCCATAAACACTGACATTAGGAAGCGCTCGTTCTCTCAAAGATGTATTTCTGTATGGAATGCCCTCCCCGCTCAAACTGTGTGTGCTCACGATGTCAACACGTTTAAATCTTTGTTAGATCGCGATATCAATGATGCGTTGTACTCTTACCCAACGTGAAAGCTCTACCTACACTAAGAACTAGGACAGTTCCAAACATTTCTCCATGCTGAACTTTTGTGCATTAAGTAATTACTTCCTGTAAATCTGTGAAGGAGACTCACTTCTCCAGTCAGTTTGTACATGTATAATCTACAGCACAAACTTCCTACTGACTGGCGCGTCTCTTAAATGCAGGGTTCCTTGTACCTTCCTCTCTCACTTTCTCCACCATTTTCCTCCCCGGACGCAAAAGGAACCCAACCAGGTAAGTCAACCAGGTAAGTCATGTCCATCGATTGTGTAGGCAGTGTGCACATCCCTATCTGTTCTGACTGTTGGTTGTGCCGTTCTCAGATCAGTGCGGACGTGTCCTCGTTTGACGAGCTGCCGCTGTCTGAGCGCACGCGGCAGGGCCTGCGGGACCACCAGTTCACCACGCCGACGGACATCCAGCGGGAGGCGGTCCGGCTGGCGCTGCAGGGCCACGACGTCCTGGGCGCCGCCAAGACCGGCTCCGGGAAAACGCTGGCCTTCCTCATACCGGTACGAACCACGGGGATGGTGAGGAGGGGACAGGGAGGCAGCCTCCGACACCGTGGGGATGGGAGGGAACTGGGTGAGAGATAAACAGGCCGGTGGGTGGGGAGAAATAAGGGATTGTTGGAAGGTCAGTGGATCTTCATCCTGTCGTTGCATCTCAACTGGGGTGGTACTTTTTTCCTCTCCGTAAAAGGTTTTTGTATGCTTAGAGTAGAGGCAGCTTTGTTAGGAATCTAGTCGTTAATTGTCTCTCTCTGGAAGGGGGAACACCCCTTCTAACTTGGCTCCTGAGCCACGTAGCGACACGCCGTAGGTGACACTTGAAAGAGCTAAAAAATAAGGAACAAACTGCTTCGGCCATTTTTAGGTCAGGTGTAGGCCAAAGGGCAGGTCACCAAAGGTCATCGAAGGTAAAATGTCGCCAATATCTATAGGTCAAACTTCGACAATTTTCGACAAATCGGTCCATAGCTCAGGAATGGAGAGAGCTATAGCGCCGCAGAGAGGCGCAATCAAACGTTCTTTTAACGTTCTTTCGCTAGCATGACCTCAGATTTGACGTAAGGTCCACCGTTTATCCTGCAGGGGCATAAGCGTCCAAAATATACGATTCTGCAAAAACAGTTTTTTTCCGCAATAACTTTTGACTCTAAACTTGCACGAGCTTTCCTTCACCAGAAACGTGTTTCTCTGGTCGAGACGCATCGAATGAATCTTAAGCTAACTGGACTGGTCTAGGTGATGACCTGGCCGGAAAGTTCGTGATGCATATCAGTCGATTTGTATCGTCCAGTGGAACACATCGAATGTGTTTTCATCGCTCTATAGTAGCATGCATTTATCGAAATTTATTACCGAAAATTGTGCATACCTTTCGCGACCTGATATGACCTCAGGGCATAACAAGGGGTCACGGGTGCCATATTCCGGTTCATTGTGTCATGTGTACCTACTTGCATAGGCGTAGGAACAGCTGGAATATTCTGGGTGCAGAAATACATCCAACCATCGCCCGTGGAGCGGGGGGGGGGGGGGTTAGGGAGCGGCACCGGGTGGGGGGCTCATTTCGATTTTCGAGGGGTGTACTGTACGACGTCGAAAGGGTATCGGAGCATTGCATTTTGAAGTTTTGATAATGTCAATAATTCACGCAGTAAGTACAAGCGGCCTTTTCGGGCCTGTTTTCAAGATACCGAGCTAAAACTTTCTAGAGTGGGTCATGTGTATGTGTTCTATGTGTTCCGTTTTTTTCACCTGAGTCCAACATTTTTTTTTTTATAAATTTAGTCCGAACCTTTTTGATGGGAAGGATTCACAAGGACAGAGCCACCGCTAAGAGCTGGTAGCCCACTCTCGGAAGAGCTGGTAGCCCTGGCGTTCTTCGACGACCGGGTTTCATCAGAAACAAAGAAGAAGATGGTAGCGGCGATTGAGGAGAAGGACGGCAACGACACAGCCCAGAAGCGAGTGACCATTCCCGCTTCAGCGATCAGCGGCTGCAGTCTTGAGGACTTCGTGACCTCCAATACGTCCTCGTTCTTCTCCAAGATGTCCATCGACAAGGGATTCCTGGCGTTGGAACCGGCAGACTGGAAGAAGGATGAGGCGTACGGCAAGGCGTGCAAAGCGCTGGAGAAGCTGTCGGTCACCAATGACCACGCGGAACGAGGCGTCGCCCTGATTCAGGAGTATAACCGGCTCCTGACGAAGGACGAAGAACAACTCCAGTTCCTCGTCCAGGTCGTCGCGGACCATCGGCGCCAGTTCCCGGACACCAGGAAGGGAACGCTTGCACGGACCGGGCGACAATGAGTGGCTAGCAAGTAGCAACCACATAACCCCCGCCAGGAGAGGAAAGCGGCTAATACTCCCACGAGAGCAACGTGGGAGTGGGACCCGGAGTGCTTGTGACTAGCGTTCGCTGAGTAAAATTTCAGAGTCGTTGAGCACCGGTTAAATATATTCCGATTTCAATGAAACTTTGCACAGCACGTTTCTGGGTCAAAAGGAGCAAGAATCCGGGTTTGGAGCATAGACAATATTCGTTTGAAATTTCACCCCCATACAGAGGGCCACCCTAAAATACGTGCATATATCTCGCATAATTAACCGCTATTCAATCCTTTCACGTGGAAAATATGTGCATATCGACACTGAAATACTATTGAGCGATTACATTCCTTCCTTTCCATTAGGAGTACCGAAATATGAATCGTTGGAAACATGCATCAGTATCACCACATCGTCACGTGCTGAAGCCGAAAAACTGATTGTCGATCCAAACTTTTGGGTTGGACGAGTCGCTTCGCTTTTTCGATTTTTAGAGTCGTTTTTTTCGCTTTTTAGAGTCGTTTTTTTCGTTTTTTCGCGTCGCTTTTTCGAGTTGCTGATTTCGTTTTTTTTCGGTTTCGCTGCCGTGGAGCTACACCAATGTTATCAAGTGAAGCTGATCGTCTACTGAAGCCGAAAAAGCGAAAAAAACGAAACGAAAAACCGAAAAAGTGTGCCGTGGAGCCTGTACTTTAGTTATGCCCGTCCCTGTTGCAGTAGTCATAACTACAACTGACCATCCGTCCATCTGCCCTCCGACCGTGCAGATGCTGGAGCTGTTACACGTGCGCCACTGGACGCTTCAATAACCGACCGTCCCCCTCCCTCCATTTGTCCTACCGTGCAACGGAGCTGTTGTACCGTTGTTGTTGTTGCTGTTGTACCGTCGCCGCTGGACGCGTCAGTAGCTGACCGTCCCCCTCCCCCGTTGGTCCGCCTGCACAGATGCTGGAGCTGCTGTATCGACGCCGCTGGACGGGTCAGTAACCTTCCCTCCCCCTCTTCTGTGTGCACAGATGCTGGAGCTGCTGTACCGGCGCCGCTGGACGCGCGTGGACGGCCTGGGGGCGCTCATCATCACACCGACCCGGGAGCTGGCCTACCAGATATTCGCCGTCCTCGGCAACATCGGTCAGCAGCACGACTTCTCGGCGGGACTCATCATAGGTGAGGCGTGGTTCAGTGACGGTCCAGCGACGGTTCGGCTGGCTGCAGGCTGTTGTTTAGCTTGACATGCTTGTCATGCTTGAGTAGATAAGTTTATTGGCAAAAGAGCTAGAGATGGTCTTCTTTGGAAAGCTAGAGATGCTGCGCAAAGTTTTTAAAGTTGCTAAGTTCGAATGAAAGCATGCTGCATCCACTGTCCAATGTTCTACTTGTCCATCACTGTCTTTTCTGGCACATTCGTAGCTCCACCATCGTTTTCCCTGCCATCATCGTGTTGTTCTTACACAGGCGGCAAGGATCTGAAGTTTGAGCGTAAGCGGATGGACCAGGTGAACATCATAGTCTGCACGCCGGGCCGACTGCTGCAGCATATGGACGAGAACCCGCTCTTCAGCGCCGACAGCCTCCAGGTAACCATGCGGTCGGCGTTCTCAAACACTCGATAGGTATCATGATGTGTTCAGATGTTGACTATGTCTGTTGATAACCGGTTTCAAATGTAACATTCGCCAACACTCGCAAGCTTCATATTTGGTTCGATATTTGACCAATGAAAGTCCCCGATAGCTGTTTTCCTTTGTGTGTCAGGGACTGTGACGTTGACTTTAACTGTGACAGTGCACCTGTATAACCGCCCTGCCCCTGTTTTCGCGTCAGATGCTGATTCTGGACGAGGCGGACCGGTGTCTGGACATGGGGTTCGCCAAGGCGATGAACGCCATCATCGGCAACCTGCCCACCGAACGGCAGACGCTCCTCTTCTCCGCCACGCAGACCAAGTGAGACTAGCGGGCGGTGCCGGGGATTCGTTAGCAACTTTCTCTAGACTGCCAATGAAATGAAACGCTGTAAATCGCTCAAAGATCCTATGTGTTAGCGGAAAATGTAACTAATGAAGACACCCCTAACCAGTCGGGTTTTTCTTCGACTTTGACTCCTCCATCGCTCTCGCTAGGTTCATTCTGACCTCCCCTGCCCGTGTGTCAGGTCAGTGCGGGACCTGTGCCGCCTCAGTCTGAAGGAGCCCGTCTACGTGTCCGTCCATGAGAAGGCCAAGCACAGCACCCCCTCCGGTCTGGCGCAGAGCTACATCGTGTGCGAGCAGCACGAGAAGCTGGACACCTTCTGGTCGTTCCTGCGCCACCACAAGCGACACAAGATCCTCTGCTTCATGCAGACCTGCAAACAGGTCAGAGATTCACGCGTGTTGTGCTTTTTGAAGTCTGTCGTTTGGTCAGGATATGCAGGATATAATCGTATAGAATTGCCATCCAGACGATTACCTATTCATAGTTTACCGATTGATGGCTACTTTTATGGGGTATTTTCTGTAGTCATTGAGCGGCTGGTCCGTGCTGCTGGTGGACGTTTTCTGTTATTTGTGGCGACCTCTGTCGCCTGGTGAACCGCCCTACCATCTTCCATCACGGTACGCTACCAGTATAACGCCTTTTGGGGCGACTAACGGAGCGAGCGAGAGGGTGGGCCTTGCACCGTGCACGTGCGAAATTTCGAGGGAGTACCTCCAACTGACTTGTGCACGGCACCTTACTAACCGGTCTCTAGCGATGTGCCAAATTTGAGCACAATCGGCCCAGCCGTTCTCGAGATCTGGAAGCGGCACCCTGCACGTGCGCACGTGCAAAATGGGTCCCAACTGACTTGTGCACGGCACCCTACTAACTGGTCTCTAACCGTGTACCAAATTTGAGCGCCATCGGTCCAGCCGTTCTCGAGATCTGGAAAGGACCCCTGCACGTGCGCACGTGCAGCAGCACCCCAACTCTGGCACATGGATATGCAGTGCCTAGTGGGTGCCTACCTACATGCCAACTTTCAGCGCAATCGGCCAAGTAGTTACCGAGATATTGCAACAATTACAAAACTGACACCTCTTCGTTTTGCACGTGGCACGTGCATAAGGGGTCACCCACATGCACTGGGAATAGTCCAATACTTGGTAGAAGGAATGAAGCTACCCTACAAAATTTACCGCATGTAAATCGGTCAAGTGGTTGCTGAGATATAAGCGTTGCAGAATCGTGACCACGGCCGGCCGGCCGGCCGGCCGGCCGCTCATACTCAGAAATTTCCGTTATTCTACGTAAGACTCCGCTCGCTTCGCTCGCTCCGTAACCAGTATAGCGCCTTTTGCGGCGACTAACGGAGCGAGCGAGAGGGTGGGCCTTGCACGTGCGAAATTTCGAGGGGGTACCTCCAACTGACTTGTGCACGGCACCCTACTAACTGGTCTCTAGCGATGTGCCAAATTTGGGCACAATCGGCCCAGCCGTTCTCGAGATCTGGAAGCGGCACCCTGCACGTGCGCACGTGCAAAATGGGTCCCAACTGACTTGTGCACGGCACCCTACTAACCGGTCCCTAACCGTGTACCAACTTTGAGCGCAATCGGTCCAGCCGTTCCCGAGATCTGGAAACGACCCCTGCACGTGCGCACGTGCAGCAGCACCCCAACTCTGGCACATGTATATGCAGTGCCTAGTGGGTGCCTACCTACATGCCAACTTTCAGCGCAATCGGCCAAGTAGTTACCGAGATATTGCAACAATTACAAAACTGACACCTCTTCGTTTTGCACGTGGCACGTGCATAAGGGGTCACCCACATGCATCGGGAATAGTCCAATACTTGGTAGAAGGAATGAAGCTACCCTACAAAAATTACCGCGCGTAAATCGGTCAAGTGGTTGCTGAGATATAAGCCTCGCAAAAGCGTGACCACGGCCGGCCGGCCGGCCGCTCATACTCAGAAATTTCCGTTAATCTAAGGAAAGACTACGCTCGCTTCGCTCGCTCCGTAACCAATGTGACCCCGCTCCGTCTCCTAACCTGCCCCGTGCCCCCGCAGGTGAAGTACATGTACGAGGTGTTCTGTCGCCTGCGGCCCGGTATCACTGTGATGGCTCTGTACGGAACGCTGCACCAGCTGCGCAGAATGGCCATCTACGACGACTTTTGTCGGAAACAGCGAGCCGTCCTCTTCGCCACAGACATCGCAGCCAGGGGCCTCGGTGAGTTGAGTGGGGGTCGGGGATCTCGATGAATGGGAGTCTGAGTCTCGGTGAGTGGGAGTCTGATGAGTCTCGGTGAGATCAGTAGGTGGAACTATGGTCATGAGTACCCAAATATAGGAACGTTCCCATTTTTGGGAACGGAATTCCCAAATATGGGAACGGGCGTTCCCATTTATGAGAACGGAAGGTAATTTTTCGGCCGTTCGCCCACTAAAACTCATTAGTGCATCACGCGTTAAAAAAAGTGCACGCTAATTTAAGTATCTACTAAGTCTCTATCAAGGCCCTATATAGAAGGTATGCTCATTAGGCCAAAGCAGCGATTTCCGTGACGTCACAGGTACGAAGCGTCGGACGACTGTAATGCAATCCTATGGAAAATGACCCAACTTTAGGGCTCTCCCACATAGCTGCCAGACTCGACACCAAGGTAAAAATCGTATCATATAAAAGCTCAAATCAAGACGAACAAGAAACCTATCTGACGTTTTTACGTATTACTACCGGCTTAGACACTATTCAAGTATATTCAGAGCTCTCCATTAGCTCACTTTTTCTGCCGTCAATGCCACTACAAATGCCTATAGTCGGTGCACGTGCGCTTGTCGAGCGGGGACCACCAGTCGGGCGATTCGGAGCTGCCGCCCAATCAGAACGCCGCAATGCCGTGACGTCATTGGTCGCACACGACACGTTACGGAGATAGGGATGAGACAGCCCTGAGTCTCTATGAAATTATCTTTAATCTGACCGTTGAACAAGGAAATTGACCGTCGAATGATATTTTTAATGATTTTTTGAAATGACGGAATGGTGAAAACATGGGTTATACTACATTTAACTTGCAATTTTAAGAAAAATGAAGCGTTTTTTACATTTTGAGGTCAAGTATAATAATTTTCGCCTGGTTATGAAGTTTCATACTAGCGACACCAGATGCTGACATATGCAAGCGAACACGCGGACAGTCCCGGGGTAATATTGTTGACATTTGGTGTCGGGGCGCACGACCGAATGGAACGTCAGTGATTTTACCGAACTACTGTTGTAAACTCAGTTTCAGTGGTTTAAAATTATTCAGCTGTATTTTATCATCCCGGAAAGACATATTTTTATTTGGATTCTAGCTGTTTAGAGTTGTTTTATAAGGAGCGTCATGAGCGTGGTTTTTGTCTTCCGTGTTTCTAAGCGTGATCGTTTTGGGGGAATTTCTCTTATATAGGTCGCTCTGTGTGGCTTATTTATAATTTTTATGCTGATTTCGATCATTCCTCGTGCCCATCCTACCAGGCCTTTTGCCACTTACACTAATCAAGAAAGGAAAAAACTAGATTTTCATTGGGACTAGGTGTTTTGAGGGTGTAACATATTCAGCGTTCCCATTTTTTGATACTTCCTTGTGCTCGTCAACTATCGGTGATAAACAGACAGGTGCTTGACATGTCTCCACCCTCGGCGCGGACGGTGGATATAGGCATGGAAGACCTTGTTGAACATCGCTGAGCGTTGTGAATTACGTAATCCTGCAGAGGGGGCGTGCCCGCTGCGAGATCGACGGGAATAACAGCGCAGAAGACCGGGCGAAACATGCGACGGTCTTGCCGGAAAGGTCATCTGATGATTGTTGCGTTAACAATAATTTGCGGCGTTGGACGTGATGCTTGTTAATGAAAAGAGCCCCTGAAAGGGGTCGGTGAAATCGTTCCCAATTTTGGGTACGCCGTTCCCATAATAAGGAACGCTTGCAGCGCCAGTGTACGAGAGCGTTCCCAAATTTGGGCTCGCGGCCCGGATGATGGACTGCTTTAGAAATAGGGGAATGATTTGAAACTACGATGGGTCTTACAATATCAAACTCTTTCCCAACAATATTGAGACAAATATCAGGCGGTTCACGATCGGTTTATATTTTTTGGACGTCATTTAACGGTTCTTTTTCTTGTTTTAAATAACGCCTACATGGCGTTCCCATATTTGGGTTTATCGTTCCCAAACTTGGGAACGAAAATGCGTTCCCGAAAATGGGTACGCTTGACCATAGTTCCGCCTACTGAGATGGATTCAGGGGTCTCGGTGAGTGGAGAGTCTCTCGGTGAGTCAGGAGCCAGATTAAGTCTAGATGAGTTGGAAGCCAGGGGCCTCGGCAGCGATAAAAGTTGGACTGGGATTAGTTTTGACATGGGTCAGCGATTTGGAAAGGTTGATACTGAGTTGTTTGCCTTTCCCGATATATGTGGGTAATTTCTCGCTTACTTCGGTGACGTCCGTACATTCACATACTTGTCTAATGTTTCAGACTTCCCTGCGGTGCACTGGGTGGTGCAGCTCGACTGTCCGGAGGACGCCAACACCTACATCCACCGCGCCGGGCGGACAGCCAGGTGAGGAGACAGCAGCGCCGGCGTCTATACAGGATGCGGCTGGTGGTCTGTGCCGCTGGGTAACCTGTCGAACTTGGATATATTATGACACTGGAAAACTTGCTATTTTTATTTTTGGCTCGAGCTATTTACCTTTTTAGGATCATTTTGTTTTGCTGGTCTCATTTTGAACTCATTTTAAAGTATGGTTTTGGCTTGGCTTTCTTCTCATAAATGCATTCGTCACCCGCACGGACCCGAGTGTCGTGACTAACGCACGTACTACCATGTTCGAGCACTAGCTCTCGAACCTGACACTGACCTCTCGTCCGACGTCCGACTCTGATTGGTAGGTTCCAGAAGGGCGGCGAGACGCTGCTCGTGCTCACTCCCAGGGAGGAGGAGGGTATGGTCAGCCAGCTGCAGCAGAGAAAGATTCCCATCGAGAAAATCGAGTGAGTATTATTTTCGAGACTGTACTGAAGCTGACTTACTTAACTTTCGGTGTATGAATGACTGGATTACTATTATTTGTAATGGATGCGTGTGCTCTAACCGCTTTCTACACGACTGACGCTTGTTTTGTCCACCGCAGGGTGAACAAGATGAAGACGGCCACAGTGCAGCGGAAGGTGGAGGCGCTGCTGGCCCGGGATGTCAACCTTAAGGAGTCTGCCAAGCGCGCCTTCAAGTCCTACTTCAAGTCCACCTTCCTGATGAAGAACAAGGAGGTGTTTGACGTCACCAGCGTGGACACGGAGGCCTATGCCAGGTAGGCCGGGCTGGCCAGCTCCAGGGAGGGCGGGGTAGTCCTCTTGTCCTTGAATGGACTAGGGCATAATCATGTAGCCTGTGTACATAGGTGTAGGAACAGGGGGGACGGGGGGCCGGTGGCCCCCCCACTTTTCATAGTGGGGGGCCAGTAATGTTAACTGCCCCCCCCCCCCACACTTTTGCCGAACTTTTTAATGTATTTGTAGGTAGGTATCACCCCAAAGAACAAACTTGACGGTTCTCCGGCCTGCCCTTCCATGAAGATTTCCATTTGTGCTTCATCGTTATTGAGTGCAACTTTCCTCCACCCAATGAAAGGTAACTTTGTCAGAAGCAATAAGTGGCAGCTTAGGGGCAGCGCGCGCTGCAAAGAGAGACAATATACTGGCGCAGCAGAATGCGTAAACGGCGTAAACTAACAATTTATGTTAGGGGCCTTGCATTAGTTGATCGGTTACTGGCATAGGCGTAGGAACAGGGGGCAGGGGGCAATGGTCCCCCACTTTCGAATGGGGGCCAGCAATGTTAATTGCCCCCCCCCCCTTCCCCATACACACCTTTTGCTGACTTTTCACTTCTCACGTTTCACACTCGCTCGTAATAAAAAAATGTTTTTGGATGCTTCTGGAATTCGCATGGGTGCCAACCAGTGGCGGATCCAAGGTGGGGTCACATGGGTCATGCCTCCTTGGGGCCCGGGGGCACCACAGACCTACCAGGGGCACCACCGACCTATCAGGGGCACTACAGACCTGACAGGGGCACCACCGGCCTGTCAGGAGCACCATCGGCCTAGCAAGAGCACCACTGGTCTGCCAGGGGCACCATAGACCTGTCAGGGGCACCAAAGGCCTTCCAGGGGCACCACCGGCCTCGCAGGGGCACCTTGGGCCTGTCAAGGGCACCACGGACCTGTCAGGGGCACCTCAGGCTTGTCAGGGCCCAGGGGCACCACAGTCCTTTCAGGAGCACCACAGGCCTGTCAGGGACACCAGAAGCCTAGCAGGGGCACCACAGGTCTGCCAGGGACACCACAGACCTGCCAGGGGCACCACAGGCTTGCCAGGGGCACCCACTGGCCTCGCAGGGGCACCGTGGGACTGTCAGGGGCATCACGTGCCTGTCGGGGACACTTCAGGCTTGTCAGGAGCACCACAGTCCTTGTCAGGGCCCAGGGGCACCAGCGACCTAGCAGGGGCACCACGGCCTCGCAGGGGCACCACCGGCCTCGCAGAGGCACCATGGTCCTGTCGCTGGCACTTCAGGCTCGTAAGGAGCACTACAGTCCTTCCAGAGGCACCACAAACCTGCCAGGGGCACCTGCGGCCTAGCAGGGGCACCACAGGCCTACCAGGGCAAAAACAAATAAATAAAAAATGAAAAAAAGGGCACCACCAAAATTAAGTGGCCGAAATCAGTTGAGGTTTTAATTTTGGGTACAGGTAGAGGCACTACTTCGATTCATGACCCTCCCCTTGGAGTTTTCCTGGATCCGCTCCTGGTGCGGAGGCCAGGGGGACGCGTCCATAAGATTTACCCCGCGTTCGATGTCTCTCGGACGACGAAGATTCTACGTCGTCCGGCCAATCCCGATCAAGGTCAGCGGGGGCTCGGCCGCGGTTATGGAACGTGATTGGCCGGACGGCGTAGAATCTTCGTCGTCCGAGGGACATCGAACGCGGGGTCAATTTCTGGACGGGAGTCTCCCCGAGAAAATGGTCAATTTTTTTTCTTGTCACGTTTTTTTTTTTTACCAATTTAAGTGCTTGCGAAAATAAAGTGGCCGAAATCCGAGGAGAAAATGGATTTTGGGGGTAGGTGAGGTTTTGTGCCTCTGGGAGCCTGCCCCCCCCCCCCCCCCCCACTTTCGAAAACGTTCCTACACCTATGCCTGTGTAGATGTATTTCCAGCTACCTACAGATGATCACATCCGCTGCCCCATGAGACCGTGATCGGTTGCCGCCAGTTTATGTTGGGGTCCGACAGTAGTTTAGGTACCCTCTGCTCTAGTGCTAAATTGTTTTACAATATAATATCTGTATCTGTTCCCAGGTCTCTGGGTCTGGCCGTGGCGCCCAGGATCCGGTTCATGAAGAAGCAGCAGCAGCAGCAGCAGGCGGCGGCGGCGGCGGCGGCGGCGGCGTCCAAGCCAGTGAAGACGGAGGCGTCCACCTCTGCCGCTGCCAGTGGCTCGGCGGAGGAGCAGGACAGCGGCATTGACGAGAGCAGACAGACGGCCGACGGCAAACCGTACAAGCCGCTCTTCAGGACCGCCTACAGCTTCCACGACGGTGAGCGTCGCCGGCGGCACGAGGAGACGAGTGGTGAACAGAGCCGAGGGGGCTCGTGGTGATGGTGCTGAGTGTCTGCTAACACAGACACCAAATTCTGGTTTCTCTGGCTACTCCTCCCTGTGTGGTTGACTCCTCCAAACCCCATCCCCATGCCCCATCCCATCGACCGCTTTCCCACGTGGTCCCGTCCCCTGGCTGGTTCGCCCGTGGCTCGCTCCTGATCCCATGTAACCAGTAACCAGCTATCCCCGCTATGCTCATTAGATAAACTGACATCCCTCCCCTCCCCCCCCCCCCAGATGACGGTGACGGCGACTCGGATGACGGCCTTCTGAAGGTGAAGCGCGTGGACCACTCGATCGGCACCGACCCCGTGGTGGAGGAGGAGCTCAGGAAGCGCGAGGAGCGCCGCGCCTCCAAGAAGGTCACCAAGGCCGCCGCCGCTCACCGCATGCTCAAAAAGAGCATCCTGCCCAACAAGAAAATGACCTTCAACGAGGAGGGCGAGGTGCGTGGTGGGCACTGGCTCTGAATCTTTCGACGATAGAAGAATAATTTTAGCCAGAACTGATATACCCATTTTCCATCTCTGATGCTCTGTGGATGCCAACAAAGTTGTTTGATCGAAAACACTGGACGACTTTCTAGGAAAACTGACTTGTTTGGCAGAAAACATGGATCATGGATAACTCATGGTTACGCCCTTATGGATGCTGCTTCCCTAGTCTCGTCATTCATGTCACCCGGTGTCCCCAACCCCGGCCCGTGCAGTACTCTGACCCCTTCCCTCTCCCGTACAGGCGGTGCTGGACCACACGCGCCAGCAGGTGTCGGAGCTGGCGCAGAAGTACCAGCAGGAGGGTGGCAGCGGCATCGACATCGACACGGTCCGGCAGATCCTCAAAGAAGAGGACCGCATCGACCGGCAGATCTTCAAACAGAAGATCCAGGCCAAGCACAAGTGAGTGCCGCGCGTACGCTGAGGGGGCAGGATGGGTAGGGAGCACTGAAATCACTGGGGTGGGGGACGTACAAACCTGCCTTTCCCTTTTGGAGGTTGTGGTGCCACATTTTCCATCTCTTTCTGAAGGTAACCGAGATCATGTATGTGCGATGATAAGTGGATAAAGGCAGCATGCTTTCCCGTCTGCTTCATACGTATGACAATATGGCATGTCCCCGTTTATTTCCTCAGAGAGAAGAAGCGGAAGCAGAAGCCGGAGCCGGAGCCGGACGAGGGCGGCTCCGATGACGGCGGCGGCGTCCGGCTGGCCTCCCCGCCGCCCGACGATGACGCCTCGATGGCGGACGATGACGCCGCGTCACCGGCGGCCAGCGATGACGAGGAGGCGGCAGATTACCGCGGCCCGGCGCTGGTGGAGTCGGACAGTGACGAGGGCGGGCCCAGAGGCCTGGCGCCCGCCTCCTCAGACGAGAGCGACGAGGAACCGGCGGTCAGGTGAGGAATGATCTGCGGAATTGCGTAGTTGCGAGCATGTGTAGCTATTATTTGGTGTCTTAGTAATTAACACTATTCGACCATCGTTTTGCCCTTCGGCTCTCAAAGTAATATATCACAGCTACTAGCTATAAGATGCTAGAATAATTCGGTTGGTACTGGTGCCTGATGGTTAATGCTGCATCAATACGGGGCTGGACACGTCAATCAATCCATTCCACTGCCATGCTGCCCAGTGCCCCGTTTGACCAGCCCCCTCTGTCCCTCTCCCCAGACCGGCGGCGAAGCGGAAGGCTAAGCAGTCGGCCTCCCCCTCCAAGCGGAGTCGGCGGCGGCAGGCCGACTCTGACGACGACCTTATCGAGACGGGCGGCACGGTGGCAGATGATGAGGCACTGGCGCTCCACCTGCTGACCGGCTGACAGGCCGCGCCGCTCCAGTAGGTGTACGGGGTCGGGCCAATGACACCCCACCCTGTCAACTCTGGGTGGTACGGTGCGGTCTGAATCGGGGACTGGAGCATTGTGATGCATTGTTTTGAATCTGTTTTGCAACTGCCGATGTGTCGAATATATAGGTCTATGCGAATTTAGAGTATGGTGTTGGTTGTATCGCTTCAATGCCGGAGTTGTACTGCTCTTCCTTCTCCATTGCTTTCAGCCGATTTCCACGATATCCGCGTTTGAACTCTTAAAAAACCATGGACATGGCATTCACTGTATTTAAACAACTCATAATCTTCAGATATGTACACTATATAGAACAATACACAACATCGACCGCGTTCCCGTAGACCGTTTGCGCCCGCTCGGGCCGCGCTGACCTCGGCCGTTCCCTGCCTGGAGCGAGTCGCTCCTCTGTAAGGCACTGGACGCCTGGGGGCGACCCCGCCCGACCAGCGCTCCGCGCGGCCGACCGCCGACATCGCCTAATATCAGCATTCATGATCGGTGGTACATTCAGGATTCCTCCGGCGCGCCCAATACCGGACGGGACACGATCGTATAGAGCGGCGCCGGGCGCGCGGCGTTCGTATACGACAGTAACACACATACAGAGGCGCCCTCATTGTCATCACAGATACGGACCTCACTTGCGCGAGCGACCCAGCGCGGCTTAAAGGTAGTGTGCCAGCTTTCTTGGACCGTATGGAGTTAATGGCCCAGATAAGGAGAACCGGATTTTTAGAACTTATCCATACCTTCAAAACTCATGGAAACGTCTTAAATTCTTCAAATTTTGAGTACCCCAGTGCGAAATTCGCCCCGACGGGTTGTCGGTCGTACCCCAACCACATTTCACACCACTATGAACAATAAATGCACACACTGAAATCGCTATTACCGATATGCTCATCCAATCAAGTTTCGATAAACCCGTTCATCATCATCTCCTGCGGTTTCGAACACGCCTGTTAGGTGGCTTCTGATGCTCGTCGAGGTCGGAATTTCCAAATACGCGTGGTGCGTCGGGCCGCGCGCTCTGACTTCGGCCAAGAAAAATGCGTCAGCTGATCATTGTCATTTCTGCCACTTGCGTGTGGTGAAATGGGGTCATAACTTATAAGACGGGTTTTTCATATTAATTATTTTACATAAAATCATATTTCAAACCATAAATAATGTTCGACAGCCAAATAAAAGAAACAATACCAATACGGGCTTACAGTTTAAGGCTCGACATTGTGTTGTCTACGATTAGACAGCTGATAACTCATTCCCGTACGTCGTATGGTCGTAACACTATAATGACCTTTGCTTATTGTCACAAGTGCGCCGCATTCGCGATTGTTGCCCGACGCCTGTTTGCAGGTGAGCCCACTACAGTTGTTATACATATCTAAAAACCGAAAAACTTTTAGGCCAAAAAGGCACTATTCCAGGCCCATTTTTTTTTTGCGATATTAGGTAAAAACAGAAGCTTCTTATCCAAGGAAAAATAAAATGGGAAATCTTTCAAAGGTGGCACACTACCTTTAAATAGTGCCCCGGACGACCCGAGCACGGGATGAGGGGTGAGAATACTTTGCAGGATGATCGCACTCACACAGACCCCTCACCGCACCTGACACCGCGACCTAACGCACACACACACACACACAAACAGAAGCACCCGCGCTCAGAAAACTGGGAGACTGACCATACTCGGTGACACAATTTATACGCAACACGTCATCAGTACCTATTGTATACAACATCGCGATAATTAATGGGTATGTACAGATGCGCTATGAACAGCAGCGTTGTGCCCCGTCTTTAGGAGTGTGTGTATCTCGGGAGCATCACCTACGGCGCCCGGCCGACCAGCGGCGGCACACAAACACTCAAACATCCAGGGGTCCCACCAGCGCCTCAAACCGAGAAAAAAGTCAACCACACAAGCACTCAAGTCAGGAGGTACACCAGAAATCGCACACGCATTTGTACGGGGATGGCGCCCACAGCTGCCCGCGTGCTATATAAAAATAAATTCCATAAAAGAAACGAACCCCGCGGCGGGACACAAAAGATACAGGACACAGGCTCGACGAGAAAAATAGTCACAAAATTCACTCGCGATTCCGCTGGCTCAAAAGGTTGCGGGGCTGGCCGGGCTGGGTCGCGGACCGCAGGACCGTGGACCACGGACCATTGGACCGTCGGACCGCCGGCCAGCCGCCGCGATAATCTCAGTAAGGTCGCTGAGCCGCGCGCTGGCGACGCGCCACGGAAGCTCGGTTTAGCATCGGATATCACTCTGGGGCCCACAGCCGACCCGCGGCGTGGGCCTCCCCAACAGACACTACACCTCGTAACACTCCCCCGACCCCATCAGTGTCCGGCACTGCTCCGTCGGGAACGCTGAGAACTCAGTCCAATCCTCCCGACACGGGCGGCGGCACGGCCTGGGCGGCGGCGTCCAGTTACAAGTACATTTTGCGCACCTTTTGCACCGGTTTACTGTCTGCGGCCGAGTTGGCGTTCTTGCCGTTGCTGTTCTTGGTCTGGTTGACCACCAAGTTGATCTGCTTGCCGCCGTTGTTGACAAGGAACGCCGGCTCCGTGTGGAAGTTGCGCTCGCACCTGCCGAAGAAGGAGATGACGTCAGTACGGTGATGTGGATGTGTGACGTCAATTGGAGTGATGTCACGGAAGTAGCGTGGGCGTGCGGTGACAGCTGATATTACTGATGATCAGTGACAAGGAAAAGCTTTGACATGTAGCAAAATAGCATGTGGACACATCAATCATAAGTTTCGGTGAACACATGGGGAGCGGGCGTGGAGCCCGTGCGCCTAGCTGCCCCAGGAAAAACCGGTGCGCTGGACAGTTTCCGTTAGTTGTCGTGACATCAGGTCTGTCCGTCTGACCCTGCCACAATAATTGATAACCATCATACGATTCCAATCACGCGATTTGCGAATGACTCGTCCAATGACTTCAGCCGTGTTCTGTCGCACGCAATCGTGGCAAGCAACTTCCCACGCAAACGGGGCAACCATTCACATCCGTGACACTGCGCAGCATTGCACAAATCCACTTACCATGGTTTGGAAACTACGACCGAAACCTACAACCTCGACGCCCAGCGCGGCACCCCACTGCCTGAGCCTCCCCTGTTCTCTCACCTGTTGTCTGGTTTGACGACGACATGCGCGGCGGCGGCGGCCGCTTCCAGCTGCTTCATCCTGGACTGGCGGTCCAGGTGCGGCGTCTCGTAGTAGGGCTCGCCGCGCGCGCGCCAGTACCGTCTCGAGACGCACCAGCCGACGCCGAAGCCGACCAGTACGGCCAGCAGGCACGTGCTGACGACGGCGATGGCCAGCGTCTCGGCCGTGTAGACGCCGCTTGGTCGACCCGAGTAGCGCGACTCTGCGCGGAGGGGAGGGACAGGGGTTAGTGCGGAACCCGGCTCTAAACCAAACTGGTCCTAGACCGTTTCGCTTAATTGTAAGAACAGGCCAGTGTGGGTGAAAAGACACCGTTTCTAACGTGTGTGGTCTACCAACAAAAACTCTACGATCGTCAGCAACTCGAATCACGTTCTTGCAATGTGCTTCATTCATGACATCATGCCTGAGCCGCGGGAAAATCGAATCACTGCGTGACCTAATGGGAAAGACGCGCCAGTACTCGTAATTCCAACACTGACAACCTTCGCCGTACCATGCACTGGTAACCCAAACGTAAACGTCAAAAATAGGTAAGGTGAAAACCCCACACTCACGATGCCATCATGGGAGGGGCCTACATTCAGCAGGGAGGCTTATTTGAGGCTGGCACCATTCCTATCGCACATAGCTATAGACTGAAATGTAATCCAGCAAAGTTTAACTTTTTGACGTCGCTGCGGGTGACGTGATATAGACATTAGACAATCAAGCCGATCCGCCACTTCTGCTTACCTTTGGCCACGGCTCCCTGGAAGGACTTGGTGCGTTCGACGATGTCCAGCACCCTTTGTCCCTCGTCGGCCTCGTATTTCTCCCGGTCCAGTTCGTTTCCTGTGAACGGAGATAAGTCTGTCAGCGCCGCTGCCTAATACCACTGATACCTCCCCAGCTGGTATGTCTGTGAAAATACACAAGACGACGAGCTCCTCCCTACACTATGACTGACACTGAGCGCCGGGCGGCTGGCGGGGCCCAGCGCCGGCCACTGAGAGCCGACAGCCATTCGGCACGGCTCGCGGCGCCGTTTCAGGCTGATAACGCTGATATATCGCGGCGATTGTGGGCGCCGGACGGTGAGTGACACACCACAGAGTAAACTCAGGCGCCAGCGGCGACGGCGGACCGATCGTACTACAGAGGCTGACACTCCCCGCCGGGGATAACGGGACGACGGACTTAACACAGTGCAGACAGACGGGCTTTTACCAGACAGACTAGCACGGTGCTACCGACGCGTGAATCACTTCTACCTGCGCCACATGCCGTGTCCCGTGAACAGCTAGTTTGACCAGTCCTACAGTGTTCGGGGCAGCTCAGACCGTGCGCGGCGCGGTGCGGTGCGGGTGCGGGTGCTTACCATCGTCCTCATCCTCGGACGGCTCGCCTCCGGGGGCCGCCGGGGCGGTGCTGGGGTCGGCGGCGGAACCGGCGCAGTCGCACGCTACCGGCGCGCTCTGCGTGGTGCTCGGACTGGCCGCGGCTACAAAACAAGCGGAAACAGAAACGGTGCTCAGCGACTGAACAAGACGCCACGACAGGCCGGGCAGGCAGAAACAAAGCGGACGAAATCAGAACGGACGGGTGCGCCGGTGCGGTGCAAACACAACACGACGTGAAACTCAACACCAATAGAAAAAAGCGGAACGTAAAAAAGAAGACAAAAGAGCTGACTTACTCGTTGCCTCTTGGAAGAGAATTTTCGGCTCGCGGTCCTCGCCTGTAAGCAGGGAATACGTAGTCAGCTATCTGCGCACTACGGCACAAAACCACGAACACTACTATAGCTCTCTGTCTACACATCAAACTGGCGATGAACCGAGACAAGACGACACAGATCACGAGCGACACCATGCGATACTTCACAGGTCACGCCGCTAGTCTATCGTGATCAGTGCGTGCAGAGCCCATGCAAACGGTACCGTTCAATCTAAACACTCTGGCCTGGGCGAGGCCGTGCCCGGTTCGGATGGGCTCGTCTGGACGAAACAGGACAGAGCACCAGCGATAGGACACGAGCCAGACGCGGCGGCGACACCAGCGGTTACCACCGACCGTCACCAGCCGCTATCACCAGCGGTGACCACACGCCCCACCGCTCACCTCTGGGACAGCGCGGGTGATATCCTCCGGTGACGTTCTGCAGGGGTTCCACGCCGGCCGGCCAGTCGGCCAGCGGCCGGCACAGCCGTTCCACCTCGTCCCAGGCGCAGTACGGGTCCCGGAGGCGGACACAGGCCGAGCAGTGGCCCACGCGGCCGGCGCCGCAGCGCGACAGCGGCACGGCGCGGATCTCGTCGTCGGTGACGACGATGAGCCGCGGCGGCTGGCCGGGCTGCCGCGACACCAGCAGGTTGGTGATGGTGGCCGCCGTCGGGAACACGGCCAGCTCCTCGACGATCAGCGGCTCGGCGGTGGGACGCGCCGCGCCCGACGCCACGTTCACCGCCTTCAGCACCCGGCCGTCGTCTGAGGGAGAGGGAGCCATGGGTTAATGGAACGACGACAACTGCACGGCAGGGCGTATACGCTTGAATACTAGAGGAAAATGAATGCTATTGTGAAGCATAAAACAACACTTTTTCAGGATTGTCAGCTAAGCTTCGCAGCTAAGTTCATCAGGAGCCACCGTCGCTCTGTTTCATCCCTCCTTCCATCCTCACCTGTGGCGATGAATAGGACGTCGTAGAGAGTGCCATCGGCGGCGCGGACCTGCGGGTCCACGGCGATCTTTGTGAAGCGCTGGTGGAGGCTGGTCCTCATCAGGAGCGGCTGACCGTGCAGCGTCGGCACCGCAGAGTCCATGAGCGGGTGCGACCGGATGAAGTTGAGGTGGACGTCGGGCAGCGAGCGCGAGTCGTTGACACACCGTCCCGGCCTCGGCTCCGGAACCTGAGGGTAGCGGGGTAGCCAGCGAGGTCAGAGGGTGTGCTAGGGGAGGGGTGAGCTGTGAGGTAACGTGTGGGTGGGTTTCATTGACAAAAAAATATGACATCAGCTTGAGCTTCCGTTGCTGTTAACCGCAGCATCAACAGCAAAGCCACACCAAATATGATCGACCATAAATGTCACACCACTAATCGCTTGATAATTCCAAACAAACAATCTTGTTGCAATGCCCAGCAACAGAAGCTTTGCCACACTGACATAATATCCACTGTACCAGGCACATAAACCCACTGCACTAATGCCTCGACATCACCAAACCTCGGCGTCCTCCGCCACCTCTGGCGCCACCTCACACCCACCTGCGAGTGCGTGGTCGGCAGCCAGTTGGAGTTCATGTCGTCCTGGTGCTTGAAGTTGCCCTCGAACGTGTCCATGACGTCGGTCAGGCGGAAGGCGCAGACGGCCGAGCCGGCGATGCTGTTGACGGGCGTGGTGAAGACGGCGTAGAGCACGTCCTCGAGCTGGCCGCCGTGGACGCCCGTCTGCACTGACGAGATCGACTCTGAGGGGAGAGATGGAGGGGGTCAGAGGGAAATGTGAGGGAGAGGGGCGCGGGAGGAGAGTGGGGAGACATGGGCAGGGGTGGGAGATGACTGGGAGACGAGCGTGGTCCTGTCACCGTCCCCAAACTCAAGAAATTGTGTTAAATTGTCAGTTGGATCTCTGGGAAAATTGGGATTGTGGTGATTGACTTGGAGACGAGACGGATCATTCCACCGATTTTCTTCCTCATTAGATCACAATTTATCGAGCAATGTGTTCCGAACGCTACCGTAATACGATCGTGTGCGGTGGATTATCTCGACAAAACTCTCCTGTCAGTGTATCAAGAAAAATGGTCCTCGGGTCCAGTCCCAGATTGGTACAAGTTAAATCAATTGAGAGCAATGTCAGCGGCCACAAGCCCAATTATGTGTCAAGGTCGAACACATTGTCGCCGCCTTTGAAGATCACTGACGCGAACTTGTTTCGGGAGATCTTTAATCATAATTACGTGTTAAGTCGAGACGAAATCTCGAGCCATGCGTGCCTCCTCTGGAAATGTTTCGTAATTACCCGAGCGACAAGACCGGCCGGAGCAGTAAAATGCACGGAATGATGGTTAAACCCTTGTAACTGCTCACTCAGAATCACCAGAGGCAGGTCATGTCGAAACCTCGGCGTCCGTCCGCTCTTATCAGGACGGGGTGACAGCGGACATCATAGATGTCTGCCCGGGCGTCCGATCGCATCACTTTGCATGTGTGAGCACCAGCCATCCCGCGGATCGCCCAGACTTCTCATCATTACCGGCGTTTACTGTTCACACGGTGAACCGATCTGGTCGGTTCCCACCGCGATACCATCACCCAGTTGCCATGGCGACCGGTGGGCGCACCATGAGACGGTCCGACGGACGGGGCTCGGGGACAAACAGAGCTGGCCGTCCGACCCGTCTCCCGTCAGCTGATGGTCTGATTTCGTCAGATTACGGCCCCTCCCAAACAGTGCACCAGCCGGCGCTATAATCTCTCTCCGGGGAGCCGCCTCATCATCTCTCAGCTGAACTAACCGGGCTCAGCCAACTCGGACGGTTTAACCCGCGCCGACGCTATTTTCCCCGCACCGCCGTCTGATCCAGGTTACCAGAACTGGGTTTATTCGTCTTACCCAACACCACCCTGCAGATTATGACGTAAATGATAAGTCTGGGCCCTAGAGTTACGCCCATCCCCTGCTCTGCACCTTAAACGAGCCAGCCCAGGGGCGCAAACAGAGCAGCATCATCAGGGCAGTGCACAGACGGGTAACGAGGGCGGCAGTTTCCGGCGCTTCAGAGGACGCCTGCTCCGCCGCCGCTGCAGACCCCGATGGCGTCATTGAGCGGGCAGACAAACAGACTGGTCAGTGCGGAGGGCCAGGGCTGGTGAGACGATACACCGCAGGGAGGGTGTGCTCACCCTCTCGGCAACGTGTCTTTCACACGAGCCTGCTGAGTAGATATGAAACCAGCAAAATCGTGGAAACAAAAGTTAAATTCGTGAATGGATCATTCCGATCATTGAGCTTTGAAGAGAGCAGAAGATCAACGAGGTACGAACATTGAAGTTTCCGAATGAGGTTAGCTAAAAAAATTTTCTCTAAACTTTGCGTGCTGCCAATCGCGACCACGGTCATAACCGCGGTCGGTCACGGTCACGATCAAATTCACGGTCACGGGCAGGGCCACGGTCACGAGCGGCGGGCAGCTGGCGGCTGCACTGGTAACCTAATGGAGCGTTCAGCTGCATCACAGCGGCGGCGGCCCGGTCTCTAAAGGGGCCATTTATCAGAGCTCCGTAAACAGCCAATTGGCCACAGGTCGACCTGGGCCAGCGGCGCCCAAGGTCAGTCCCTGTCCCGACCCCCTCCCCGGACCACAGCCCAGCCCCGCTGAGTGTGGTAAACAGATACCGGGAGAGGGGGGAGCTAATGCTAACCGCAGATGAACATATGGCCCGCAGACGGCGGCGTGGCACCAGCGAGAGTTCGACCCTCTCCCTCCCTCCGCCGCCAGCCGCCCGACCATTCAGCGCGGTCACGTGACGTGTCGGCGGGCGTGAACCACGGCCGTGTCCGGGGTCATGTGACCCGGCGATGCCGTCGCCCGCACCGTGATGAATTGGCTGATTATTGTACAGAAGCCGTGGAGGGGGGGGGGGATTTGAACCACACTGACGTGTGGAGGGGCGCGAGAGAGGGGAAGGATGGTGACTGGTGATTATAGCTCGCGTTCAAGTGTGAGCGGAACCCTCATGGTCCAATGTGCTGCTTATAACGAACCGTCAAAGGACTCCATACAGTTCAAATCTGGCACGACTTCTCCTATGCTGGCTACTCACGGATTTCGTCGAAGTAGAACGGGTACTCTCCGGGGATGGAGCAGTTGAGCCGCGACTTCAGGAACGACGTCCACTTGTTTCGGTACTTGTACGAGCCACCCTTGTCGTTCTTACAGACGCGGGCCACGCGCGAGTAGACACGCTGCAAGGGCACGGAGCACCGGGGTCAACGGAGGTCACAGGCCGCTCAGAGGTTAACACTGCTCAGAGGATGATCCAGTACATGACAGACCACACCATAAGGAAGAACAATGGCAAAGCACGACCTCCTTGTAACACAAATGCATCCAAAAATAAGCACAGCTCGTAGAAGTGCGGTGACCTGTGTCCATTTAACCCAGCCGACAGCTTAGCGAGTCATCACCGTCGGTTTTCCAGTCCTCCCCGGCCGGTTTGGTCACAATAAAGGTGTGGCTTGTTTACGACAGTACGTCTCCGTCACCGTGCACCAAACCACACTGCGGTCAGCTTATCCGTCTGGCTGCTCTCCCCCTCCCCCCCCCCCCCCGTCATCTACCGCAGTAGGTGGGGTGACTGGGGATATATGGGATCGACTGGCTCATCATGGGTATCGGACAGAACGTTACAGGTCACCGGACAATGACCCAGTGGGCAGTGGCCAGCAGACAGTTAAAACCGGACAGCAGGTCAGAGGTTTGACGACCGGTCACTGGACAGGGGACAGTCGGACAGTGGTCACAGGTTTGACGACCGGTCCTGGACAGGGGACAGTTGGACACTGGACAGGCAGTCGGACAGTGGTCACAGGTTGGACGACCGGTCACCGACAGTGACCGAGGCGGCTTGGCGGTGTCCCAGGGCGCACGGCGCTTCCATGAAATGTTTACCGAACGCTGCAAGTGTATGTCTAAGCATACACATACACATCGAGCGGGCGGGGTTACGTCAGGTAGTTACCAGATCGAAGGGCGAGTTTTTAGTAGGTTTACCGAACAGGGTTGGTTGCCAGACCCGACTACTGGGTGGAACAGTTCAGTTGTCAAACAACTTGTCACAGAGAGGAGCCGTAAGACTTGTGCTGAGTTCTCAGGACAGGCCACACGGAGCGAGTTGTCACTACCCAAAAATGCCGTGTGATCCGCTAGGCTGTCAGTGTTTACCTTTCCGCAGTTGATGTACTCGACGGCTGTCTCTCGGAAGAAAAAGTAGACAAAGTCTCCGTGGTCGATCGACCCGACAAAGCTGGGAGCTGAAACAGAAGCAGGGCTGGGTCAGACTGCTGATCGATAGCACAAAGACACAAATGTCACCGCGCCAGATCACATACAGGGGTGTGTCCTGTGAGCTGTGACAGCGCCTACGATAACTGACAGCGGGCAGTATCTGACCCCAGAACCGGGTGTGTCCTGTGAGCTGTGACAGGACCTACGATAGCTGACAGCGTGCAGTATCTGACCCCAGATACAGTGCCGGTCAAGGGGTCCGTCTTTGTGTCGCGGACTGTTTGCTGTTGGTGAGCCGCGACTGGTCCCTGCGGTGGTGGATGGGTTGTGTCAGCGGGCACGGGCTGACCGCTGGTGTAACTCCACTGGCCCGTCTGGTGTTTGGCTCGAGGTGTGACAGCGTGAACAGTCAATACAGCTGGTTACAGGAATAAACCAAACTGACCTCGAGCGCCGCACATGCCCCGGAACTACCGACAAAGACCGTGACACACAGACAAACACATCACGGAAGAACGGGTTGGGCCTCGCAGCTCGTATAAACGCTGACCTCAAACCGAGTCGACTTCACCAAAATCACTTTTGACGGATTTATCAGTGTTATTACCTGTGGTCCATAAATATCGTCTGGAAGGCCCACTGCCCCAATATCGCTGACCCTATCTGCGAGCGCTACAAATCAGAGCGGCGCGGCTGAAGGACCACCCAAGCCGGAGGGCGCTCTTGGGGAGGTGGCCGCCGGCACGGCGGGAGCACGGGCGGTAATTTCGCGCACACCAGTGGGCCACGGCCGCGGGGACCCGGCCCGGCCCGCCGCCGAGTGGCTTTAATATCGGCAATCATGGCGCGAACTCGGCCACTGGGCAGTGGCTGGGTGGTCCGCGGCCGTCCGAGATGGTCGGTCTCCGGCAGGAGGCAGTAATTTGGGTGAGACTGCGGCTAATCAGAGGTCCTCGGGGTGGGGCTATCCACCGCGCAGGAGCTGCCCCTCCGCTCTCTCCTCGTCCTAAAACGCATCTGGGTCTTACGTATCTCAGACACGCACAGTGTGGCTCATTGGCTCTCTTTTGGGTAGTGATATTTCTCTCAGTCACGCGAAGCTTTACCAATAACGTCTCACTAGGCCTCGTTGCGTAAAAGGCACCCGTCGAGATCACACAAGATCGCTGTCGACGCTGCAGTCATCGCCATCGACGTTTCCCCATGCGCCTTCCCACCCACAGTCTCATACTGATCAGTGGTAGTCAGATGAGCTATAGCACGCGCTCCCCTCGGTCCCGGGATCAGTTTCTCATTATCTTCTACATGCATCAGTGTGAGACGTAATAGCAGCAGACAGCGGACTAAAACAAAGCGGGATCGTATGGATATTAAGGGCTAACGCATAATTCATTACTCTGGGCTAAAAGACTCGTGTTGGTGTTTGTATTGATGTTGTGTCGGGGCTGTGAGGTGCGAGCTGCAGGCGGAGAAATGTGCCCATCATCCCGGAGCGCCCTGCCTCTGCAGCTGGCAGTGGGCTCCGCTGAACCACACCGAATCGACACGAGAACGCGTGCACGGCCAATAGCACGGACCCGGGCGACAGTTCCGCACTGACTCCTGCAATACGACCCAAGTCGGTGATTGCATAGCCCCCCCCCCCGGCCAGCGCCACCGCGCGCGCGCCACGCAATCCGACCCAAGTCGACGATTGCATAGCCTCCATCCAGCGCCACCGCGCGCGCGCCTTGCAAATCGACCCAAGTCGACGATTGCCTGCCTCCGTCCAGCGCCGCCGCGCGCGCGCCTTGCGATCCGACCCGAGTCGACGATTGCGTGCCTCCGCCAGCGCCACCCCGCGCGCCACCTTGCCACTCGGCCCCATCCGCCGCTGACCTTGTTCCGCACTGACTCCTGCAAACCGACCCAAGTCGGCGATTGCATGGCCCCCCCCCCCCCCGCCAGCGCCACCGCGCGCGCGTCATGCAATCCGACCCAAGTCGACGATTGCATAGCCTCCATCCGGCGCCGCCGCGCGCGCGCCTGCAATCCGACCCAAGTCGACAATTGCATCCGCCACTTACCTGCCATGCAATTCGACCCAAGTCGACAATTGCATGGCGCGCCAGCAATTCGACCCAAGTCGACAATTGCATGGCCTCCATCCAGCGCCGCCGCGCGCGCGCCTGCAACTCGACCCAAGTCGACAATTGCATCCGCCGCTTACCTTGCCATGCAATTCGACCCAAGTCGACAATTGCATAGCCTCCGTCCAGCGCCGCCGCGCGCGCTCCTGCAATTCGACCCAAGTCGACAATTGCATCCGCCGCTTACCTTGCCATGCAATTCGACCCAAGTCGACAATTGCATGGCGCGCCAGCAATTCGACCCAAGTCGACAATTGCATAGCCTCCATCCAGCGCCGCCGCGCGCGCTCCTGCAATTCGACCCAAGTCGACAATTGCATCCGCCACTTACCTTGCCATGCAATTCGACCCAAGTCGACAATTGCATAGCGCGCCAGCAGTTCGACCCAAGTCGACAATTGCATAGCCTCCATCCAGCGCCGCCGCGCGCGCTCCTGCAATTCGACCCAAGTCGACAATTGCATCCGCCACTTACCTTGCCATGCAATTCGACCCAAGTCGACAATTGCATGGCGCGCCAGCAATTCGACCCAAGTCGACAATTGCATAGCCTCCATCCAGCGCCGCCGCGCGCGCGCCTGCAACTCGACCCAAGTCGACAATTGCATCCGCCGCTTACCTTGCCATGCAATTCGACCCAAGTCGACAATTGCATAGCCTCCGTCCAGCGCCGCCGCGCGCGCTCCTGCAATTCGACCCAAGTCGACAATTGCATCCGCCGCTTACCTTGCCATGCAATTCGACCCAAGTCGACAATTGCATGGCGCGCCAGCAATTCGACCCAAGTCGACAATTGCATAGCCTCCATCCAGCGCCGCCGCGCGCGCGCCTGCAACTCGACCCAAGTCGACAATTGCGTCCGCCGCTTACCTGCCATGCAATTAGACCCAAGTCGACAATTGCATAGCCTCCATCCAGCGCCGCCGCGCGCGCGCCCGCAATCCGACCCAAGCCGACAATTGCATGCCTCCCCAGCGCCACCGCGCGCGCCACCTGCGACTCGGCCCCAGCCGCCAGACCCCTGCAATCCGACCCAAGTCGGCGATTGCATAGCCCCCCCCCCCCCCGCCAGCGCCACCGCGCGAGCGCCATGCAATCCGACCCAAGTCGACGATTGCGTAGCCTCCATCCAGCGCCGCCGCGCGCGCGCCTTGCAAGTCGACCCAAGTCGACAATTGCATAGCCTCCATCCCGCGCCGCCGCGCGCGCGCCTGCAAATCCGACCCACGTCGACAATTGTATGCCTCCGCCAGCGCCACCGCGCGCGCCACCTCGCAACTCGGCCCCGGCCGCCACTTGCCTTGCCCCCCCCCCCCGGCGCCCGCCGCCCCCCCCCCCCCCCGGCGCCCGCGGCCTCCCTACCGCCGCGTACCCCCTGCCCGCACCCGTGTTGCTTCCCCGCCCCGCAGCCTATCGCTGCGCCCACCTGCCACCGGTCATCCTGCTGTCCGCCACCTAGCTCCATGTCGTTGTCCTGTTGTTCGATCCACTAGGCCAAGTATCCGCCGTGCACACCGTGCAACACTCAACCGGCGTCTCCTAAGCCAGAGCACTGTTCTCCGCACTTCCATCACAAATATGGAGTAGGTCCCTGTGTCGCACCGTCACTCCTCTCCTCTCGCGGTCGCGGCCGCTCCCCGACTGAGCTCCCCATGTTATTGCCCGCCCGTCGTGTTTGCGCGCGTCCGTCCCCCGGCTCAGGGCCGCCGTGGTCGCGGCTGGAGCCCTCAACGGGTCTTATCGGCGGCGGCCGATAAGACGGTCATGAGCAGCCGATGGATGAGCCCATCACCAGGCGTCGGATTGGACTGTGACGGAGCCCGCCTGCGGCCGGGTCCCGCGGGGTTTGAGGCGGACTGCCGGACCAGTGCGGAGTGTCAGACCGACACACACCCGGCCGTGGAGACGGGGCCAGGCCGCCAGATGTGAGAGTGGAGCCACAGCCAGCAGTAACAGCTCAGCAGGTCTGGCCGGGTGGAGGAGTCTCCCCTCCCCTCCCCGGAACATGGCAGCGGACACGTGCGGCCAGTGCGGCCAGGTGCCGGTCCGTGACCCCGGCGGTCAGAGGTCACCCCGGGGTGGTCCTGTCGGCCGCTGCGCTCGGCGACACCGCCGACACGAGCCTAATGGGTGGTCCAAACAACCGTGTCGCCAGGAAACAAAACAACCTCTAAAAACAAGTACACACAACGAGTGAACGCTAACAGGAGGATTCCTCAAACAGCGCGCCATGTCGTCACAAAGGCTATGAATCAGAGTTTGTATCGAGTTGGCCTCCTGAATCTAATTTCCACAGCCAACTTCCTCTCCTCAGAAAGGCTCACGACTGACGCACGGCGCGGTCCGCCCCAGACGACCCACAGCCACGAGACGGGACCGGTTTGGAGACCGCAGGCGGCCCGACAACCCACTTAGTGCTCCTGGCAGCACGGCGTGGCGCCAGCCGCCACGCCGCGGAGAACCAGTCCTGCCGCACGGTGGAAATCAATTAATACCGGCCCAGACCGACCACCAACCTACCGTTCCGGGAACACACAAAAACGCCATTGTGTCTCGGCCGAGAACGGTTCGGAGCGGCAATTCACGGGCGGCGATATTCGTTAGAGATAAGCCACTTGTTAAATGTGTACCGTTACGCAGTTGAGCGAGCGAGAGCTTCCTCTATAGAGCGGCGCCAAGTGGCCAGAAGTTATGGCCGGCCAGCTACCGCTCCGACACGCTACCCGGCGCCGAAGATCACCGTGATTTCGGCTCCGTTTTTGGGTCAGGTGAGGCGACGCAGGGTTGAAGTTGAGAATATTCCGGCTCATGGCGCTCATGATAACTGTTGTAACATCCTGAAAACATTAGATGTACGACGCCGCTAGCCCCAGTGCTCCGTTTGACCCGAGACGGCGCCCTCTGATCTATGAGCTGGGGTTTCTCGGTCGGAGGGGCAGTGTGGGGTGGGGAGGAGCTCTGTCTGTGTTTACTGCTCTGCCCGGCACCCAGAGTCGGGCAGAGTCGCGCGCCGCGCCCCGCTCTGGAGTCGAGCCAGACGGAGTGGCTCTGTTCCGTCTGCTGACGTCATCGGTCGCCGTCCGAGCTGGCACGGACACCCCGCCGCGCCGCCCCGTCTGTCCCCGAAGTCGACCCGCACCCAGTGATGGATGATAAAAAACTGTAACAAATGGCGGCCACTCTGGAATTCACGCTATTTTTAACAGGTCAGCTCAGGACAATCAATAAACTGCAGGACGGTAGCGCACCTGATGACCTCGAATAAAAATACATGTTTAGTTTGAATCGACATGATTTAGAGGTGAAACATTTGCCTGGTTCAATGACGAAGTTTCTTTCATTGACGAAGCCGCCTCATGTCGTCTTGAATAGCACCATGAATATCGCTAAACGCACATCAACAGCATACGCATAGCTGTTTCCGATTACATGCATCGCGCTCCGCAGTAACGTGTTACCGATAGTGTCATGCGGTACAGCATAGCTGCAGGCGCTCACTACTAGTGACATCTAGTGGGCGCAATGCGCACTAAACTGATGGCCGGTTATGCGGGTCAGCATAACTTCCAGGCGTGCGCTGCTGCCGCTACAATCTTGATCTACTGTTTGTTTGCGCTGTGTTCTGTTTAGTGCTGTTTGTTAACTGAATGTTTGCGCCATCAGTGCTGCGCTCGAACAACTCAACTAACAAAGCTGCGCGTGTTTTCATATAACACCGAAACCACTCGGTAACTCCATCTGTAAGTCGTAAGTAACGACAGTCGTGCCCTCGTCACGCCGGGTCACGGTGGCGTCACGAACCGGCCGTCCGTGACTTACCGTCACGGACGATCGCAGCGAACGGGTCCGTGTGTTACCAAACACCATGTGCCTGCGTCACGCTTTGAAATTACGCCATCGACCAACAACACTCGCAACACACACGGACATAAGCAGCGCTCCCCGGCAGTGCCACCGTCTGCAAGTGCAGGCTCAGCCTGCTTATCCAGCTTAAAACTTTCTCGATTATACCAGGATGGATGCACGGCAGGCGGTTTTTGGGAGCCATAAGCCGCGCTTCCGAGCTTCTAAGAAGAGTAGAGAGTTGTGAGTTGACAGTGCCGCCGCCGCGAGCCGGTGACGACGCCGGCGTCTAGTTGGAGCGCCCTGCAGCCGGACGGGTCGCCAGGTAGTACGGACAGTCGGCCCCGGGGACCGGCTGATCTAACCACTGATCAGCCAGCCACCGTCCGACCGGCCGGCAGAAGCGGACGAGTACACACGAGACGGGAGAGAGGTGGGTCCAGACGAGAGGAGGGAGAGAGAGGGGAGGCACGGCGCCCACCTGGACGTACGTCGTAACGTCAGCGTCGTCGATCGCCGACCTGTCCGGAGCCACTCTCTCCAGACAGCGCGGCCACTGCGGAATACTAATGACCGCTGCACCGGGCGCCGCGGGTGACTTTACACTCTGCGGTCCTCTCCGGTCCTCTGCCGTACCCAGGCGGCCGGTCGGACGGCTTTTTCAGCTGGTCAGAGTACGAACGGAGCGGCGCCGCGCCGGTCAGAGGTGGCCGGACAGGAGAGCCGTGGCCGGTCCAATGAGAGGGCCCGGCGCGTGACCGGGACCACTGGCGCCCCTCACCGAGACTCCCGCCCCAGCGGCGGATGAATGGAACTTCACGGACTGTCGGCCCGTGTGAATAGCGCCACGTGACCGCGGAGAATAAGACGATTGTGGTGCGATTTAGAGCTCACTGCCTGCGAGTGGATGATATGGTAGAGACATCCTATTCAGAGCCCAGCGGCGTGAAGGAAATTAAGATAAAAGGCAGATAAAACAAACAGACATAAACCAGGAAGGAAAGCCAAATGCCAAGCCAAACACGTGAGCCGGCGGCGGCGATAAATAAAGCCACGCTTTCAAGAATATTTCAGTGGTAAGTGAACTGTTAGGTACTATCCAAAATATTGAGGCATGAAACTTGATCGATGATAATTACCATGCTTCATCAGCGGTAAACACATTTTAATGGGCATTATTGCTTAAAAACGGATGCCAAAATAACGACTTCAAGTTTTCAATTCGAATTCGATTAGGGAAAAAACAGCTGCAAGCAAAAAGATCTAAGAACGTGCTGATTTTATCAGAAGATCCCGTAAACGATGCCACGAGGTAACTCTAAAATCAACTGACGCGGTGTTCAAAACATTTTGTCTGTGATTTTGGCCCATGAATTAGACATATTACGCCATTCACCCACAAAAAAACGACAAAACCAAAATATTTTTCGGCACATCCACAAATTTACTTTACATAATGACCTAGCCAAATTTTCCGGATTTTAAGCAATGTTTAATGTGTGGCAATGCTAAATGCTTTAAGAAGCATCTTTACTAGCAGTACACCATGTCCCAAGCATGATGTAAGGCATCATTCAACAGAAATGGAACCCGACGAACCAAGCACTAGCGGCCCATCACCATCGAGAGAAAGGTCTCGATCCAGATCTAGAGCCAGGAGCGAAGAAAAATGCATAAAACCGAAAGTGAAACCTGTCAAAATTAGACAAAAAGCAACACGAAAACAGGTCAGGATGAAACCGAAGGTCGAATATGAGAGCGATGATGACAAAAGCTTAGCTGGCTCCTCAGATATGTGCGGTGATCAATATGAAGAACCCAAGGATGAGGACGAAGAAGAAGAAGACGAGGAGCAAGTATGTGCACCAGTGCGACCGAAGAAACGAATGAGTCGCAAGAGAGCACAACCTTCAGATGAAAGTGACTCACTGCTGGGTAACTCAAACGATGCCTCGTTCGACGAGACTCCAGAGCAAGACGGTGGCGACGACTCAGACATCAGTAGTGCGCCTACCGACGCACCATCCGAGGTCGAGTGCTCAAAGAAGACAAAATCGCGACGCAAGCCGATCCTCAAGAAACCCGTCATGCCGCGAGGGCGTCAACGGCGACGTCAACGATCCCGTTCGGTCAGGAGTCACATTCACACACTGGACGACCACGATCGCGGCTCCAAGTGTCGTCTGTGCACCACTTGTGCGGCGCGCTACCAGGCCATTCTAATGAACGGACGGTACGCGTAAGTTGGACACGCACAAATCCCTTTTAATTGTATTTTAGTGACCTGTCTCCGTCCCTTCAAAGCTCAGCTACTCTAACCTCTTGAATATAAACCCCGTCAGACTCACCATTTAGCTGTTTCAGCTCGAACTGTTCGGTGCGGAGCGGATGTCTATAGATGAGTGGGTCCGAGCCGGCAAAATCAGCCACCGTTCCCGCATACAGCTGGTCATCTGTGAAAAAACAGTCGTTTAACACATAGTTCATCAAAATTGAGACAGCTCATAAGGCTCTTCTTCTAGTCGGCTGAATCACTCATGCGTTTTAAATGAGCGGCGTCCCATCTGCCCATGACGTTTCGACCACGGACCGGACGTTGGGCGGCCATGACGTTTAACTGTGGACCGGACGCCGGGTTGGGTTGGCAGCTGTGTCGCCGCCGCCGTCACAGCTCACCGACCACTGTGGTGTCATAAAACACCAACTAAAAACGCGGCGCGGCCGGCTGCTGGCACGGCTCGCCGCAGCACTGCTGACCAGGCCAGCGGTCAGCAGTCAGCAGCGACCCACCGACACCAGCTGACACCGTCAGCGGCTCCGTCCCAGCCGACATCCCCCCTCCCGGCCTCTCAGAGTCTGCATTCTACAGTCACCCCTCAAACCGTCGGTGGTCCGAAGGGTACCCAAACACTACGCGCCCACCGCGATAAAAGCCGAGCTGTGTTTCTGCGACGGGTCTCGATTAGAGATCAGCAGGTAGCGGAGGGTAGCCGGCGGTGGCCGGGGAGGCGGCGCACGGTCCCGGATATGAGCCCCGGGTGCGCCAGGGTTGAGTTGAGTGACCCTCGGGCGAACCACAGGCGAGCCCGCCACCCAGAGCTGCGCGCGTGACTGGAGGAAAATGACGACGAAAAACGGCCGTCCCGCTGCGCGCCCGCGATCCCTCCACCGGCTATCAGAGGCCTCTTGCACCAAACTACCTACCTAGGTAAATTCAGATTTTACCTAGATTCTCTTGCACCAAACTACCTACCCAAAAACGCTACCGTGAAAATTTACCTTGAGAAATTCTACCGAGCGGTATAAGAACTTACCAATTGTTAAAGTCCAACCGGCTGTTTTCCTCTTGCACCGAAAGCCGGAAAGAAGTACTCGCGGAGGAATTTTTGACGGTCTGACGGTAAACGCGGGCTTCCAAAATAACTAGCAAAACCTTAGGTAAAATGATTCAATTAGTAACAATAGGCCCAATACATGATAATCCACGGGTACTTTTATGTAAATTAGGCATTACAAAATGTTTAGACAATGATAAATCAATGTTTTACGAGTGAATAATAATATAATTGACCAAATGTTCCATGGGTTCACAGAGGTGCTTCTCCGTACCAAGGCGATAAACCTCCGTAGCAGAACAGCCAGGTTGAAGACTCACTCGTTGCCATGGAAACGAAGCTTATTTGTTCAAGTAATCTAATACCAGTATAGCGCCTTTTGGGGCGACTAACGGAGCGAGCGAGGGGGTGAGACTTGCACGTGCGAAATTTCGAGGGTGGCCTCCAACTGACTTGTGCACGGCACCCTACTGACCGGTTTCTAGCGATGTGCCAAATTTGAGCACAATCGGCCCAGCCGTTCTCGAGATCTGGAAGCGGCACCCTGCACGTGCGCACGTGCAAAATGGGTCCCAACTGACTTGTGCACGGCACCCTACTAACTGGTCCCTAATCGTGTACCAAATTTGAGCGCCATCGGTCCAGCCGTTCTCGAGATCTGGAAACGACCCCTGCACGTGCGCACGTGCAGCAGCACCCCAACTCTGGCACATGGATATGCAGTGCCTAGTGGGTGCCTATCTACATGCCAACTTTCAGCGCAATCGGCCAAGTAGTTACCGAGATATTGCAACAATTACAAAACTGACACCTCTTCGTTTTGCACGTGACACGTGCATAAGGGGTCACCCACATGCATCGGGAATAGTCCAATACTTGGTAGAAGGAATGAAGCTACCCTACAAAAATTACCCCGTGTAAATCGGCCAAGTGGTTGCTGAGATATAGGCCTCGCAAAAGCGTCCGCACGGCCGGCCGGCCGGCCGGCCGGCCGCTCATACTCAGAAATTTCCGTTAATCTAAGGAAAGACTACGCTCGCTTCGCTCGCTCCGTAATCAAAATAACTTCTATCGGTATTTACGTAAATGAAAAATGATTTCATAATACCAAAAGTATATTAATAAAAACAATATCCATTTAATTGTTTTCTTTAGTTACTATTTGCTTGCGCCCACAAATAATTCGTCGCCAAATACCCAATCAAAACAAATCCTAAAAACGCGAGCTGTCAAATTTACCTAAGTAGGTAGGTAGGATGGTGCAAGAGAAGTTACCGCCGTAGGTAGTTTTACTAGGTAGGTATTTTGCCGATTCTACCTAGCTAGGTATTTTGGTGCAAGAGGCCTCAGATGAAAATTAACTCGTCAGATGGGAGTGGGAATTGAGAGCTTATCTTGCACAGCCGTGCAGCCTCCCGAGAACGGATAGTAGCTTAGACAAATTGGACGTTTTCCCATCTGTTACTCGTCGCTGTAGTCAGATTTTCACAGGCGAAGTGCCGCATTTAGAAAAGTCCGATTTAACGGACCTGTCGGGACGAAAACCACCTGCTCCCCTATAGCTCCCGGTGCCAGCGCGGCGCAGGCGTTCCCAGGATGGGCATTAGTAACTTCACAGTGCTAACAAACTCGGCCGAACTTCACTTCATCATCGAGGCGCCGCCCCAGTGAGCTTCGGCGTCAGTAAACTCGGTAAAGACCTCGCGAGCCATGGTCAGCCCAACAACTTTGACAGCTGTTACGTCTCGGCTCGTAACTTGTCTCAACCAGCTGTCCGACGTCCATTGGGGGCCATCCAGCCGGAACACTCGACTCGGCAAACTTTTCCAATAACACATTCATCGAGCGGGCGAGCACGCCTTAGAAGCAGGGCGACGTCTATAGAGAGATACGCTGTGGCGATGTGACATGGGTGCTATTGGTATGTTCAGCGGCGACCCGGCCCCCATGGTGTTTCCAATAGGCGACGCGACCGGACTTTGGCGTGTTCATTGACGGGGTGGGGTCAAACTCGGCCGAACTTCACGTCTATCTGACGTCAGTTGACCGTGGAGGGGGTCAGTTGACCGAGGAGGGGGTCAGTTGACCGTGGCCAGCACTCACCGACAAATGTGACGGTACTGTTATGGTGCGGGTCGTACGGACAGATTCCCTTGCCGTCCACGTCGTTCCCTTCTGCGACGTAGCCCAGCTCCTGAAAAAGGCCACAATGAATTATTACACTGGCACGGAAGACGCAATCAAGCTCGAGTAGACACAGATACACAATTCTGGACTGCGCTCGACATTTCAACGAGCAGGAGCTTGAAATGCAGAATGTGATGTCAGCTCTAGAAAAAGCATCGGATATCAGCACTCTTGGAAGCACGATACTTTGTGGACAGTCACTCTCAATTCTTTGGTGACATCCGCGATAAAGTCTCTAAGTCAGTTGATCCCTCTGGACTGTCGAGCTGCGGGGCCGTCGAGCCGCAGCTCTTTCACTGGCCCGCCAGCTCAGCCGAGTTGACGACAGGCAGTCGGTTGTCGGCGAGAATTTCCGTCCAGTCAACACAATTCGAGGCGGCTGAGGAGCTCGCTTTGTCAGCAACCCGCGGGCAAACAGGGTAAGCCCTGGAACTCGGGATGGAGGGCGGGCAGAGGGCGGTGCGCAGAGGACACAGTCGGGCGGCCCAGCCCCAGGAAACGTCCCACATTCCGATAGTACTTGTCAATAGGGCCTCATTCCGGCGTAGAAAGGACAGGAAGTCAACTGCGATATAGCAAACACCGCCATCACGGGTTTCCCAGGAACGGGAAAAACACAGGTATGAGAGGAGCCCTCCCAAACGCGGCGGGATTTTGAGTGACAACTGTCCAGTGGCTCCTGCCCGGGCTGGGGGGGGGAGGGTCAGGCCGCAGGGAGGGGTGACACGCACCTGCCACAGCTCTGACGTGTCTGACCGGTCCGGCCAGGTTAGAGTTTTTGCCCTGCGGCGGCCGGTTTTTATTGGCCCGGTTTTTGCAGAGCTGTCGATGACCCATGTCATGCTCGTGGTGGGACATAGCAACGCCCCCGGCAGAGTCAAATAGTCGATCGGTCTTTAGCGTGACGGAACGTTACGTGAACGTGACGTTACGTGGCGTACGGGGATTAACTGACATAATGGAAATAAAGTCTGGAAACGTGAGAGGCTGAATCCTTCACTGTAAATCCAACTTGACCCAACCGACCTAGAGGGTCACACTACGCGAATGTGCCCCGAATAGACGGCTTGACGCATTAAAGGGTGAAGGAAATAACTTACGTCCTAATTGCCGCAGGACACGCAAGAAACGACACAGAGATTTAGAGGTAAAGAGGAAGGGTTGGTGGGAAGAAAAGGGGCACATTAAAACGGCGGGGAGAGAGAGAGAGAGAGAGAGAGAGAGAGAGAGAGAGAGAGAGAGAGAGAGAGAGAGAGAGAGAGAGAGAGAGAGAGAGAGAGAGAGAGAGAGAGAGAGAGAGAGAGAGAGAGAGAGAGAGAGAGAGAGAGATAGAGAGAGATAGAGAGAGATAGAGAGAGAGAGAGAGAGAGAGAGAGAGAGAGAGAGAGAGAGAGAGAGAGAGAGAGAGAGAGAGAGAGAGAGAGAGAGAGAGAGAGAGAGAGAGAGAGAGAGAGAGAGAGAGAGAGAGAGAGAGAGAGAGAGAGAGAGAGAGAGAGAGAGAGAGAGAGAGAGAGAGAGAGAGAGAGCAGAGACAGAGAGCGGAGGCGTTGGGCAGAGGGCGCGCTGCACAGTAAGTGCCTGGGAGTGGTGGCCGGCGGCCGTCCGTCCGTGGAAGCCGTGACGCTGCACTCCGTCCGTCTGTTCCCAGGTGCAGCCAGCCAGGGTCACCGGCAAACCACCAGGGGTCACCCCCGGGTCACCCTTCCAGTCACGTGACGTCGACGACACCCACCGGCTGTTTCCTGTAGCTGCGACACTTTGGGTTGTACGAGTTGGTGCCACACACGAACAGCTCGCCGTCCGACTTCTTGGCCAGTACACGCACGTAGTTGTGACACGCCTCCTGCAAACAGAATACCACAGTCATGTAGCGCCGACACGTATATCGTAGCGTGGGCCACGTTCGGGCGCACCTCGCGGATTAGCTAAAGCGGGTGACAAATTACGAAAGCGGGCTTATGTGTGCTGGCGCGCGGCGGGGCTGATGTGTGCTGGCGCGCGGCGGGGCTGATGTGTGCTGGCGCGCGGCGGGCGTCACGGTCGGGCCAGGTTCGGGGAGTGTGAGCCCGTGTTCGTGTACGGCCATTGAACATGAGCGGCCGACAGTAAGAGGACAGGTTTTGAGGCTGGGCCCGGTGACAACATGTGGTCAGACGGGTGTGACGTGTCTCCTGAACGTTACCCGGCGTCACTCCTCGTACGGAGTGGGCCTCCAAACACGGCAGATAAAACAGAGAGGCACTGCAGGGTTCAAGTGGTCGGCCGAAGCGATGGGGCAACTCGCTTGATTAAAACGGTGCCGCCGTATCGAGTGACAGCTGCAGTGGAAGTTAGATTCCGGCGGCTGCCTCTGTAGCAGACCAATATATCGGATCGAGACCACCTGCATCCCTGCGGCGCCCCCTCTCCCCCAGCGCTCCCCCGCCAGTCTGCAGTGCGTGACCTGTTCCGGTCGTCAGCAGCTCCAGTGCCTGGGCGGTGACAGTGGGCGGGCCCGCGGGGAGCCGAAGAGGGCGGCCCACAGTCCGACAGAAACCGTGCAGCCGATCGGTCGGCAGGCACGCCCCCTCCTCCCCCGCAGCCGGAGCAATCCAGCCGGCTATGCATGGAATAGCAGCGGCAATAGCAGCCACCGACGCACGCCGACGCGCCTCTAACGGACCCGTCATTCTGAACGCGCCGCGCCGGCTTACATATGAATGGAGACACGCTGCTACACCGAGCCACTGGCCTCCGTTTGGCGCAGTGCTCACTGAATAGAGAGGCGACTGCTGGCACGCCTTCGCGCCAGCTGCTGGGATTTTGTGCTTCACGGCGCGGAGAGGCGACGGAGCAACGCTCGACGACGGCTGAGACGCACTCGGGTCCAGCGGCGACACAGGCGCGCGCGATATAGGACCGACAACGAAAACAACAACCAGCGGGAGTGCTGTGATGGACGCGGCACCCAGGCGGCGGCGCCGTTCGCGGACGAAATATGACCTCGTTAACCGCGATATGGCGGTGGAAAGCCTCGTGAATCGTACACGCTTGGTGCCGGATGCCATTGCGGGGCGCGGCCGGTGAGCCCATCCAGCACGGTCGGGTGCCGGACGCACCCGCGCGGCACCCCGGCCCGTGACGCGGCACCCACTGGGCACCCGTGAGCAGCTCGTCCCCGGCAGGCAGTTTGGAGCGATGGTAGCACCGGAGTGAGTGCCGTGCTCGTCCGAGCGAGGTCGGCGCTATTATACAGTGTGTCGTGTTCATTTACACCGTCTCGGTCCAACAGACAGCCACTGGAGCGAGCAGTGTGACCCGCAGTACACACATCTGTCGCGCGCGCGCCACAGTTGTGTAAAGAGGCCACTTCCGCGCCGGATTAGCCCCCTTTCACTGTGAGCCTGCGGTCAGGGCGTACGCAATAGCGCGTGCGATTGCGGCAAACTAAACGCAGGGGTAGATGGGTTAGTTACGGCAGGGAGCTATTATCGCGCTGCACTTCATCTAGACCGCAGAACACTCCGCGCGGTGGCCGCGTTTCCACACCGCTCGTAGGTTACGAACACATGTGTAACGCCTGCCAAAATCGGACGCGCGTCCCGTGACCTCACCTCGCTGAGGCCCTTCATGATGCAGAGTCGGACGTCGTGTTCGGGCGAGTACCACTCGAGCCGCTCCTCGCGGTGTTCGGTGAAGTCGGTGAGGCTGATGTTGAACACGATGTTCCTGCAACAGAGCGAGGCGTGGCGTTAGCGGGCGTCACAAGGGCCGTCACAGTAGAGTCAGTGGGCCAGGGAGGACCGCAGTCCGGTCAGCAGTGGTCCACAGAGGACCGCTGGCCGCTCTGCAGTGGTCCAGAGAGGACCAACTGTCCGGTCTGCAGCCGTCCGCGGCCGGAGCAGAGAAGCCGCCGGGCGGTCAGAGAACAGACACGCCGCCGACGCCGCTATCACACGGTCGCCGACGGACAGCCAGGCACGCAACACGCCATGAGCAAAGTGTAAGCCACAGTTAGGGCCGCGGCACACCGTTACAATTACAGCGACACACATTGCCCGCAGTGCTGAGAAAGCCGCTGGTGCCTAACTATCGCCCACCCGTGCTAAATTCCGAGACCCCACGGCCCACTTTGCAGGTTTACCATGCACTGCCACAATTCCCACATCCCATTTAAACACCTCGTTTCCACAATGCGGCGCCGCTTGTTGGCGAGTTGACCCAGACGTGTGCTGATGAAGGATTAGCCCTGGCGCTGATTGTGTCCGGTGACGGTCGCGCGCGGCGGTCGCGGCGGGGCGGTCGCGGCGGGGCGGCCGGCCCCGATTGTCGCACACCGTCCATGGTTAGTGTCCATTAGAGCCCGGCCCGCTGTGCCATTAGGTCCCCTTTGTCTCACCGCAGTGCGGCCAGGTGAAGGGTCAGCCCATTGGGACCGTATTGTCTCGCTCTGTGTTCCGTCCGTACCCAGCGCGTCAGTACGCGCCGTCTAATTCCGGCCGCCGCCGACCAAATGGCCTCTCCGGCCACCGTTTCCGCTCGAGGTCAGGAAAGGTCACGGAGCTGTCCACAGAAAGCTCCGTCGACATTCGCTCAGTCGTCGGTGCGACGACAGAGTCGCCGCCGCGCCGCCCAGACACCCGAATGGTCCGCCGATGACCGCCACCGTTTCTCCGCGGGCTAAATTTAGCGAGTTTGGCAGCTAGCCCCTGTCAAATTCCGAGATGCCCGGCTCGAGCCCGGGTCGGAGAGCTCGCCACGGCCAGTCAGCAGTCGGTGGCGTCTGTGGCCAGCGCGGCCGAGGTCAGGGAGGTCAGACGGGTCGGGGGTCAGAGGGGGCGCAGGGGTGACCCCGGCCGGCAATATCAGCCGGATGGTGTCCCGGAACTTTGGAACAAGGCGAGTTCTCACCATACGCCTCGCTAAACGGCGGACAGCGCGGCGGTAGGTGCAGGGTGGGGGGAAGGGAGCCAGGGTGCAGGAGACAGCACGGCATGGCCACAGCACGGGCGCCAACTGCGTGTGATCGCTGCGTAGTACGCGAGCGGAGATATGAGGCACTGAATGCGGCCTCCAGACAGTCACGTCGTTCCTGTCTCTTTGGTTGGACGGTCAGCAACGAGCCGAACGAGCCCGACGAGCCACGTAACGAGCCGACAAACGGACTCGACACGACGAGACAAACGGGCTGCGCTCCAGAGTCCGAGACTGCCATGAGAACTGAGCGACAGACGCCGCGCGGCGCGGGTGGCCACCGTTTGCAATGTCGCCGTCGCATCGCACACAACTTCGCAGTCAGCCACAAGAGCACTTCCCTCAACGAGCTGTCAAGTTAGTGAGCCGCGCTACGGACTATCATTTAGGTAAACATTGCCGAGTCTTAATGATCCGTTTGTGGACGTTAGGGGGCGGAGGAAGGGCTGCGCTGGACGGCTGTGTCGTTGCGTGGGACGACTGCTGCCCGTTGTTGACACTGAGCGCGGATGTTGTCCCGGTTGTGACGAGTGGCGAGGTGGGGGGTCCATCGGCCGGCGGAGGTATCCTAGGACAGTCCGTCGGCGGAGACAGCCTGCGTCGGCCCGTCGGCATCGGATGACGTCGCCCGGGCCGTGTTTAGTCTGTCGCCAGCATCGGTCCCGACACTCCCACGGCCACCGGCCGACGGTCGACGGTCGCCCGGACCCGTGAGAGAGCGCTCCGCCCCACCCCTCCCCATCAACATTCACCCCACCACAGACTGCCCTCCCGCCCGGGGCACCTTACTGCAGACCGCGCCCCCGCCCCCGGGGGCCGACAAAGTGCGGCGCGTTTTGGGCGTCACGCCTCTGAAGGTCTGCCCCCAGCGATGCGGCGTATGGGCGCCAGCGGAGTTGCGGCGCGGCGGAACATTACGTGCCCAGAACGACGGACCACGAATCAGTTTCAGTGATCCAGCCGCGGGTCGTGACATAAGGCAGAAAAAGACTGGCTATGAATGGCAAACCAAGACGGGGAGGGCAGCATTTGACGTCCGCGATCCTATTTGGGCTCCAAGGGGCAATGGACGTAGCGGTGCCGGTCTTGGTGACCTTTACCACCGACTGAGTTCCAGGTCATCGTCAGTTGTCACAGGCCACCGTCGGTAGGATATGAATGCGGCGGACAATACGGCAATCATCGGAGCCGTCGCACAATGTCGCGCTCGGACCCGGTCACGGCCAGGGCACGGTCCGAGACAGACTGAACGACAAAAGGACTGGAACGCTGAGGCCTCGGGATTCTGATTTGAATGATGGCACTCAATTGCATTCATTGGAGTGGTATGCCGACTATCCGCATACAATGCATGCAATCAATGTAGGTAGCTTCCTGATCGGCAAAACTGCTCACAAATCGGGACAGTGAGCGTATCGAAACGCAGATTTATCGAAAAGATAGCACGATAAAGGTCGAGAGCTAACGGTCCGCTGAATACCAATGTGTGTCGGACCGCCAAGCTTGCAGGCAGGATGTGACTGAATGCAGAGAACCGGTGATCTATAGCTGCACCCGGAACGATCACAAGACCATTCCATGACCCGATCGACGTTTATGTATGACCTCGCGGGCAGCGGATGTCTCTGAGATTATTGATAACGCTGTCATTTCTGAAGCCTTTGAGGCCAAGGCGGAATTTCGCCGGCTCGGCGTCTCACGGCTGGTGTCATTCAGAGGTCGCGCGTTCGAGTCCCGGTGCCGTCACTGACCTTGCGCCGATGAGAAGCGAGTTGCCGTCCTTCTCCAGCAGTTTGAAGTGGTCGCTGTGGGACGTGTTGCCTCTGAACCGGAGCACGTCCTCGTCATCTGTAACAGAGCAGAATCATGCATCGTCAGAGACTGTTGGTCCACCCGTCACCCGCCCAGTCAGCGCCGCGATATAAACGGTCGATTAGGGAGATTTAAAACGCATCCCGGCACCACACAAATCACACTAAGCACCTTCATTTCAAAACAGCTTACGTGTTAATATTCTGTGAGGCCGTTTTTCTGAACGTATCCGCTGTGGGAATGGGCCCAGGTAAGTCGTGCGCCTCACACTGGGGATTTATTGGCCGCGTATTCGCGTGACCAGCCGGGAGGGCTCAGAGACGTTCACACTGCCGCTCGCACCGCCCGCCCCCACGAGATCGAGACTATGTGTGGGAGGTAACAGCACGTCGAGCGACCCGAATAAACACTCAACGCAATCGGAATGGATATCCCTGAGGCATGAAGCAATGATTGCACGCAAGCATAGTTACAATGTAGCATAAAGCATTCGCAAGGTTTTGTGCTGTGCGGATCAAAGAAGGCTCGCGAATAAAAGTGCACGACTCGGTAGCTCAGAGCAGCACGTCTCAATTAAGATGCGGCCCGTTTCCTTCCATTAAGATTCCTTCGACCCGTTTCCGACGGCGGCTCTCCCTCGTTCGATCGGAATGTCGCCGCGCTGGTGACCGCAGATTGGCGTGGAGTCGCGGACCATCCCGGTCGTGACGGTCCCGCAAACACAGCCAGCTGGCGCCGATTCCGGCGCGCCCTGACTGTGATTGGCGCTATTTAGATCCGCCTGCTCGCGGTGAACAGCGGCGCACCTGTTCCGAACAAACCGACCAGAAGGCAGATCGGACGGCGGCTCTCAGTGTAGCATTGTCACACCGGCCAATTGAGCCACTCGTGGCGCGGCTGTGCGCCACAGGTGTCGCACGTAAACACCGCGCCGCGCCGCTGCTCGCCGAAGCCGTGCAGTGCCCTGACTGCGTCCCGTTACCGCTTTGCGACTTTTTTCTCCATCGGCGGCATCTGGCGCACACTGTGAATGTGCTGCTAACGAGACTCTGGTGAGCGCTGCCCGCCGATGCACGCTCAAACGGCCCTGATTCAGACGCGGCCGTGCAGACGCGGCTCGAAGTTGTCTGAATGGCCGAGACAGGAATTACGGTGTTCGGCGCTGAGCCGATGGCGCGTGACGCGCAGAGTGTCTTCTTCCAGGCCAGGTTTTCGTACACCGGTCCACCCCTGCAGTGTGGCACGAATCGATTGTGGAGCGGGTCTGAAGTAGGTCGGACAGCCCGGTGTAGTACCCAGCTACGCCTCCAAGTGGGCGCCGTTTCGTTTGCACAATGGGCTTTACACCAACAGTGACACCCTCTTATGGAGCTGCTTTCTCGGAGGCGCGAGAACCGCTGCGGCGTCCACAAAGCCTTTGACACGGGTCGGGCGACGCGGTTAGTATCTGCCTGTGTCCGGGCGGCGGCTCGTCAGCCGGAGAGAGTCCTTTTCATTAGCGTCGCGCCGCTGACCGCGTTCCGACCTGATACGGACGCCCGCGCGTCAGCGGTCTCCCGGCGAGAGGTCAGAGGTCGCGCCAGGACGGCGTGAAACGCGGCTACCGTCCGAGTGGGCAGGTAAAAGCGTCTGAGGCATTCATAGAAATTGCATAATGAAGCAAATGCCATGCCAGTATGGAAACCGCAGTAGGAGAAGTCTGTTAAAACGTTTAAAATAGCGGAATCTGCCTGATGGCACCAATCTGAAAGCATCTGGATTCTAAATAACGGTAGATTCTAGCTCTAATTTACATATATTACGCTACTGTGACATGATGCTAATTTCGCTGGTGATTTTGATTGATCGAATGAGACTAGCCGCAATTATTTTGTGTCCACACTGTAAAAAAAATTCACTAGCTAATTTTGAAATTAGGCATTTTTTACGAGTGCCTCCCTTGCACCTCGTTACAACATATATGGACATTAGTAGTCAGAGCCATGCACGTTAACAATGCCCTTTGTGGAACAAATGCCTACGAGCGAGAGCATGTTCAGGAACCTAATTTTGCGCAATGTTAATGAACTACGCACAGCCTCACAGTGTTACCCGCCGTTGGCTTGTTCTCGGCCAGTTTTTGGCGTGTCCCTCAATTAGGTCATTTTGCTATCAGCTCAGCTGACGAGGCCCCGGCTGGCACCTACTAAACGGATAACCTTGCGTGCAACCCCGCTTGTTGTCACGAACGCCTGCAGCTGGTAAACGTGCTGGTAAGCTTGCGTGGTAAGCAGCTTCGGATGGCTATGAGGATGTGCCTCATAGCTATCCTCGTCGCATGTTACAACCTAGGAGTCTGTGGCTGCTTTCAGAAGGAGTCCTCCCCCCCCCCGCATCCGGGAGCCGGCGTCCATTTTGTGTTGCGTCGCCATTACTGTGTGTGTCTGCCCAACTGCTCTTTGGCTTGATTGAAGGTGAGGCATCTTGTATCATTTGCTGTGTGCTCAACAAAAAGGTTGTCCATTTGTAAACAAAAGTTTTTATGTTGTGGAGCTTCTTAGAAGATGTATAGTAATCGCATAATGTTGCCCGTCGTTGGCAGAAGTGCGCCGGTATCGTCTATCCAAGTCAGAATAGCTATATGTTTGGGACTTACGTTAGCTTGTGGCAGGAATATATCACTTTATTCAACTTTAATATAATCATCTTCCAGATTGGTATGCCTTATGATAATAATAATGTTAATATTGTTTTTTCACCCATTACAGACTTCTCTGGTAAAGAATGGGGCCATGTACATATGTCCTGGCCTACCTTCACCCCGCGACTGCCGCCGGTGCAGAGCTAATGAAAAATCACAAATGTTTGATGGTGGTTATTTAAGAAACCTGATTGCAAATTATTCAGTTAGTTGTTGTTGTTGTTGTTGTTGTTGTTTTTGTTGTTGTTGTTGTTATTGTTAAAGTTATAGTTATTGCCCTAGCGTTGTTATTGTTCTCGTTCTCGTTCTCGTGCCCGAATAAATGTGCTGCAGCGCTACTCAGTCTGTTTACTTGCGGGTGGTGGTCGAGAGTCGGGGGCACTGGTTGACGGAATTCCGTCGACGGAATTCCGTCGACCCAGTGCCTCGACCCCGAAGGCCAGTAGTGGTACTAGTTAACTAGTGCCACTACTGGCCTTGAGCTAGTACCACTACTAGCCTTGGGGGCTAGTACAATTACTGGGTATGGATTAGTAGGCAGTGGCTAGTTACCTTACCAGGCAGGGGCTATTATGACACCTAGTAGACGCACTACCCACGCTATTTACGTGCGTGTTGTCAAACAAGGTGGAGCACGGTGGTCGTATGCATACGAGGCACAGCCTTGTCGAACAAGCTTGTTACTCGGCAACTAGCCTAAAATTAGCCAAATTTACACGCTCCTGCAATGTTATTTTTGCGCTGAGAATTCCTCTACGAGGGGCTTGTAAGTTTTTTTTACAGTGCAGAGCTGCCTACAGAAGTTGCTATGTAGATCTGTGTTACGTCCTGCGCAAACTTCTGAGAAGCTACCTCTTATGAGGGCACCTTTCACAAATCTCTCCTCGGCTATATCATCTCTGCATACCTACTTCCAGCGCTCTACCAGCGGAGGGGAGCGCCGGTCCTACAGAAGCCTTCCGCCAAACACTTTCTCATGTGCACGGAGGGCGCGCCCGCTCCTCTTCTCGTCTGGACGTACGCGGAAGGCTCCCCTCCCGGCAGCAGCTCTGAGCGGCAGCCATCGCGGGACCGGTTTTGGGCAGGAGAAATCACGACTGCGGCCGGCGGCGGTGTCTGGCCGCCGCCCTGAGCCGCCGGCCCGCCGCCCCGCGCCGTCCACTGTCCACACGCCGCCGGCGCCGGCCGCCGCCGGCGCCGTTTCACCTGTCGTTCCGACGGGCGGCGCGGCGGAGGCAAACATGACGCCGGCGCGACTGTTTGCTCGACCCGACTCCGTGCCGGTCGTATGAATGGGACCCGCTCGGCGTCCGGCCGCCGCGCGACAGGTCAACCCACACAGCGCAACGACAGTGCAGCATTGAGCGAGCAACGAGCCGGATGGTACCGACAGCGGGTCGCAGGTGGAAAGGTCACCACGACGTGCGACCAGCCATCAGACAGGACAAATATCGTGGAACAGATGGCCGAAAAAAGTCGCTCCGTTATTCTGCCAGGAGCGGCGGCGGCGGTGAGAACGGGGGCGGAGGTCATGTCCCGGGTGGAGGCGGTGACCGGGGCGGGCACGAGTCGGACGGTGGTCGCCGCTGCAGCCTCGCTGGCCGGCGTGACCATCAGCCAAACAAGAGCGGTCATATCGATGGTAATTGTATCGGTCTGCAGCGTTAATGGCGGCGTTAGTCACCACAGTACAAGTCACGCAGACTCCACGTGTCGGCCGATGGAAGCCCGATAGAGGCAATAGGCCGATGACGTGGAGAATACATGGAACAGCAAGAGCTGGTGGAAGCCAGGCGGAAGCCGGCGGAAGGCGGGCGGAAGGCGGGCGGCTCCGCATACCGCGCCGGTCCGGCGGCAGGTCCGCGCCGTGCCGCAGCGTAATGTGACCTGACCGCTGCAACCGGAGACTCGGCGCCGCCGGCCGCAGCGCGCTGCTGAAGCTCAGGGATTGGCGAGGTCACACGGCCTGCCAGCCGTCCGCCGGTTCCCAGACTGCAGCGACAGTGCAGTGGGAAGGGAACGGCGCGGGGTTAGATCCTCGGAGCCCGGCGCGCAATACGATCTGATCACACGTGTATCCACTGAACGAAGCTGGTTCCCAGAACGGTTCACCGCTGTCACACACATTCCCCGTCTGTGTCGGAGCCGCCCGGGACGAATGGGTGTCTCGGCGGGCCGTCCCCCTCCCGCCGAGTCCATTCAGTGTCTCTGTGATGTCCCCCGCCGGTGTTTCTCTCTCCTCAAAGCGGCCCTATCGCAGTGGGTCGCCAGTCACCATTACTGCTCGAATGTATAATGCAGCGACTGCACCCAGCCGGCTCATGTTTCTTGCATGCGTCGGTGGCAGCGGTTTGGA